AAATGTCTGTCGCTGGTACGGGCGCCGTCGTCTGGGCCACAAACGTCATCTCGACGAAGTGGTGGATGGCACAAACAGGCGGGCGCTGACAGGTGACGAGGCGCCAGTGAGGGTGCAAGCGTTGCTGCGGAAGTGCTCGACAAGCTTGCTGAGTTCTGCAGAAGAGTAGGCTTTACCTTCAACGGTCAAGCCACGGAGTGCACTGCTATCCTAAGAGGCAGCAGTGCCTGATGGGTACGATCTGCTTACACGCATGTGCAAGCGCAGACCTTTCATGTAGTCCTCTGGCAGCAGCGCTGCGCCAGGGTAGAAGATACGCACGTCGTATGATGACTGCGATGAGGGTGGCGCACGATCATTGATCGGGCCATACCTTGCGAAGAAAGACTCCGCTCCCATTGTAATCTGTGACAGGGCACTCACCTGAGTACAGCTGTTGTTGATTGAGAGTTGATGTATTGACTTTGCTAGATTGAGTGATCGAGTAACAGATAGTAACTGTATCACTCGTTTCGGTTTTTTCACTATTTCTAAGGCACTTGGAACCATTCCAAGCCTCAAAAAAACCCCTAAAATCTCAAAGTGAAAAGGCTCCAACGAGATTCGAACTCGTGACCCCTTCCTTACTAGGGAAGTACAATAACCAGCTATGCTATGGAGCCCATGTTTTTTGTCAGTCAATTTCCATATTTAAATAGGGAAAATTTAGGGCGAATGGGACTTTCCAAATTTATCAACTTTATATTAAATTCAGTTTATACAATTGTTTGATTGATTAATGGATAATTCCCTTTCGGAAATATTCACGTTTAATAAATATCTAGTTGAATGGTCAAGTGAATTGGTTGTTTTTGGAAAGAAGATCGATATGTTTGGAACAGACCTTGTTGTTGATTTGATAATTCAGTCAATACCTTAAGCCAGCAATATACTAAAGAGGACGACAAGGTGAATCGAATGATATCATTTTCATTATACTAATACACAAATATAAATATAAAATGGAACATAATATATCAGATATATTACTTAAACATATTGTACAATGTATAAATGATGAGATTGATTCATTGTGTTTAAGACTAACTTGTAGAAAGTATTATTGTCTAATTCCAAAATGGCTACAAGTATCAAAGACAGTGAACTCTCTAAAGAACAAGTCCAACTCCACTCAGACATCTATATCATCATCATCATTGTTTAACAACATTCGAGTACCCTATAACTTCAAGTCATTGGTCGATATTGATGACACGGACACAACACCTCCAAACAAACGCCAAGACAACTTGCTCAGCCCACACACACTACTGCTCAGTCCATCATTCAACCAACCTCTAAAGAATGGTACACTACCACAATCAATCAAGACTCTATCCTTTGGTTTCTATTATAAGATGCAGTTGTATAAGGATGGTCTGCCTCACTCACTCACTCAGCTGAACTTTGGCGACCATTACAAGGCCTCTATCGGGCCAGGCACTCTCCCGACCAGCCTCCTCTATCTCACATTCGGCCAAGCATACAATCAACCGCTGGCTGTTGATGTCTTACCCTACTCGCTGACATATCTCGCGTTTGGAGCGTTCTACGACCAACATATTGGCATCAATGTCTTGCCAGAGAGGCTGCGCACGCTCTTCTTTGGCAACGACTTTAACAAACCTTTGTCACACCAAGGCCAGTTGCCCGACACACTGACTAATCTGACCTTTGGCCAGCAGTTCAAGAGTGCCCTGCTCCTACCTCCCAACCTGCTCAAACTGAGATACTTGACGGCACAATCCGATGAAGACACTGATCTCAAGTACCCCAGCACTCTCCGGGAGATGTATGGTGTCGCGCGACAAGTCTTGAAGCCAGGCCAACTACCTCAATCATTGACCAGGTTGTCACTGTACAACTATTATACGAAGGAGATTGGACCTAATACCTTGCCCCAATCACTCACTTGGCTATCCTTGGGCAAGAACTTCAATCACATGCTCGAGCCTGGGGTGCTCCCCAACACGCTCACATCACTCACCTTTGGAGAGAACTTCAACAAGCAAATTGTGCGTGGTGCCCTTCCACCATCGCTCACATTCTTAAAGTTTGGAGTGTACTTCAATCAGGCGATAGGACATGATACTCTGCCGCGTACACTCATCGAGTTGATCTTCAGCTCGCTGTTCAATCAAATGTTACTGTCTGACACGCTGCCACCTGGTCTCCAACGTCTATATCTCTGCGCGTTCAATCAGCCTATTGGTACAGACACTCTTCCCAAGTCATTGAATGATCTGACCATTGGACAGTATCTTGAATCACCCCTCACGGCCAAGATGTTGCCCAGTCAGCTCACCAAGTTGACATACACAGGCAACCAACCTATCTCCCCCGGTACACTGCCAGAATCAATTACCGAGCTGATGCTTGGCAACAAGTTCAATCAACCATTGCTACAAGGTGTACTGCCGGCTTCAATCACACGACTTGGCATTGGTGAGGGATTCTTTCAACATCGTAGCAATGTCTGTCTGCCACCCAACCTCAAATACCTCTCGATCATCAACCTGTGTATACATGGCTCATATCTTCATAGTCTGGCATCGCAGGATAGAGGCGAGTTGGAGGTGCGTGTACTCAACTCCAACTCTGACCTTCGATCACATCCTGAAATAGACGTACTGGACTATCCCATCACGACACACTTGTTGGGCCTGCAAATGGAGTTCAGCTACTATTATGTTGCCAAACATATACTGGCTGCTTTGGCCAACGTGCGTTATGTGGGTACATACCTGCTTAGCTTCACAAATAATCAATGTAGGACAGTTTATCATATTCGATTCATTGATGATTATCGTGTGATGGCATTGATCTATGAACACAGTCAGGTTACAATTGGTGGTAGACCAAGAATCAGAACAAACTATTGTATTGGCAATGTTGTCCAACTACTCAGTCGAGCCAAGGACCAACATGTACTCTTCCCCTACGAGCAATCATACAACTACTTCTATGACCCTTCAACTACCCTGGAATGATCATTCAAGTGTGAGCATGATGCTCCCCCCTGGCCACCCATGGACCATACCAGGACGATCTTTCAATTTACCATTTAGGCCAACCAATCAATTAATTAATCAATCAATCAAATCAATCAGTCAATCAGACAACCAGTCAAACAGGAACTGGTCAGGGTCTTGGCATGCATGACAACAACGGAAAATATTCAGTGAATGGGAACACGTTGCAAAGATGTCCTTGAACATCCAGACAACACGTTCATCTTCGTTTAGAAAAAATATGTTCCAATGGCACCAGAGGTTATATGAGGGACGCCTAATTGATTCAATCTATTGGGGATCAATTAGTACATCGAGTAATGTTCTTCTTGTTCGGGTATTGGTTAAGGGCAAGACCAATAGCCAGGGGTGCACGTAGACCAAAATACCACCAACGAGGTACACAACGACCAACTTGGGGTTTGGGGGTTTAGTGTTGATCAGGTTCGTCAAATTCACAGTTTTTCTTTCCAAATGAGTTATTACTCTTGTTGAATTGGGATAGTTCGTTTTTTTTCGATATGTTGGTTACCTCCATTCCCGAATCAGTCCGGAAGAATATCGTAACCCAAAGTCAAACTAGGTCATCCTACTATATTTATTTTAAAGCTGTTTTTTTTGGTCAACAGGTCGGGAAGGACCTGGTATGGTATGATCACCAACACTCATGAGTACCACTTACCAAGGATATTTATATCTTGTCAACTTGGTCCTCACATAGATCACTAATTCATTAATAATAACAATAATAATAATAGTAATAAGACTATTGTATTTATATAAATAGAAATATCATTAAAATGAAGAATATATATTTTAGAAATTTATATTTAATTATTTTGTTTGTATTGATTAATTATAAAGTCAATGGAATTGAAATAAAAGTTCAACAACAAGTAGAACTACCAAAGATTATATCATTATATGTAGATCAATCATCAACAAATATATCAATAATATGTGGATTAAAATTAGATAATAATCAAGCTTGTCCAAATATCTCTTCATCAATCAACTCATTCAAACATATGATTAATAATAATAATAATAGTAATAATAATAATAATGATATACAACTTAATATTATATTGCAACCAGGTGTATACCAACAATTACAAGCATCCAACAACACAGGAGGCAACTCCAACATAAACATTATTTGTCTCGACATTGTGATCGGACCATCACCATCACAATCACATGATGAAAAGGTTATATTTGACTTTAGCTCAAACCCTTCAACATTTATATACGCCAAGGATCCACTTGTTAATTGCAGGTCAAAGATCACTTTGAACAATATCACATTAATAGATTCTTCAATAATATTTAGTAGACAAGTCGATGTAGTACTCAATAATATCACATTCACAAGTACCAACACATCATATGCCATCCTATCACCAATCAATATATATATGGATGATTATTATTCAACAACTCGTCCATCACTCACAATCAATGGTGGAAGTATAACAAATTATAAACCATCAGAGAGTGTATATCCATTCGAATTGATCATGGCCTACCAATCCGACTTGTTCATCAAACAGATGGACTTTGTCAACAACACCGCCGCATCATTGATCACATGTAAACGTGCCAACTTCTTGATGACCGGTTCAACTATCTCCAACAACAACTTCCAAGACCTACTCATTGATATCAACAATGTCGAGCAATCAGTAATCTCCAACTGCACCATCAATAATAACATTAATATACGTTTAGGTGGCACGACAACATTGATTGAGAATGGTGGATCATTGTTGATAAAGGATACCGACTTTGATGGCAACTCCAACTTGTCATACTTGCTACGGAACAATGGCAACATGACCATCGTGCGCACATCCCTGACCAACAACTCGATCAAGAATGGACAACTCGTCTATGGATTCTTCAGCATCGTATCAATGACCAACTGCACATTGTCCAACAACATGTTTGTTGGCTCCAACATCATGCGCATGACCGGCTCCAGACTCTCGCTCCACGACGTCGTTATTGGTGTGAATCTCGGGCTGGCCATCTCTGCCCCCATCGTCGATTGTTCCAAAGGTCACTTGGCCATCAACAATATAAAGAACCATGAAGGTAGGGACCTGGTGAGCTGCGATGAAGAGTACCAATGTTCGTTACAAGGTGATCACCCCGACATTTGTAGAGCTGGACTAAGTGGTGGAGCCATTGCCGGAGTCGTCATCGGTTGTATCGTTGGTACTGCACTCATTGTCGCTGTGATGTCCGTGGTCATCAGGAGAAGAAGAAGAAGAAGCAGCAGCAGCAGCGGACATTATAAAATATAGAATATGGACATCGATCAGTTCATTCATTAGTTCATTCATCAACTCATGACATATAATCCTCAATCACTATTACAGCAGTTCGATAAAATCTCTCGTATGTCTGTCCTTCGTTACCTGTATATCGTGTCGTATCGGGTTAGTTAATGTGATTGATCAGGTGATGGGAGGGTTGTGGTGTACATACCTGTGGCCTCCAAGTCCAGATCCTCTTTGAATGGTTCGAGATCGTCCAGTGAGCCTTGAGGGATGACTTCTTCATCTGGCGAGACGCCATACCGAGCCGATTGCAGCTTGCCAGTCCTGATGTCTCTTACATTTTCCAATGAATACGACCTCTCAGTTTCTTCATACTCTCCATCAGGGTTTTATCGATGTGGCGGATCATAACTTCCACCTCTAATGTTATTGTTGTTGCAGGTGAGTCAGTGTCATTGAGTGAGAGCATGCAGTTCCCGGAACATACTCATTAATAATAATGAATGCCAGACTGATTTGGATACCAGCTCGTTTGGAGATCTCTATTAAGTTCCTTGCAACGATAGCATCTCCACCCTTGAGTGATGCCAAAGTGTAGATGGCCTGAGAGTATACGTGTTCCAACACATATACTATTTGTTCTGGTACTTGTCCATTGTAATCATCGTCATTTTCATAGTCTTGGTTCCAATCTCTGGTTATAATCTACCATCTTATATATATCTTATATACACTACTAATTTTATCTGAATGACATGTGATCTTCATAAAAATGAAGTGTTTGAAATTAATGCGGCCACTGGGGTGGTAACAGAGTTTCCGCGCCAGACGCTCGATGGTGAGGGGTAACAAACAAGTCCTTTGGACAAAATACTTTTTAATAATAAGTTATCTATAAGATCCTTGATCAAATAGTGATGTGTATCCAACTTTCGAATTACTCCCTCCATTTCATGGAAGTTTAGTTTGAGATTGGGTATGTTCGAGTTTGCATATTGTTCGATGGTCTTTGGTAGGTAGATGAGGTGGAAGATGTAGAGTAGAAAGGCGAATGATTTGAGGCGTCCATGGAAGAAGAGATCATTAATTGGTAGATCACAAATCTCCTTTGTCCTGCTACCATTGGTGAAGGTCACACTCTCCAGGTTGTAGCAGTGTTCAAAGCATGATGGCGCATTGATCTCTTGTAATTGTTGATTGTTGAGACATGAGAATGATCGAAGTGATTGGGGCAATGAACCATTGATAATAGGTTGATTGTGGAATATGCTGAGCGTCAATGATGTGAGTGTGTTTGGTAGAATGTTTGGCTTCAACTGATGATTGTAGTATCCTCCAAGGTCCAATGATAGCAGGCCTGTTGGAAGTACGTCACACATTATCTCTTGATTGAAATACATGCCAAGGGTAAGGCTGGTCAATGTCTTGGGCAGAGCACCAACTTGCAACGTGAATTCATCTTTAGTGATGAGTGTCTTTAAGTTTGGAGGGAGCATACCTGGTTCGATTGCATGACTGTATCCATGAAACTCGAGACTGGTCAATGAGGCAGGCAGCACGCCAGGCAAGATCGGATGTTCAAAAAAGTCCATATTGAGACTCTCTAAGTTTGGTGGAAGATCACCTGGATGCAGGGGATGTCTGTAACACCCGCCTATAGACTTGATCGATGATGGTAGTGCACCAGAGATGATCTGTTCACCAGAGTCCATGTCAGAGCCTAGCCAGAGCTCCTCCAATGCTGCAGGCAAGGTGCCGGGTGTCAATGGATGATTGTATACACCGAGAATCAATATCCTGGTTGAGGGTGGCAAGGATCCAGGCTGAAATGGTTGGTTGTACACGCCGTTTAGATTGATATCTGTTATGTTATCTGGTATGTCACCTGGTTGGATTGGCAAGTCATAACTTGAGTGAGTAAAGTCCAACTTTGACACATGTGATGGAATGGTCAATGTTGACAAAGGCATGTTGAACGATTTCTCAAACATCACACTCGAATGTTGGCCATCACAATACATCTTTAACTCATACGGTTGAACATCTTTGATTGGCTTATATATGATCGGTTTCCAATCTGAGTGAACGAGTTAATATTTGATTGATAGAATGGGAGATTGATGAATGGAAGTATGAGTCAACTTACTATGTGATTTTCAACGGTGGAATAATACGTGATTGGTTGTTCGACCATAGTTGTAAGTACATGTTGGTGATTGTTTAGTGATTGCTAGTCTGTTTTGATAATGTCTCTTGCATGATAAGATGAAGCATGTTATATCATCAACATCATAAAGATACTTTATTATATGATAAAGTATAAGAAATGGAAGTGAGTCCATTACATAATATATAATCAATCACCTCCAACATCTATAATCAATAGACATGCAGAAATGCATGATGATCTTTGATGATAACTTATTTATTTTTGTGATGTGTGGTGTTGTTCATGTTTTGGTGTTGGTTAGGGGTTGTGGTTTCAAATTAGTGGTTGGACTCATCACATTGTGATGACTGCGCAGACAATGCCGAACCATTGTTGGGTGCTCTTCTCCTTGTAGTTGACGAAATGAAGTACCTCATAAAGGGGGACAGGGACACTCAATCTTCTAATCGGGTGGAGTTAGATATGGTTTGAATGATCTCCAAACTTAAAACTATGTGTCCCTTCAATCAATCAAGAAATCTAATCTTTAAATTATTATTGTAACAAAACATTTCATGAAGTATAAATTGGAACCTAATTGGACTATCTTTGAAGAAACGGTTGGATCGAGTTAAAACATTCAATAATTGGATTCTCATTTCCAGAAGTGTAAATTTATTGTCCGATAGTGCGTTCTAAGGTTGTGTCAGTTTCATGTAGTTTAAAACTCACCCACACCAATTACATTTAGTGTAATGAGAATGAAGTTGTCGATAAATAGTGAAGACGCCATTAACTATTCATGAAACAAAACTAATTATATAACTTATAAAAATTTCCTGTAATTTAGTTAACTTATTTTTCAAGGCCTATATTGGAGCATTTCGTCATTTTGTCTGTCCTATCAAAAGGAGGGGAAAGAAAGAATTCACAGAAGAGGAGAAGGCCTACAACCATGTCGTCTCATTCCATAGAGTGGTCGTCGAGAATTTCTTTGCCCGGGTAAAGTCTTGGAAGTCAATGAGCACCACTTGGAGATCGAGTTTGGAACGTCTAAACAAAGCATTCTGTTTGATCTGCTACATAGTCCAATACGAGATCGATAAAGGCATCACCAAACCCATCCGCAACTACTAATTTGAAACCCCAACCCCTAACCAACACCAACCACAACATTAATATCACCACACATCACAAAAATAAATAAGTTATCATCAAAGATCATCATGCATTTCTGCATGTCTAATGAAAAATATTAATATTAATGATGATCACAAGTGTAAATTAATTTTCAAAGAACCATATTTTTTGAACTTTCAGATATTTATATTTGTGATCACAAGTTTTAAGTTCGCTGAATGAATAGTCATAAGTATATAAGTATTTCTTTGAGATAAACATGTAGATAGATAGATATAAATGGATAAGATAAATAATACAATTATTAATTATATTTTGGATTGGTTATCTGTTGGACAAAGTTATTCAGTTGACTTGATATCACTTGGTTTGTCATGCAAGAGATTGTTCATTCATTTGAACAATGGTAGTTACATATCATCATCATCATCACCAATCTACATATTGTTTCATCATAACAACATCAATAAGAATAGTAATAGATTGATATCAAAGTTATTATTACCAACAATCAAGTTCATTAAATTCGATGATTCATTCAATCAACAGATACAGGTTGGGTCGCTGCCTTCAACATTGCGATCAATCAAGTTTGGTGGAAGGTTCAACAAGACAATCATACCTGGATCATTACCCAATACCTTGGTCGAACTGACCTTTAGACACGACTTCAACAAGGACTTGCTTTGGAAGCCATCGGCAATCACATCATTCTTGAGCTCAGGATCAAAGGCCACTCCATCACTTCCAGACTCAATCACCAAGCTGAAATTTGGATACCTGTTTAACAAGCCTATAGTATGGGATGGTCATAAGGGCACAGGCACTGGCACTGGCATTGGTTTGAGCACTTTGCTCCCTAGATCGTTGACAGAGTTGAGATTCGGAGATATGTTTGAGCAACAACTACCAGCCAACTCACTACCATTGTCTATCCGCTTTCTCAAGTTTAGCAGTAGTTTCAAACTGCCATGCATGGAGGCAGTGACACAGCTACTCTCACTCAATGTTCTTGAACATGTGGAGGAGGTTGTTGGAGACAATTCTTTTTTGCCAAAGGAGATTGGCGATCCAGCTTATCAACTACCATCGTCAATCACAAGTTTGAGCATACAAGCCTATCAACTTGATCTTAAGAAATGTACACTGCCCCCGAACCTCCAATCATTAACTTTGATAAACCTTCAATCAGACATCACACCTGGGATGCTCCCTCCATCGATCACATCACTCACTCTTGACAGATTCAACAGAGTGATTGAACCAGGTGCGCTTCCACATAGACTCCTGTCATTGAACCTAGGTCATAAGTTTGATCAACCGTTATCAATTGGTGTACTACCATCATCAATCACTGAACTATATCATGGACAAGATCAGAAGACATTACTTTCACCTGGGATCAAGTCTCCTTCTGGGAACCATGTTCTATTCATAAATGATACCATGATAAGATTCGAAAAGAACATGATCCAACCTTCAATTCTACCAACATCATTGACATCACTTGCCTTTTTCAAACTTGGTGAAGGTATTCCATTTGGATCGTTTCCAGATACAATCAAATCATTGATGTTGTGCTATAAATTCAATGAACCGATCACACCCGGAACACTTCCTCCATTGCTGGAATCGTTGACCTTTGGCGAGATGTTTGATCAAAAGATTGAATATGGCACCTTCCCAGGTACATTGATCGAACTTCATTTTGGCCAACAGTTCAATAGAGACCTACACCCTGGTGGAGTACGCGTACTTCCAAACAATCTCAGAACATTGACCTTGGGTGGAGAGTTCAATCAACATTTATATCCAGATATATTGCCAGACACATTAACATCATTGGAGTGTTATATCAAGAAACTCAGTTCAGATGGTCTACCAAAGAGTATCACATGGTTGAAGATTGGCCATGGAGGAGGAATACGCCACATGTATCAAGAATACCTACCCAACCTCATTCATCTATTTATTCCAAATTTGGATCATTTACACACACTTGGCGACGATGTCAATATTGATCATTTATACATATGTCAACGAAGATGTTTTAGATCAGTTCTGGAAATGAGACAATTTATATTCCCAATACGATTAATATCTGTACATTTGGTTTTGGATTACAAGGTGGCCACCAGGCTGGAGAATACAACGGAATTATTTGGTACATTCCCAAATGTATTGGATATATGTATTTGTCTTTTTATTGATCAAGTCGACTATGTACTTCGCAAAATTGACAAGACACATTTTATCTATATGTCCAGGAATAACTTAAGAAAATGGACTTTCAAAGTAATCAATCTCAAATCTCTCCCCATTCACCTAAGTAGCATATAGTTTATTAATAAATGCGCGCCATCTTCAAGTGAGATTGATTACTTATACATAAGTCAACGAAGATGTTTTAGATCAGTTCTGGAAATGAGACAATCCAAATTCACGATTCAATTACTATCTATACATTTGCAATTGCATTACAAGATGGAAAAGCTGGAGAATGCAATGGAGTTGTTTGGTAGATTCCCAAATTTATTGGATATATGTATTTGTCATTTTATTGATCAGGTCCATCATATACTTCGCAAGATTGACAATACACATTGTATCTATATGTTAAAGAATTATGCAAGACAATGGTGTATCAAAGTAATCAATCTCAAACCTCTCCCTATCCCTAAACCTAAAAAGTATTATATAGTTCTTTAATAAATACAAAGATACTAGTATCAAGATCTATGATTAAGATATATGAGTGCACTCACACTGCTTGATCAATCAATCAATCAACCAATTAGATCGTCTTTGATATCTCATGGAAGTGTACACCATTTAGTGAGTTGTGAATGCCAAGGTGGATGTGATCGATGAGTGATGGTGGAAGTGCGTTTAAAGGGAAGAAGCGAAGATCTGAACATTTGTTGGGCTCCATGTTATGTGGTTCACCTTGATAGTGAATACAACGAACAAAGAAGTCAATGTACTCTCTATCGCCACTATGTCTATGTATACTACTTATTATCTCCAAGTCTGAATGATTGATGATCAGGTCTGCCTCTTCCTTTGCCTCGCGCACTCCTGCCTCAATGATAGTCTCTCCATTCTCCAAATGTCCACCTACCAGACCATATTGACCATCTTTAAAGTTACTATTCATTCGTTTATGTAACAATATTGACCATTCTGTTGAGTTGACATTGGGCATCTTTGACATCAATGCCAGCTTGTGATTGGGGTTGTTATTGTGATGACGACCAAGTGATGATGTTGGAGCAAAGATCATGAGATGTACTGCACCAAGTAACTTGGAGTATGAGTTGATCTTATTCATGGCCATTGTATGGTATTATATGTTTGATCATTTATAACTATGCTTTTGGAAAAATGAATGAATGATGATGTCCTGATCAATCACATGACTTTATTAATGTCCACACACACTCATACAGGATGATCAGAAGGAAAGGTCGGCCTGAGGACCAGCACCTCGAAGTACTTTGTTCTTGTCCCATTCATAGATTCCAAGCCTGCTGATAAAGGTGGTTGGATCAAAGCCACTGTGTTGGATGGCATTGTTCACTCCTACTTTGAGAATAGACTCTGAGGGTACCTTGGCACCACCAGTGCAATCAAGGAATCGCATCTGCTCATCAAGTATGAGATAGCTATCCCTCATGGTCTCGTTATCCTCTGGCACCAGACACTCTAGTTCGTGATGGCGATGAAGGAAGCTCTTGAAGTCCTCGTCACTGATGACAAACTCACGGGCATCCCGGAGATCGCCTGCCCCGCCACTGTTCTCGCCCTTGAGGATCAGACATTGGAACACCTTCCAACGCTTGGGATCCAACTGCTTGATGTGATCGGTCATGTCCTCATCCTTGTTGAACTTGTTGATCACCGAGTTGATCTTGAACACCACGCGATACTTGTCGCACCATTCCTTGATCTTCATCATCTTCTCTCTATGATTGAGTTGTGTTGGTGTCTTCCTTGTACTTGTTGTCCTTCTTCCAATCTTATGATTAGTCTTATCCACGAATGAATCACATGATATTGCCAATATATCAAGGTATTGACCTAAGTTGTGTATCAATGATTGAGTCAGTGATTGATCGATTGAATGAATGAGTGATATATACACATACCATATCTTGGGAACCAATCTTCTTCGATTAGACTACCATTGGATACAATGGATACACTGTCAAAGTGGAGTTCTTCTTTGCAGTAACGTACCATCTCACCAAGATAGTGACCTCGTTGGATGTAGAATGGCTCGCCACCACTGAAGTTGATCTTCTTGGTACCAGCTTCTTTTAGGAGTTTGAGACCATGCTTCGAGTCCTCAATAGGTAGATGAGTCCTCTCCTTTGCAGTATGGAAACAGAATCCACATTGATAGTTACACTGTCGTGTAAAGTGATAGTTTACACTTATTGGATCAATCACTTTGACATCAGGTGATTGTACTTGTTCATAAATTATCTCTTTGTGTTGAGGTTGTTGTGATTTAGTTGTCGGAATGAGTGTTTTTGTTGGATTTTGATTTTCTTGATCATTTTTGGTAGGGTGTTGGCTGGAAGTTTGTTCGTCTTGTTGTTGATGAATAGGTTGGAGTTGTGATTTATTGGATGAATTCAATTTAAATAAAATATAGAAAAGGATAAATGATAAAATAATGTATATCATTATTATTAAAATTAGTTTAGGTGTTTGATTAATTATCAAATAATTATAAGTAGAATATATCTTTAGAGTATGTAAAATTAATTTTAGTTATGTTTATCTTTAGTAAATGAAAGGTAAGTTTCAGAATAAGTATGTTTAAATATATATAAGATGTCACTAGTTGAGAGCCTCTGTGAGGCACATGATCATCAACCCATCACCAAACACATAAACAAACTGATGGAAAAGTGGAAGTGATGGAAAAGTGGAAGTGATGGAAAAGTGGTGGAAACCCACTTTGATCAACACAATCATCTGATATCCACACCACTTCCACTTTTCAAGTCATCAAAGGAGAGATATTTTATCTCTTTAACCAATCAGCTGATCTTTCAAATATCATATCGTATGATCACCATCTAAATACAACAGGTCAATAATACCATCCATCACCAACATGAACATCACCATAGTAGGAGTTTGCAAAAACAAAATCGCTTCCCATGATTTGCAAGTTGGGCTGAGAGGATCAGACACAAAGGTTGGATTGTTGAATATATTGTGTAGTTGTTGCAAATAGATAAAATACATTATACTAGTAATATTATAATGATTGAACAACTACATAATAATGCTTTAAAATGTATTGTGCATTGTCTTGATGGTGAAAAGTTGGGCTCATTGGATATAATGTCATTGAGTCTAACATGTAAACGATTGTTCATACTACTCAATAGCAGCAACATATCATCAATCAATCCTTTGTTGAAAGGTACACATCGCATTCATTACAATAACAACAATAATAACAACAAGAAGAGCAAGAGTAACAAGTTATCAAACATAGTGATATCATCTTTAAAGACAATAAGGTTTGATGATTCATTCAATCAATCAATACCAATTGGTCACCTACCTCCTACATTGACCAAGCTTAAACTTGGTGATCATTTCAACCAGAGGATCATACCGGGATCGTTGCCCGAGTCGCTGGTCGATCTTACATGTATGTACCATTCACTCAATCAATCAATCAAACACTCAAACTAATCAAACTAATCAATCATTCAAACGTAGTTGGTAATCACTTTAACAAGTCACTTCAATGGAGGTCGAGCCGACTCAGTTCATTGTTGGGTGTGATCACAAAGTCCTCCCGAAGTAGTGCAGTACCAACACCATCCCTACCACAATCAATCACCAGGTTGACGTTTGGATCAAGATACAACAAGCCAGTAGAGCATTATCAGAGCGATGTAGCAGGCACACTGCTACCTCAGTCGCTCACAAAGTTGATCTTTGGCGATGACTTTATACAACCATTGCCGGCCAATTCACTGCCCTTGTCACTTGAGGTGCTCAAGTTCGGTTGTTGGTATGATCAATCATGCATGGCTGCTGTGACACAACTTCAATCACTTCGAATTCTTGCGTTTGCATCACCGATACACTTTAGAGATAATCCGCCACGTCCTCATCAAAGAGGAGACCCAACACATACATTCCCAGCATCACTCACCAGTTTGTTGACGACACCTCATGGCATTAATGACTTGTTATTGCCCCAGACATTGAGAGTGTTGCTGCTGGCCGGCCTCAAGACAGACATTGTGCCAGGCATGTTACCGCCTTTGCTCGAAACGCTCATTCTCATCGATTTCAACAGTTTGATCGAGCCACACTCGTTGCCAAACAGCCTCACAATCCTGGAGCTAGGATCAAGCTTCGATAGAGAGGTGATTGAACCTGGAGTGTTGCCCAACTCACTAGTGATACTGGTCTCTGGAACAAGCTTTAATCAAGTCATTGGACCTGATGTTCTACCGAAAGGTCTCAAATCATTGACACTTGGACAATTCTTTGATAAAGCATTCAGACCTGGTACCCTCCCCGAATCACTCACATCTTTCTCCAGCTATACTTTTAATCTCAAGGCTGAGTCTCTCCCAAGTAGCATTGTCAACCTGGCCGTTGGAATCTCACTGATTCATCAATCACCTGAACATCTTCCCAATCTCAAGTATCTACATTTGAAATCCCTTGACAATCTGAACAGCGATCACATGGAGATGGTATCAATGTGGACATTATAGCTTTTAATGAAATATTTATGGAGAAATTGCAATATTTTAGGACGAACAAATATCTACCCAAGTTATACATTGGTGTGATCACACCAAAGTTGGACATTGAAGTTGTCAAGACTGTGGCCAAAGCATTTCCAAACGTTCAGGATATCAACATTGGTCTATTTAATAATTTTAGAAGTTATTTCCAATTTAGGAGAATCAATCAGATACAAGGAATATTGATTGAGATGCGATCAAGAGTACTGCGCTACATTAAAATTATCCAACTTTGAAAGGGGGATGGTTCCGGCAACATTCTTTGAAAACCTTTATTTTTTGCATATTCATCAATTTTTGATCATATGAAGTCCTCACTTTTGTTAATTTAGTTCAGTTGATTAAAGAGAGATAGATAAAGATAGGATGGATAGACTACAAGTGAACATTATAAAGAATATTGTTGATAGGATTCCTCGTGACTTGTTTGGCTCACTCGATGTTATGTCATTGAGTCTAACATGTAAGAGATTGTTCATACTACTCAGTAACCTGTCATCGATCAACCTTGTGTTTAAAAGAATACCTCGCAAGAACAAAGACAACAAAGACAACAAGAAAAAGAATAACAAGAGCAACAAGAACAAGAGCAAAGACAACAAAGATAACAAAGACAATACTTTGATTGAATCAATGATGATACCATCTTTAAAGACTATATTGTTTGATGATTCATTCAATCAATCAATACCAATTGGTTGCCTACCACAAAGCATACATACTCTGAAGTTTGGTTATAAATTCAACAAGTCAATCTTACCAGGATCATTGCCAGAATCGTTGGTCGAACTGACCTTTGGCCACGACTTCAACAGGACACTTCAATGGAAGCCATCAGCCATTACATCATCATCATCATCAACATCATCATCATTGGTCAAGGACATTCCAACACCATCACTACCACAATCAATCACCAGATTGACCTTTGGTGAGTCGTTCAACAATACGGTCGCAGCATATGATGGTACTTTGCTCCCGAGATCATTAACAGAGTTGAACTTTGGCAACGACTTTGATCAGCCACTGCCAGCCAACTCATTGCCATTGTCGCTAGAGGTACTCAGATTCTCAAATTGGTACAATCAACAGTGCATGGCGGCAGTGTCACAACTTCAATCACTCAAACAACTTCAGTTCTCAACACCAGCGATATTGACAACGAGTCAATCACGCCCTCTACCAAAATGGGATCCATCACACACATTCCCATCATCACTCACATACTTGGCAATCTCTGTAACTGAGCTGGGTAAAGACCTGATACTGCCGCCTTTCATTCAAACATTAATCTTGTCAGGACTCAAGTCAGACATTGTCCCTGGAATCATTCCACCATCACTCACATCACTGACTCTTCTCGAGTTCAACAATTTTATCGAGCCACACTCGTTGCCCAATGACCTCAAGCACTTGGACCTTGATCCTCGTTACAATAGATTGTTGGCAAGTGGATCACTGCCACAATCAATCACCAAACTATCAATTGGAATTGATTTTATACCAAGGAACGACATTTTACCAACATCACTCATTGAGCTCTCTTTCCTTCCTCTATCTCCAGGGCTGCCACAAAGAACATTGTGGACATTCAATGAACCGATCGACCATTATTTCTTGCCACCCAAGCTCATGTCACTCACATTTGGCCCATCATTCAATCGGCCAATCGCACCCGGTACTCTCCCCGAGTCACTTACTTCAATCTCGTTTGGCTTTCAATTCCATCAGCCAATCGAACCTGGAACTTTTCCAAACTCCATCAAGTCCATAAGGTTTGGTGAGATGTTCAACAAAGTCCTGGACATTGGAGTGTTTCCGGATTCACTGGAAAGTCTATTCTTTGGACTCTACTTTAATCAACCGATTGTCCCTGGTGTACTACCTCGAGGTCTCACAACATTGCACTTTTGCTACTATTTCGAACAATATCTTTCTCCCGATACCCTTCCACCTTCGCTCACCTCGTTGGAAATTGGCATGAAAGAGGTCCATGCTGAGCTACTCCCCAAGTCAATCACAAGACTGGGCATCGAGAGGATGTTCATCCACAAATCACCAGAGGACCTCCCCAATCTCAAATATCTCAGATTGCCATCAATCAATTCTCTCGACTCGATTGGTGACAAAGTACATGTTGGCGTGGTGGACTTTAACGACCCTTTAACATTGAAGATCTTATCCTGCTTTAAGATATCAATAACCAGACGACTACCATCTGTCCATGTTAAGATTGATTGTCAAGAGCTCACCAATGACCTCATCAAGATAGTGGCCAACTCATTCCCCAATGTACGAGACATCCACATTGTCTATAATCTAAAGATAGACAAAGTACTACTTCGAAGGATTGACAAGAGAATCTGCATTATGATGAGGGAACAAACTAGAGATAAACTCATCAGAATAATAGAGTTGGTCTAAGGAGATCGATATAATAATAGATATTATTATTATATCATGTGACTTCAAATCGATCACGTGATCACATGTCAGCTGATCATAATCAATAATGTGATATTATAAAAAAAAACATCATTACTAAATTAATTGTTTGGACATTAAAGGCAGAAAGGTAGTTTATATATTCGTTAATTAACAACGATGGCATCCACCTCCGAGGAGACCGCCAACAAGTCCGAGGACACCTCCCAGCAATCCATTGAGGTTGAGGTTGACATCAACATCGATATCAAGACCAATACCAATGCCACCACCTCCACATCCACCGCAGGCAACTCCATTGGCACCCTGGCCAGAAGCTCCACCAAAGTTACCAACAACGGCGCTCTTTGACATTGAAGTGGCAGACACGTTGCCCATGGAAGTAAGAGATTCTATAATAGATATAATATGTTAGGCATTGGTAATCAAATTTGGATTGCAATTTTGGTATACATACTTAAGATAGTCATTTTGGATTAGGTAATATTATTTGTTTGGTATTAGATACTTTGATTGATTGTTTGATGATGTTATAAATTCATACCAATTGGACCTATTTATAATTATTGATGGATGAGTGTCAAGTTGCCCAAATCAAAATCACATAGATTTAGGTTGAAGTGGAACCCTGACCCCTGATACCTTATAAGATGCGTTGTTTAGTATCTCCACAGTACTGATCATTGATCATATGGTGGTGTTATTATTATAAAGTCATTCAAAGTATTGATCGATGAATATGTGGTTGATGCCAACGAGAACACGTTAATTGATTGATTGATTGATGATGTAGCCTCCTATAACAGTACCCTTTGTGTGTCTAGCCACTCTAATATCAATCAAAATCTAGATAATGATTGGACACATATTGGTTGAATGCTTCAATTGCCTCTTAAGGATAAGTTGAAGGTGTTTCTAATACTTCTCCTCTTTGTGATTGATTCATCACACTAACACCCACCACTCACAATCCAGCTCATCAATTTCCAACAGACTTTTGTTTGTGTTGAAGCGGTAGAATGTGTGATATGATTGATTGATTATCACCCCAATGATACACCCCCAGCGCCCCTAACACTTCTCACTGACATATCGTATATCTTATCTACATCTAGTTAGATGTCAATCACTCATTCACTATATACTTTAACTCCAACGTGCTTAAACTATGATGACAGTTGATTGGAAGTTGGAATATATTTAATTCGCACATCTACACAATCTCCCAACTCTAATCAATTAATAAAATATTAATGAAGGTGGTATCCAGTGTTGTACCCATCCAGTCATAATCTATCATCCAATATTGATTGATTGATTGATGAGTGAGTGGGTGGATCACATGATCTTGATGTACGGTCATTTCATGGGTCAGTGGAGATGGGTAGGTGTACGAGATTGAGATTGAATGATCAAAGTAAGTTTAATTAAATATGATAGGGTATTCAGGGGGTAGGGTATCCCTTACTTACTTTTTGATATGGCAAGTTCCAACTGGACCATCGAGGTCCCAAACATATAAATAATCGTATCCGGATACCATTATTAAATCATCAACTCAAGTTGCAAATCAAATATATAAATCTAACAAACAAATCAATCCAATCCAAAAATGACTATCCTCAGTAAGTAACATTATATCAATCATCCAATACCAACCAAGGTCTAACATTTGATATTACTTTTGTAGAATCTCTTACTTCCATGGGCAACGTGTCTGCCACTTCAATGTCAAAGAGCGCCGTTGTTGGCAACTTTGGTGGAGCTTCTGGCCAGGGTGCCAATGGAGTTGCCTGCGGTGGATGTGGAGGTGGTGGCATTGGTATTGGTTTGGATATCGATGTTGATGTCAACCTCAACCTCAATGGATTGCTGGGAGGTGTCCTCGGACTTGTTGGCGGTCTCCTCGGAGGTGGATGCCATCGTTGTTAATTAATTAACAATTATCCTAATAATAAAATTGTACTCCCTCTTTCTTTAAATCATTAAATAATAATCTTGTTCCCTGGTTTGTATTCATTTGATTAACAAGTCATTCTGTAATAAATGGGATGATGTATAAACATAACTGATAATCAAACACCAAGTTGTGAAGGCAAAATATCCATTTCGGGTGTGACGATGGTCTTTACGTCCAAGAATAGTTGACCACGACGACATTGGTATTATCTCAGTCCCAAAACCTCAGGTTTTTCAAACAAAGTGGTAGTTGTGTTGTTGACTTCAACTTCAACATTTATTTAATTTGACACTGTCACATCAACACACAAACAGCAATTACGATAACACACAGAGATAAAGATAATTTATATCTATTTACACATATACACACACAATCATTAAATATCAAACAGATACTTATATATATATAACTAACTAAATAAATACGTATAGATAACATACAAAGAAATGATGATCTACAGAGTATGTAACCCAACTCAAGTATGAATGATGAAGTTTAACAATTAGATCCTAACATTTATTATCTTGAATCCATTATATAAATTTAGAACGAAGCAGTCTACGTTACCAACTTGTCAAAGAATGCTAATGAGAAGACTATTAGGGACTTCTTCTCATTTTGTGGAAAGATTGTAGAGTTGAGAGTAACAGAGAATAAGAATGGAGAGACTAATGATGCAGTTGTAATATTCGAAACAGAGGCTGCTGCCAAGACTGCACTGCTTCTACAGGATGCCCTAGTTAGTGATAGAGCAATTCGTGTAGTACCCTACACTGATGCTCCAGATACCCATATTCCTGCTTCAGAGTCTGCCGCTCAAGATCATAACACAAATGACGATCAATCAACTGATACTGCACCATTGTTAACCAAGGAATCAGATAACAACAACAACAACAACAACAACAATCAAAACGACTTTGAGAAGGTATGTCTTTGATCATCACAATCAGCTTCAAGTTCAATCAACTAATCATTATTCATTCATATTCTAGTCATTGACCAGCGCGTTTGCTTCTATCTTTGCTGCTGGCTATAGTGTTGGACAAGAGGTTGCAGCAAAGGCTAAGCAGATTGATGAGGAGAACTTGATCTCGTTGAAGCTCAAGGTTGGCGCAGAGAACCTTAAGGTCAAGGCCAACGAACTGGACAGCAAGCTACAATTGAGCGAGAAGACCACCGCTGTCAAGGTGGCCGTCACTGAGAAGGCAAAGGATCTGAACATCTCCGAGAATGCCTCGGCCATCAAGTCCACCGTGGTCGAGAACCTTACAGCCATCGACGAGCGTCTCCAGTTGTCTGATATGTTCAAGTCAGCCACCGATCTTATCTCCCAGCACATCATGTCGTTGGCCGCCAGAGCACAGCAGAATCCCACCATCTCCAAGGGTGTGGAGATGGTTGGCAACATTGGCACTGGCATCAAGGACACTGCAAACAACATCTCGCAGACCGTTGAGAACCAGTTCGCCGTGCTCTCCACCGAGACCAACCGCATCGTCGAGGAGAAGCAGCGTGAGAAGCAGGAGAGCCAAGGTGAGTCACAGCCATTGCTCAATGGCGAGGATCAACCAACATCAGCCATCAACGCCGAGGTCGAAGAGCATGCCACTGAGGAACAACCAGCACCAGTTTCAACCACACAGACAGTGACTCCACAGCCAAGCCTATTGTAATATATTATGTATCATCAGCCAAAGCCAGTCTAGACTAGCTTGGCTGAACTAATAAATGACTCTCAATGTTTATTGTAAGTTCTATCTCTCCTTTGTATCTTGGAACATCTGTGGCGGGAAGTGGATGGGCAGCGGAGGATTAGTATTGGCGAGTGAAGGCCGCGTCATGAGGTGTTACGATTACTTACACTTAGCAGATTACGTGGCGACATGGTCAAGTCCTCCTGAGTGTCCATGCTCCTTCGAATGGCGCACACCTTTTGTGATGAACCTCCATCATTCGAATCCTGTAGCACTCTCTTCATACTCTTTAGTGATGTCTTTTGTACCATTGTCTGTTGTTGTTGTTGTGTCTGTTGTTGTTGTGCTTGTGGCTGATAATATGGTATACCACCAGTGCTCTCATGCATTGATATATCACCTCCACTACTACTACTTAGATTTAGATTGTTGTTGGTGTACTTTGGTATAAAGTTGCCTTTGGATATTGTCGGTGAGAAGTTATTGCCGCTGCTCCTAAGCTGATCCTCAGGCGAGTGTATATGCATTGGATTTGGTAACATCGATAGTAGTGTTGAGTTGGTTGAGTCGGGCTGTACATTGACATAATCGTTAGTATCCAGATCAATCATTCAATCACTTCAACTTCACATAACTTACATTGTTGTTTCGTTGTTGTAGTAGGTTTGTGATTATGGGAATTGTGAACAACTGTTCCAGTGTCAATCGCTCAGTTATATTGGTTCTCATCATGGCTAGGATGCATTGGTACAGGGTACCAGAGTACTTGGTCTCGTCCAGGAACTCGTAGGCTCGGTCGCTACGAAGCTGCTCCCAGAGTGGACCATTGGAGGGCATCTCCTTGCCGGTGATCATCTCGAAAAACGTCACGCCAATCGAGAAGACGTCCGATGGCTTGCCAATCTGCTTCTTGTCGTTGAGGAACTCGATGGCCAGGTATCTGCAGTCGCCTTCGATAAAGTCAAAATATACATCGTCCTCGTCAATACTCAGGTTGTTGCTGTCCTTGTCGCCGCCATCACTTGATATGCTAGTGTTGAGCTTTGTATCGCCAGATGCATCCTTTTGAGGTTGTTGTTGTTGTTGCGGCTGCTCGACAAGTTGCACGGCCATGCCAAAGTCGCCAATCTTGAGACGACCATGTGATGATATGAAGAGGTTCTCGGGCTTGATGTCCAGGTGCAGCATGTTGGCCTGGTGGATGTGTTGCACACCGAGACAGCAGTCGAGGAGCAGGTTCCAAACGAGCTCCTCAGGCAGCACGGTGGCCTCGTCGACCATGTCCAACAGATCCTTAAGTGTGCCTCGCTCGCACAGCTCCGTCTGAATGTACAGGATGCCGGCCTGCTCCCAGCAATTGTAATACTGTACAATGTTGTTGTGTGGCGCCAGCGAGGTGGCGTTCTTCACCTCCAGTATCGCTCGGTCGCGCTCCTGATAGCCTCTGAACTGATGTCTCGCCTGCTTCACAGCGTATAACTTCCTGTCTTGCTTTGACTGCGTCTTGTACACGTCTGAGAATGATCCGCTGCCTAGTCGTGCCACGATCTCAAAGTTGTGATCAAACACTGATCCGATGCGTTGTTCGCTGCTGCTGCTACTGCTGCTGTTACTGTTCAAACTGCTAAAGAGTCCTACGGACAGAGTTGCTGGGGAGGGCTCTGAAGCGGTGGGTGGCGGCACGACCACGGGCGATGACAATGCGAGATGGTGCACGGTGGGAACGTTCGAGTTGAATGACATGACGCGACTGGCTGGAGTGAGCTTGAGTGGCGGCGAGGGACATCGTGGGGTATGCGACACATTCTTCTTCTTCTCGCTGAATAGATGCACGTCAAAGACGAACTGCTCGGGGGTAGGTCGTGATGCAGATGATGGTGGCGGCATCTCCCTTATGAGAGCTGGTGTCTGAAACACGAAATCATCAATATTATCATCATCTTCATCATCATAATCGCTATCAACAAATGTCGTAACCTTCTTCTTCTTCTTTGAAGTTGTCATTGAACTGCCTATCAATACATGACTCGCGCTATTATTATTATCTTTGCCAGGTGTTGAAGGTGGCGTGAGTGCACCGCTCTTGCTGTTGTCCATATAAGTTGATGTCTGTATTCTGTATGTATGTATGTATGTTGTTTAATATATATATATAATTATGTATATATGTGTATTATCTGTATGAATGTATCTGTTCAGTTTTGGATGAATGCATGAATGAAGTGCTAAACTTGAAAAAAAACTGATCTTTTTGATGCATCTACAACTTCCTAAAAAGGCTTGGACCATCATCCATTCAAACAAATAATAATAGTGATAAATGTCTTTATTAAATAGATATATATATCAACAGATATTAGAGTTGATTTGGAATGAGACTTCTAGGTGTCCATCACCTTGGGATATCTCCGACAGCCCACCAATGAACAATGGTCTATTGATACATATTGTGGAGTGGCGCTTCGTCTCTAAGGAGTTCTACCAAATTGTCCATTCACTCAATAGACACTTGATGTCAGACCATCTACCAAAGTTAAAGAGAATGACAACACAGCCATTCACATTTCTAATCGAACAGCACACCATGCCAACATGTTGCCAACACCCCTATGTCAGTCATCTGCGTACACTTGAGCTGTGGAGCGAAGAGAACTGGTATTATCTCAAGAGTATCGACCTGCCACTCATTCAAAGTGCACTCCCCACGATGTTCACAACGATTACGTCGCCCATTGATGGCGGCTCACAACAAGTGTTCTTGGAACACCTGTCCACTCGTCATGATGCCGTCGATGGCGCGCACTTCCTACTGGTCGATCTCAATGTTGCTGTTGAGAAGTTGAGCATTACATTGTTCGATCCAATTGGAGACAATGAGGATTACTTTGATTATTATCAACTTGATGACGATTGCAACCCTCCCGAGATCCCTGGCACTCCATTCACATTGTTAAACGCTATTGGATCAAAGGGTACAATACGCCAACTATCAATCCAGATTGCTGTATTGGAGGATCACAGTGATGATGATGATATCGAACTCTTCTCATTCTTTGCCAAGTTGTTCTCTCCTCAATTCAACACTCTGACGTATCTGAGTCTTGAGTCAGCCTCGGACGCCTATGGTACATTGTCTACGCTGTCCATTTTCTTAAGCCAATCGGCACCATTCTTCTTTCGAAGACTTTCATCTCTGTCATCCTTACGTGAGCTCTCACTCATTGTCAACTTGCTCAACTTGGATGAAGAACAATATGAGCGTAGCCTGTTAGAGTATCTTATGGACAATGTGAAGCAACCTCAATTGACATCGATATGGCTCCACTACAATGTCAACAAAGACATAGTCACCTATCTTCTTCAGAACCCTCGCTCCAAGTTCAAACGAATAAGACTTGGTCAATCGGACCCAATGCCAGTGACCAACAAGTTAGACTTCTTGCGCATCAATCAGAGCTGGAATCAAATTAACAGTGAAGCATTGGCATCGCTAACCAACGTCAACTCGCTGTCATTGCCCGTCATGGACCATCCTTCCGATTTATGCTCGTTACTTAAATCGCATGGTACAATCCAGTCAATTGTCATCTCGACCCAACAGTGTAGCGACGAGCTGGTAGATGCCATAAGTGCCTGTCCCTCACTCCAATATCTGTACATCAATGTTTACATTGAACACCAACAGTCATCGATCATTGAGGCTTGGATGGAGAAGCTAAAGAAAGCCATTGACATCCATCCAAACATTCGCAACAAGACCTCATTCCTCTCTGGATTTCATGTTCACAATCAATCATGCCCTACTCCGTTTTGTGTGGCACTCGCAGAGTATGGAGTTATTGGCAGCATCGCGGACTATACTCTGTCTTGATGCATTGATTAAAAGTAGTCATTCATTCATTGCGCTTTTTAATCTGTGCTGGTGGCTGTTGCCTCCTCGCCTTCCTTTGGATCATTTTCCTTCATCTCTGGATGTAATGATGGTGCCTTGTTCTCAATTGAATTGATCAAGTCTCTGATTTCGCTGTTGATTGGCTTAAATTCGGCCTCGGTCTTCTTGAGTGACTCTAGCAAGGCTTCACGCTGCTCTGCTGAAAGTGTTCTGTACAACATTGATGTCTTGTGCGCGACGGCGGCACAGTGGTACTCCTTGTCATTGACAAGATCGGAAATGTAGAATGCCTCGTCGAATGCCTCCATGGCAATGTCCACCACTTCGTTGTCCTTGGCCGATATCAATGGATTGGACAACGAGCCGACATAGATGGCCAGCTTGAACAGCGGTGCCTTTTGCATTCGGATAAAGTTGTCGCGGGGGAATTGTGGTTGTTGCTTGAGCCAGAGATACTGCTCCCATGCATTGATGTGCAGCTTCATGTAGGCATCGCTGTCATCCTTTTGAATCGAATAGATACGGTCGCGGTCCTGATAGATATAGTCCAACTTCTTAAAGTAGGCATTGAGCAATGCCATTGTCTTGGGCACGGTCTTGTCGAACTGACATGCCTTGGCAATGACCTCGATCTCTGCGTCGTACTGTCCAGTGCGGCTAAAGATGTTTGTAAGCAGCTCGAGAATCCTGCCATCTAATGCCTTGTCGCCCAGAGCACGAGCAGAGTTGCGTGCTTCGTTGAGCTCTTGCAGCTGTGTCTCGTATGTCTCGATCTCTGTTGCCTCTGGCTTGCCGGCCAGCTCGCAGAACTGAGCGAATGCGTAGAACTCTGTTGACAGAGCTTTGCCATGCTCCATTGACAACTGATCACTCAGTGACTTTGATTCCTTTGACAACTCTTTCAGCTTCTCAACAGCCTGTCCATAAGTCTGACCCGAAGGATTCAATGTCTTTATATTATTACGCAATGTCAATGCATTGTTTAACAATTCTTTCAGCTTCAATTTATCAGCATCACTAGTACTCATTATTTATCTATTATCTGTTTGTTATTATTATTACAATGTGATTATAATGAATGAATGGACAAAGAATATGAAGGTGAACTTGAGCATGCAATGAGTGAAATTGTTTTAAAACATGATTAGTGATCTGAAGTCCTAAGAAAGGCTACTTCTCTCAATCATTAACCTCGCAAATCTGTATCTCTATGTTTGGTATCAACACATAACTTATCTGTGTTGTGTTTGTGTGTATCTTTATGTTGTGTGTGTGTGTGTTAGAGTATATCATCCAACTCAACTCAACTCATCTTTAGATGTGAACAATACATACCCCCAATGAATGAATGATGTAGTACATCTTAGATGATGGAATGTGAAGGCACACCTTCAATCAATCATTCAATCAATCACCCATCACCCATTCACTCATACATCCAACCAGCTGCACCGTAACAACATCATAAATATTAATATTAATATTCATATTGCGCCTGCTGCGATATGATACGGAAAGAAGAAGAAGAAGAGGGTAGGTAAGCAAAGGATGTCCAGGAGGATGGCGATGGTGACGAGGCTATTACTGACGCCAATACCATTAGGATATTCCTTGTTGTTGTTGTTGTAATCTTAGAAATAATAGTATTATTTAATAGACAGACAATGGTTAGACATAGGTCAAGGAAGGGACATAGTTATATAGATAGATAGATAGATAGAGATAATGATTATATATTATAGACACAAGACGACGACGACGACGATTATTATATTTAGTATATTTACAACATTGATATTATTATTATTTAGTGGATCATGTACAGCTCATCATCATATTACACATGTTCGTAATAATGGTACGGACATTGAAGAATGTGGTTCATCACCAGTTACAGCATGTAGGACAATCAAATATGCTGTGGACAGTTTACCGTATATATGGCAGGCGAGGGTGCCTTCCGACTCACAGTTTGCCATCATACTTGGCAACGAAACATACAATGCAACAAATAACTTTGGCATAATAGCCAGTAACAAACAATTTATTATCAAAGGAGTATCCATGAACGATACCGTAATAGATGGTCTTGGAAAATGTACGTACTGTACTTCTCCTCCAAGCATATACATATACTTATACCAAAGCCAAACACAATAGATCAATGGGTAACAATAACCAATGTATCATTTGTATCATTGTTTGATGTATCCGTTCGCAACTGCTTTACAAATGAGAGCGGGTCCGTAGCCCGGGTGTTAAATGGCAGCGTGTTTTGGTCGACTAGAGTACGCTATGCCAGGAACAAAAGTTTACAGATTGGCGGTGCCATCTCTGTCCTCAATGGTACGTAGGATGTCGAGTATAGCTCTCCCCGCAGAGACATGATCTAACAACAATGAGTGTAGCACGTCTATATGTATCTCGAACAATCTTTAGACTCAACTATTCTGGTAGGAATGGTGGAGCAGTATCGTGTAGTTTCTCAATATCATATATCCATTTATCGATATTCATTAGCAACTGGTCAAACTCTGGGAAGGGCGGTGCACTACACAATGACTTCTCCAACAGTACAGTCAGCTACTCACAATTCTATTATAACCTGGCGGCAAGTAGTGGTGCCATCGACATCAGTAAGTGTCTCTGGAGAACTTGGGTATGATCAATCACTAAACAATCAGTCAATCAATTATAGATGGATTATACAACACAATAGAATACTGTCGATTCGTTCAGAATAGAGCAAACGTTGGTGGAGCAGTAGCAGCTTATATCCTTACATTCCTAGAGATGGATAATAACTTGTTAATCGAAAACACTGCCAACTTGACATCTGGCGCAGTGTTTGTGTCGGCAGAGGCATCGGCCATCATCCACGAATCCATCTTTGACAGGAACTACGCTCCCAACACTGGCATCATCGCGACGCATGCCTCCAGTCCGCTGTCTATCGAACGATGTATCTTTTACAACTCCAAAAAGGTGGTCAGTGCACAGATTGGTATCTTTGACAGCTATAGCATGATGCGTGTTACCGACTGTTCATTCCGGAACCTCTCCGGTCCCATCTTCTACTCCAACGCCATGTCCATCTCTGTCATATACTACTCATCATTCAAATGTAATGCATATATGTCAATCATTCAATCAATACATCATGCTAACATCCATTCCAACCCATTCCCAATAGATATACCATATACATTAGTACATCTTAAGCATCAAGCTGCAATAGCCATTGCAGGATGTTATATTGGACCAAACCATCTGAGTAACAGTGCTATTCTATTGGAATTTGGATCATTTGTGGCATTGTTCAACACTACCATGACCAGGAATCGAGCGCCCAACATGATATCATGTCTATATCAATCACATGTACTGATGTACAATTGTTTCCTCACCAACAACACTGTAGAGAATGCACTTATATTCGCTCGGTACGAATACCTAGTGCTATCCAGAGGCAACTACTACGTTGGCAACTTAGGAAAGAATGTAAGTAACCTCTTATATTGATTGATTGATTGAGTGATTAAGTCGTACTAACATGCTATCCATTCAATCCAGAGGGGATGTGTATTCGAGATTGATCAGACTGGTTCAATGGCAATGATAGAGAGCGTGTATGAAAGTAATGTGGCGGTATGGGGGCCTATCCTATTCCTCACCACCTCAACTATTATGGGACCGAGTGGCAATGACATTGACTGCCTTCGAGAGACATTCTCAAACAACCATGCGATACAAGCCGGTCCATTATTCTATTATTATCACAATGTTACCAATCGAGTGATATTCAGTGATGTAAAGATGTTCAACAACACAGACCCGTACTCCAACTCGATCATCGCGCGATCCAGCTATGAATACTTCCTTATCAAGATGCCAAGACTATTGTATCCATTCCAGTCGTTCAACATCACTATACAGGCCTACGACAACTTTGGTAATCTGATCGTTGGCAGGACAGACCTTGCCTTCTTCATGATACCATGCAAGAATGTCTACATGGAGGGAGTCACATCTGGCACACTAAACGTCAGTGGACAGGCCATCCTTCAAGACATCAAGATGTCTGCCACCCCTGGCGAGATGTGCAACCTTACCTTTGTATCCGTACCAACTCCATCCATTTGTAAGTACAATCAATCAATCACTCGATCACCTTACTAACTGATTCAATCAAACTAGATGGTGCATACTACTTGGAGATTGAGTTTACCAAGTGCCCAGACTCAATGGTACACTTGGAGACATATGTTTACTTCTGCTTGGACGAGGTGCGCGTGTCTACAACACCAGAGATCATCGCTGGTGTAATACTTTGTGTCCTCCTGGTATTCATCATTCTTTGCTTTGTGATCACAATAGTATTCCGCAAGAAGAGAGTGATCAAGTACTCCAATCCCATCTTCCTCTGTATCATCCTCTTTGGCTGCGCCCTCTGTGTTATCTCTGGTGGTACATTCTTCCTACCAGTCAAGACAATCAACTGCTATGTTCCATTGATCATCTTCCCCTTGTCAATATTCTTGGTGACCAACTCTGTCTTTGTTAAACAATTCAGCATGTGGCGATTGGTCGAGGACATTGAATACCTACGAGACACCATCGTCGAGAACAAGTACCTACTCAAGTTCGTCGCAGTTCTCATGGTCATACCAGTTGTATGTGTTCAACAGTTGACACCATCATTCATTGTACTAATCAATCATATTTAGATCATCATTGTACTTAGTACAACAGTTGTCAAGACAGAGTCATCATACTATTATGACTTTGATAAGCTCAACGCTATATTCTACTGTCGAACCAATCACTACTATGTGTTCCTGATCCTCTTCCTAGTGTACCAATCAGTCATCCTTCTGTTTGGTTGTTACCTTGTGGTAGTGTGTAGAAAGTTCAGGATGGTCCCTGGTACATTCAACGAAGCAACCTATATTGGTATCCTTGTAAGTTCATTCCACTCCATTCATTCAATCAATCATACTCACTCTCCTTCTCCATATTAGATATACAACTACATGATCATTCTTATAACATCGACACCATTGATATTCAGTTTCAGGAAGGATCCAACAGCAACCTTCTTGATCATTGAGTTGTGTATAATATTGTTCGTAGCGAGCACTATTACATTGGTGTTCTTCCCAAAGTTCAACTTCTTGGTGAGGAACAGAGCAATCATTCAATCATTGAAGAAACATATCGAGGAGCAGGAGAACAGCATCAGGAAGAACAAGGAGGTGCTCAGGTTCTATCATTTGTACATGGATGGCAATGGCGTGAGCAGGGGCTTCCCCTTAAGCTCCAGTAGTAGTGGCACAAACACTGGAACTGGCACTGGAAATGCCAATGACAGCATTGGTGGCAGCAACAGCAGGGCTCGATCCATCTATGACTCAGACGATGAGTACATAGACTTTAATCAACACATCGATGACAATAGGATCAGAAACAAGAAGAAGAAGAAGGCATCCAAGAAGGGCAAAGCAACAGAGAATGCTGCTGCTCCTGCTGCAGGTGGTGTTGGGACTCCCATCAACAACAACAATATCACTGGCAATGTACAACAGCCTCCGCCACCGCCACCAGCCCCCACTGTACAATATGTTACCACGTTGCCAGAGGATGAGGTAGATGACGAAGACAACAACACAGGTGACACAATGGACTATCGAGAATATCTACGCAGTTTGGATGGCATCAGGAACAACAGACACAAGAGCAAGTTATCGATGAGAGAGACGATGAAGGAGGTAATAAGGAGTCGTAAGTCCAAGTCGGAGCCAGCTTCGCCAGCTCACTTTCAATAAAGCCCAACCAATGTCGTCAGCAATGGATTGGATTGGATTGACCTTGTACACTGTTGGCGCTTCATTGGCGCCCCACCTCCTGAGCGACCTGTCAATGAGGATGGCAGGCACAACTAAAAATATCTTACTTTTTGAAATTTCGAACGATGAGTCGTTTGATCATGTGATGGGTGCGTGTGACCCACTTCATTGATGGGTTCTGCCACAGCCAATCACACACACGGAAAGCAAACATCATTGCTTGCAATGTTTACTTTGGCCCTTTAACTACATATACTACTTACATCATACATATACATATACATACAGATACAAAGAACAAACAAACAAACAAATAATGTCTAGGAAACCACTTACAACTCAGTTGTCGTTCAAGGGCATGCCACAGCCTGCTCCACTGCCACCTCCCCTACAGATTCCGACTGCAACAGCATCGGCACCAATCCCAATTGCAACTCCGACTACACCACCACCAACAATTACACCAAGGACTATTGCTACTTCTTCTTCCTCTATCAACACACACAACAAACAAGCTCCACCTTTACCTCCACCCCGTGATGCCAAGGCCAATGTTAAGTCGGCAGTCATCTCCACCAAGCTCAAGAAATTCTTCACCAATCGTCCATCACGTGACTCACTCTACCAGCGACACATCCTAAGTGCGCCCTACAACTCCTCCAATCTATCCTACTACAACGTATTCAAGATAATCGGAGCACTAAAGAATGCAAATGGTATGTTTGAGCGAGTGATTGATTGAATGAGTGTGTGGGTGGGGTGAGGCTTTGCCCTGCCCCACCCACCTAGGAATGATTCCAATCAATCATGTGATCACACTCTTACCCCTTCCCAACAGTTGTAAACACAGAGGGTATCTTTAGGATAAATGGAAATGCAGAGACAATAAGGACACTTTGGATATCACTCAATACAGCAGAGTTGAATTTAGAGATACCACATACACATCATGATCTGGCTGGTCTGCTGAAGTTATACTTGAGGGAGACCAAGTTCCCACTGGTACCCATTGAGCTATTGCCAAACAAGACGACACCGACCCGTGTTGATGGCATCAAAGAGCTAGTTGGCAAACTTCCAGATGACAACATCCGAGTGTTGGCCTACCTCATTGGTTACCTCGAGCAACTCACACAAAATAGTCAAGTCAACAAGATGAACTCTGTCGCGCTAGGAGTATGTATATTGATTGATTGGCATGGAAACTATGACTCACTCAATCACTCAATCACTCACCTCCAGGTATGCTTCGCGCCAAACATCATCAGATCAATCAGTACAAACTCAAGCAATACTGTTAATATAGCACCAGATTCGTTGAATCAGATACAGAACTATTGTAACTTGATCACAACCATAATAGATAATAGGGAATCAATATTCAGACCATATGACAGTATAATCAATGGAAGTGAACAGCTGGACAAGATTGACACTGCAGTCTACTCTTCATCACCATGCGATGAGTACATCAATGAGATACCTCCTCCACCACCTCTGCCAATCTTTGACAGCACTGGAAGTCTCAGTCCAATCTCTCCACTCTACGACGAGCTCACCAACGAACTGATCGAGTGTGTAACCTGTGGCAAGAAGGACATCATAGTCGGTAGGCTAACAAATCTCTTTGTCTCTGGTATGTATTATTCGAATAATCAGCGAGTCTAATTCCAGGATAACTGGAACTAACCCATCCAATCATTCAATCAAACAAATCACAGATCCAGACAACCTTAAACTCTTTTTGAAGGATATGGGAGTAGACTGCTTGGTATCATTGCTGGAAGTCATCCTGACCTAGGGCACCAGAGTAGAACTGATCGATCGAACGTGGCAGCCAGCCATTTATTTATTCATTCATGAACAATGATGTACATCTCAATAACAACTCAACAAACGTTTGGCTACCATCATCATTATCATTCTAGGAGGAGTGTATAAGGGTCTTTATTCAATCTGAATGGTTGCCCTCATTAGTTGTCATCAACATCATCCGATGTGAGAGTTGAGTCATCCTCATCATCGTCGTCGTCGTCATCTGCATCGTCATCGCTTGTGATGGTGAAGTCTGATGTATCAACCTCATCGTCGTGTTCGTTGGATTGCTGTTGCTTTACGCTTTCATCGTCCTCCAATGTTGATGTTGTTGCATGTGTCGATGGCACACCAGATGCGTTGTTGGAGTAGACCAGTGAACATTTACGTAGTATACCACTGACTGCCACATGTTCATGATGTTCACTAATCAATCTAGACTTGGCCAACATCTTCCTATTGGTAGTTGCATAGTTTGTTGTTGTCGTTGTTGTCATTATTGAGTTGTCCTCAATACTATCACTACTACTGTTGATGCTTGTTGACAGCCTTGCACTTGGATTGGCATGTATCCAAGAGTCTCCGACCTTTGAAGGCGATGGACGAACTGATGAGAGGAACTGGCTGCGTATCTTTTGAACATTGCTCTTGCGCTCGTCAAAGTACTGGTTGATGGCGGTGATCCACTCACGCACATCATCCTCGGCGTCGGCCACCATCATGTAAGTTCGATTGTTTGTCACCACATTGAACGACTTTGATTCGTAGGACACTGACTCGATCGTCGAGCCCAACAATGGAATCGTTCCCAATTGAGTCGTAGAGCTCTGATGCTTCAAATAGAACAAATAGCCATTCTCCAGAATGAACCATCTCCTCTTCCAAGTTTTAACAAAGTTGCCCACCTTTGTCAAGTATCCTTCCTTCTTGATGTCATTCCTCATCAATGCGATCTAAACGTTGGTTGATTGATTAGTAAGCTGGGCGGTCATGGCCATTGGGTGCGTGGGACATACATGTTGTAGCCTGTTGGCTTGTGAATGAAGTTGGAAGGACTTGGTCGTGGGGAGTAGGGATGTGAGGGATGGGGACCGATGGGCAGGTGATCCGGTTGTCTCAGCGAGGCGCTTGCTAGATCGTTCTGGTGTGCTGGTGGCGAGTGGCGAGCTGGTATCATGCTGAGTAGCACCTTTATAAAGGTCCTCCATCTGTACACCACCGCCACCCTCCACGGCAGTCTCCTCTTCCTCATCCTTCTCCATTGACAGGATGTTCTTTCGTTCCAACAATAGTTGCTCGATGCGTTTCTTGCGATCGCTCACTATTCCATCCTCAATCACACCGGTTGGTGCGACCTTTACGCTTGCTCTTGACGAGGCTCCTCGAGGAGCCTTTCTTCGCTTTGATGTCTTGGGTGAGTGTACACCACCAACAGTGCCACTGCCTCCATTAGCCATCGATTCAAAGAAGAACTGTTTCTCTTCGAATGTCAAACCCTCTTGTTCCTTGATATTCTCCAATATCTTCAATCTATTCTCTTTGGCCGATTGATCACATTCCAACAAAGTGTTTATCGTCTCCTGGATCAACAATGGCCATTCAGTGTTGACTCCATCCATCAAGAATATACAACTGAGTGTAGGACTGAACACCTCGCATGTCATATTATAGACTTGATTGATTGATTGAACGGGTCAGTGGAGCTCGAGTCTGAATTAACGTTTGTGTACTTACTCTCCAATGTCCTGATCTTGATCCACACTTCGGATAGCTGGATCTGTCTCCAGTACTTGTTATTTACAGCATAGACGATAATGTCATTGAAGAGGTATACTGTGACCTTCTTCTTCTTTGGTACACCTTCCGAGTTGATCACCAATCGATCAAGTTCAGCAGACTTTACCAACTTCCTATTCGGTTGTATAATATCCTGTTTGAGTGTTATTGATTGATTGAATGAGTTAGTGAGTTAGTGATAGAGTGATATTTGATGATGGGAGGGTGGACTTACAGCTGCCTTTGATCCAAGTGTTTGTTGGATTACTGCCAATGATATTTGGGAATCGTTGTCGCCTCCATTGTTGTTGGTTGTTTGATTTACATATGATACAACATCTTTCATCACGAGCTTGGCTGCAATGAGACCTTCGCGCTCACTCTCATTGGTAGGAGTGTACTGGATCAATTCCTCCAGCAACAAGATATATCTTGGTAATCTCTGCACTGGCATGATCATCAAATCATTCAAGTCCAACTTCTTTGCTTGGGGATTATATTTACATTGCTACAATGAGGAGTGGAATGGATGTCAGTGATCATTCAATCATTAAATCAATCAATCAATCAAGAGTACATACATTTAGAAATGTCCTAAACTTCTTGCTGTTTGTTGTGTGATGCTTGATGGCCTTGAGTGCTTTGTTGTAATAGTTGTGTACAAAGATGGAGTATATCTTTAGGAATGGTCCCAACTCAATGAATATGTCTGATAGTATGATTATGGAAGATGCTGAAGGGGTTGTTCCAGATGTTGATACTGATTGCTCCAAGGATAATTGATCCATGGATGATTGATCCGGGGACTCAGGAGGAGCAGCGGGCGTCGTCGTGGTCATTGTGCCAACTTCCAGGGGTTGTTGTTGTTGTGATGATACAGTGTCAGGTGATAATGGGCCAGTGGCAGAGGCAGGGGCGGAGAATGAAGGTGAGGGTACTGTGACTATGGGTCTGATTGAAGTTGATGATGATGTTGTGTCCAAACGTGATTTGAGTTTGGCCAACATCTCATCATTGGCAGATTTGATTGATTCGATGTTTGCAAATATTGAATCGATCTCTTCAGTTGACAAGATGTCCATTGTCTTTAGTGATGCCAGATATACATTGACCAACACCGACAAGAATGTATTATATGCCAACTCTGTAGACAATATCTCTTTAAGTATATTCGTTCTCTTTTGTATAATATTGAGTTTGTTATTATTGTTGTTAAGAGTGTTGTTGTTAAGAAGGTCGTTGTTGATTGGACTGCCACTACCACTACCACTTCGATGCATTGATGTGTTTAACATTCGCCTTGACTTTGATGATGGTATTATTACACTATGTGTCGAGGGAGATGACTTTGCAGGGGAGTATGACAACGTTGATGCTGTATGTTGTATCCCATAATCAATGTCCAATGCTACAGATGTTTGATTCTGCTGATGTACTTCATCATCATCTTTAAGTATTGATGTTGGTGATGTTGTTTCATTCATTATTACAATAATATCACTAACTAGTTATAAATATAATGAATGATTGAATGAAAGATAGATCAGCTATCAGGTCATTTTATCCAACAAGATGGATACCTTAACCAAAATATCAAAGCCCCGTTATTGGACCCAACACACACATGGTCCCCAACAATGTCCAATCTCAACAAAAGCTCGATGTGACTTGCAAAGGAATGATGTTTGCAGTGGGCCAAAGCATACACAACTCGATCCAAAAATTTTCGACCTCCGATTAACTGGACTAGCTGGATGTATCATTCTAATGAAGTATACAGTGGTTTGACAATTCCATTGACAAGTCTAAGATGTACACCAATCAGACCAAGGTTACAGTTGATCATCATCATTGTCACAATGTATCGTATCCCAGGGATAACATATACCTAAACCAACTTACAACATCAATCAATCAACTTCACTTAAGATCTAAAGTGTGTGATGATCAACAATCACCTAAGTTGGAGAACTTGATGAAGTGAAGTGTGATCAATCAGTCAAACAAAGAAAGAATCATTAGCAAGATAATGGAAGATTCAAGTTGGATGATGATGATGATGATGTGTTGTGGGTGTGATCAGTGTCGCTCATCAATCATCATCGTGATCACAAAATAAGCAATCACTTATTCGAAACAGGGATTGATTGAATCAAGATGAATGGGCTGGATGCCATATATCTTGTGTCTTCGGTCAGTGAATAGTCTGTCAACTCATTCATTCATTCATTCATTCATTCATTCATTGCCAGCACACACACACACACACACACTAACAGACATACACATTCGCTTGTCAATGTTGGGATTGACCACACGACTACAACTACGAATCACTCACACTCACTCTCACACCCGACCACCACTACCACTTCCAACAACAGACTGACGGACAGACATTGAATGTCCTCATTTTGTCATTGTCTTGACTTGTCTTTGCATATGTATGACTGACAGACTGACTGACACATGACATACATGGCGAGTTTAATTAATCATTGACACACCAACTTGTTGTTGTTGTTGTTTGGCGGGCTGCAGGCACTCAAGCAAATGGTAGCACCTGACCTGACTGCACTCACTGCACTGCACTGCACTAGACTGAACAGAGTTGGATGTATGGACGGATGGATGGATAGATGGAATAATCATCATTCAGGCAGTTCCATATCCACCCTAGGTAGATATCGAGCGAAACACCAGTTCGTGGTTTGCCACCCAGTAGTTCCTCCTCTTCTCAAGTGACCCTAACAAGCTATCTAGCTCTATCTACAAACTCGAAAGGTAGGTGCAATCTCTCTATTCCCTCATTCCCTCATTCATTCATTCATTCAACCACGACAATGACTTGGTAGACTACACAAACACAACAACAAACACAATCGCTACACTCATACATACTAATCCAAAAGTTATCAAACAAAGTAAAAGTAGTAGAGTAGAGTAGAGTAAATCATCAACAAGGAAGTACTTACTTACTTACATACTTACTCAACATTAGTAGTATTATCATCAATCAATCATACTTACTACTATAATATATATAATATATACAAGAGAGAGAGATAGAGATGGATAATCCATTAGCAAGGATACAGGAGTTTAGACATCCCATAATCGAAATGTTGGGTAATCCTATGCTTGGATCAAGTTTAAATGAGTTGCCACAGATAGGTGTCAACAGAAGTAACTCATCCAATATGTTGACAACAGACTTTCAAACTCTATTAGTACAGAAGTATAAAGGTACCTAGATCAATCTCATACTTCAACTCAAACTCATCATTCAAACTCAACTCACTCACCTCACCCATTCAAACAAACATAATCAAAATAGAGAATGAACAAACAATTAGAGAATATATAAGGTGTAAGACTATGGATGATAGAAAGAGATATTTGGCAATTGATAAGGAGACATTTGGAATATTGTTCAAGATACAGGAGACACATACTCGTGATACAATGTTTATAGTCTTTGAACAAATGTTCAGGAGGAGTTTTCAATTCCCTCATAAGCCAGCAGCAGCAGTGATCAACAAAGACAACAGTGACAACAACAAGATGGCAGTTGGAACGAGGGAACCTCCAAAGATAAAGTGGGGCAACATCAATAATCACATCATCAACAACAATAATAACAATATAAATACAAGTGGAGGTAGTCATAATAGCGATAATAGTAATACAAGTTTCAGGTACAATCCAGGTGGACAAGATAGTAGTGATAATAGTAGTAGCACATCAGGGGCATCACCACAATCGAATATATTGAGGGACCCTATCCATGGATCATTTCCAATTGAGATACCATCACACAATCAAGACAGTCCAAGAAGCGATATATCAACACTGTCCAATCCATCAAGTTCATGTACTACTGCCACCAACAATACCAACAACAGCTGTAGTACTACGAGCAGTCCAGACAGCAACTCTATATTATCAGCGGCAGAGAGTCCTTGGGACAGGAAACTGGTTGGACAGGACAGTCCTGTGGTAGTCACACATCCATCACCTGGCATCATATCAGAGTGTTACCCGGAGCAACGATCAAAGATGGCAGAGGTTGTAGAAATATTATCATCACCAATGACTTCGGATAGTGAGTCAGACCGAGAACCAGAACATATAATAGATAGTACCATTACCACACCCGAGACGACACCAACATCATCATCACAATCACATACCAGTCATCAGTGGACTGCCAGTCGAGTCCAGGCATTGAGTGATCGCCTGAACCAACCAAACCCCAACCCCACCACAGACTCCAACACTATCACCAATACAGACGCCAACACAGACTCCAACACAATCCCCAACAACAATGTAGTTCGAGCCAATAATAGGAAGTCCAAATCATACAGGTTCAAGAGTCTGAGGCGAATGAGACGCGATAAGGATATTAGTATCAACTTGTTCGAATTGGTCAATTATGTCTATGTGTTGATGTCAAAGATTGGAACAAAGGAGGATAGGATACAGAGTATATTCAATCTATACGATGTCTTTAACAAGGGATACATCGATCGATACGACCTAAAGAGTGCACTCTACTATCGAACCAAACAGAATGGATTTGAACTGTCCGAGCTCACCTTGGAGAACCTCGTTGACAACCTATTTGAACAATTCGACAAGAACATGGATGGACGTATTGACTTTAGTGAGTTCCGCGAGGAGATGATCCTTGATGCGACCAACACTCCAGTCAAGCCAGCGATCGATACTGACTCGTTAAAGGTGAGTATCCACTGATTGATGTACATATTAGGAAATAATCGTTAACTCATTCAATCAATCAATCAAACAGAGCCATGGTATTCGTACATACTTCAGGATCGAGGGAATCAAGGCATTCTACATCGGATTACTTTGTCTAATCAACATTGGATTGATGTTCTATTCATTCTACACAAGTAAGTTTGATCGATCAATAATACCAGGAATCATCACTAAACTAACAATCAATCAAATGAAGCTCGAACACATAATATTAGACAGGTAGATTTGTTTGGTGTTGGACTTTATGTAACGAGGATGGCTGCCACTTTGGTAAAGTTCAATGCATCAGTGATAGTGTTGACAATGTGTAAACAGATGGCGACATGGATGCGTGGAACTAGGCTGAGGCATATATTCCCACTGGACAAATCAATGACCTTTCACAAGTTGTTTGCTGCAGTCATCACAATTGCCTCGTTGATACATAGTATTGGATGGGGAGTTGGATTCTACGTGGCGATGAAGAAGAACGACGAGATGTTCTTTGAAGGTCTTGGCAAGAGATTCACCACACGGCCCACCTACGGATCATTGATGTTTGGAAGTGTTCCAGGCATCACCGGTATGATCATGTTAGGTATCCTCATAATCATTGGCATCACATCTCAGAAGAGGTTCAGACAGAGGTTCTTCGAGGTATGTTGCGGGACTGGATGGGACGCGACTGGACTGAACTGGACTAACAAGCTCATACACCAAATTGTTAGGGCTTCTATTACACTCATCACTTGTTCATTGTATTCTATGCATTGTTGTTGATACATGGATGCAAGGGGTGGATATGCCCCGCTTCGTTCTGGCAATGGTTCATACTTCCAGCAGTGTTGTATGTTGTGGATCGTGCCTTCCGTCTGTTCAAGAGGACTCATCGTGTCACAGTTGTCAACTGCTCACTCAAGAACTCAAGAGTGATCAATCTTACATTCGCCAGACCAAGCTCGTTCAAGTACAAACCTGGCCAATTCATCTTGATCAATGTGCCACAGATATCCAAGCTTCAATGGCATCCATTCACCATGACATCATCCCCAATGGAGTCCACGGTTAGCGTACACATGCGAGTCACTGGTGGATGGACACAACAGCTACACGACTACCTTCGAGATCTCGAGACACAGACGGCAGGAGAACAGACAAAGGATGTAGAGAAGGGTGAAGGAGGGCCATCCTCTGGCGGTACCTTTGAGATCAATGTAGATGGACCATTTGGATCATCCACTCAATATGCAATGAAGGAGAAGCATGTGATGTTGGTTGGAGCGGGCATTGGTGTGGCGCCCATGGCATCGTTACTACTTGACATCAAGTTGAAGAAGGAACAGATCAATGCCAACGAGACCACCAACAATGGCACCGAGTTCACTCAAGGTATCGACAGCAAGCTTGAAAAAGTACACTTCTTCTGGCTCAACAGAGATGTCAACAACTTCAAATGGTTCGATGACTTATTAGTTGGTATGTTATGGACGGGAGTGACACTCATTCAATCAATCAAACAATCAATCATATATCTAACAACCTAAATTGATTGAATGATTAATTAGATGTTGCGAGGACTGGTAATCAGATACCAAAGATATCTTTACATACCTTTACAACCCAATGTATACCAAAGAATGATGCTAGGATCTACTTACTTTGGAATGGTCTGGAGAAGATGTTCAAAGACCAAGGATATGATCCAACTACCAACCTACCATTCAAGACACATTGGGGACGACCCAACTGGGATGTAATATTCTCTTACTATGCCAACAAGTATCCCAATGAGAGTGAGTATCCAATCCATTCATCAATCAATCAATCAATCGATCCCCATGTTCATGTAGCTAACTCCCTAACCTAATCTATATAAATAGCAATTGGATTGTATTGTTGTGGACCTGCAGAGTTGTCAAAGGAATTATATAGACAGTGCAAGTATTATAGCTCTTTGCGTATCAATGGAGTTCGATTCAAGTTTCACAAGGAGAACTTCTAGGTTGCAAGCAACAGAGTGGCGGACATGGCGCATCTACATCCATCCAATAAACATACCGCTTTACATAATATTATAATGCTTCGCAACCAACTTAAGATATATTATTATTATTGGGTTCCAACGAGGGAAAGAGTAAAGACTAAGGATGGATAGATGAATGAATTAATGAACGGATTGGTTGTAGTTGGGTCAAAAGGTAAGATTAAGATGAAGTGGGTGGTCGGAGATGGGTTGTGTGAAGTTGAGTTGATTAGGGTGTGTGTGTGTGTTGTTATAAGATCATTATCTCTACACTCACCCTTTCCCTTTATCTGTATCTCTCTCTTATAATAACAAGAACAACCCCCCTCTTCTCTCGAGGTATATACGTGTTCAATCGATCTAAAGATTGTACAAATGAAGGTGATATCACTTCGTTGTGTATAACAACCAAATCAATCATCAATCATACACACTACACTGATACATACACACATAAACAAACAGATACTAACTGTTATTATTACAAAGATAATAATAAAGTCTCAAGAACTTAGCGAGAGAATAGAATAGAGGAAAGTGATTGATTGATAACACTGGCTGCCAGATGGACTTTGACATCTCCAGATCATTAGCGTCAGTCATGTATCAATGTGCAGCTTATAAGCCACAATCTGGTTGCATACCGCTGAGGATAAAGAAGAAGAAACTTGCACAGCAGGTGGCTTTGAGCAATGGCGAGATGGCAAAGTTGTTCACGATAGACTTCCAAGTGATGTTGGTTACTAGTGGCGGTGGCGACTCTTGGGTATTCCCTAAAGGTTCAATTAAAAAGAGCGAGACAAAGAAAGAAGCGGCAAAGCGTGAAACCTTTGAAGAGGCTGGACTGGAAGGCAAGTTTGCCAAGTCAATCCCTCCGCTAGAAGTAGCCGATCACCACAAGGAATGCAACCTTACCTACTATGTATTATATGTAAAGAAAGTTAATGTATGTCCTTTCCATCTACATCCATTCATTCATTTACTTAACATTATTGTACAACCAAACTAACAGAAACAGTTTGATGAAGCGGACAAGAGGAAAAGACATTGGTTCTCCTTGGCAACTGTTCTACAAGAGGCGATTCCAATGAAGCCGCACATACAACAAGCGATCATCTCAACTCAAAGGGCATTGAATATTCATAGTTCAAGCTTTGGCAATGTCATCAAGATTGAGTACAAGACAAAGAAGAAGGAAGTCGAAGCTGCACTACTAAGTAAACTGTAGGATGTAATGATGATGTCCCTTTGATTCATTCCATTGAGAAAGAGCAATGCATCGGATGCACGCTCAACTATATATTATTATGTTTAATGTATTACATTTGAGTAGTCAGTCTCGTCGGGTTAGGCGACGAATGACTTGGATCGCTTTGGTGACTTCTTGGATACAAGCTTGGACAATGATGCTGTGTGAGTGAGTAGTGATCTGAATCTATTGCCTCCATGATGATGATGTTGTTGTGGCTGAGGTTGTGGCTGTGGCTGTGGCTGGATACCGTCTTGCTCTGGGATAGCTGGAGGAGGAGTACTTTGTACTGGGGATGAGGGCGGACTTGAGTTTGGACTGCCGCTGGACTTGGACTTTTGGACAAACTTGGCCGAGGAGATTGTTCGCAACAACTTCTTGGGCTTGCCATACCATGATGCACCCTTTTTCACCTTGGCCTTCTCCTTTGCTTCCTTTGCCTCCTTCTCTCTCTCCTTTTCCTTCTCCTTCTCCTTGGCCTCCTTCTCCTTCATTTCCTTTGTGACTACTGGCACGACTTTGTGCTTCTTCCTGCCCTTGCGCTCCCTCTTGACGTCCTTGATGAACTTGGCGCCAAACTCTAGGAATGCGCTATCCTTCATCATCTCGCCCCAGTTGCTCTTCTTCACCAGCCAGTCCAAACAGACGCTCCACATTGGCTCCAATGATGTGGTACGGCCCCATCCACCAGGGTTGCCCTCGAACGTGAACACGGTCTTGATGACCTGCACCAAAACGAACGGGTCTAGAATGTTGTACAGAAGCATGGCGCTACACTGTTGAAGCATTGGCATGTTGAGAGTGTAGGCCAGCTTGGCGAGCAGCAGCATGTCAATGACGTCCATGTCTGGGCTGCTCTTGTTGGCGGCCGCAGCAGCAGCAGCCGTGTATGGGACGGCCGTGCTGGCAGGGAAGGCAGACGGCATGCATCCGGCGTACAAGTACTCCAACATTGTCATGACGGCCTTTTGTGATGCGTCGGGGATGTCGATCGTCCAGCCGTTGGTCAGGGCGACGTCACTGAAACCGGATGATGATGCTACGGACATCTTGCGCAGGAGGCTAGAGGGTCCACTAATCGTGCTGTTGTTGTAGCCACTGGGTGTGGACGAACCAGTCGATTGGAACAACGAGATAGTAGAGCGCGACTGCATTGGATGTGACTCAAAGTGCAGCTTGAAGTATGTTGAGCGGTTCGCCAATACCATGCTATGCGCATGGATCGCGCCACCATCATAGAGTATGAGCACGTCAGAGGCGTGACGCGAGTTGATCTGGCGCAACATATACTTGGCCATCTCGAGCGTGCCCAGTCTGCCCTGCGAGTGCTTTGCCAGTGTGTCCAGACAAAGGTTACTCAGCGCCTCCAGTCCAAACTGCGCGGCCACCTCTTGCATATCAGACAGACGGCCTGGTGTGCTGATGACCTCACGAGGGATCTCGCTTGTGTAGACAAAGTGTAGGATGGCCTTGAACAGGTCGTAGCTGACGCCCTTCTCTGTGATTGGTACACGGGACACCTGGCTGAGGTTGAATATACTATTCATACGCGATCGAGTACGCATGCGACCAATGCTGTTGTGGTAGTCCGAGTCGTCCTCTCCATACGACGAGTCGTAGTTGTAGTGATAGAACAGTGACGAGTCCTGCGAGTGTGAGCGCGAGTAGCTGAAGCTGTACTGCGAGCCATACGTGCCCATATAGTACTGCTGCTGTTGCTGTTGCTGCGATGAATGCGGGTGCGGCAGCATCGTAGCGCTACCACTACCAGTGGACAGCAGGCCACCGTGTACGGAGCGGTGGCTGTGTAAGAGGTCGATAAAGAATTTGTACTGACGCAGGACGATAGAGTGAGCAAAGATCTCGCGGCCATCGACAACAAACACAATGTCATAGTAGTCGCCGTCCAGTGCCAGTCGCAGGTCATTGCCCAGGGGGTCAACTGGTGTCTTGGTGCCATCGATAGACGAGCCAAACAGACGTGATTGATGATGATGTCCATGCTTTGACTTGATGTGTTGGTAGTTGTACAGGTGCTCTACGCAATCAAAGTGTCCAAACAATGATGCCAGGCACAATGGGGTCATTCCCATGTTATCTGGGGCTGTCGCGCACTTCTTGTTCGTAGCCACCAGGCTTTCCAAAAGGCTTCCATGTCCGCCAATTGCTGCTTCATGTATTGGTAGTCTACCCTTGTTGTCAGTCTAGAGTTGGTCAAGTGATGAGTTAGTGAGTGAGTATGTTGAGTATGCTGGAATAGTTCCCTGGCTTGCTACTTACGATGAACAATACACTGTCAGCCTTTGAGTCCTTCTTGGAGCTGGAGGCCTTGCCTGAACTAGCTCCTGCACCACCAGACGCAGTTGATGCCGCTCCAGTCTTCTTCTTTTGTTGCTTGCAGTAAAAGAGGAGGATGTCAACGATACTCTTCTTTCCTTGGCGCGCAGCAATGTGTAGTGGAGTGGCACCTTGGTTGTCCTGTGCTGAGATGGATGCGCCACGCGCCAGCAGCAACTCGCAGCACGACATGTAGGCGTCATAGTTGGAGCCTGCGACCGGACTGCCAAATCCGAGCATGCTCTGGTACGAAGGGCAGTTCTGGATGGTGAGATGTAGAGGTGTCGAGCCATTGACATCGGCCGAGGCCACCAAAGACTTGAAGTCCAGCAACAACTTCATTACGCTGACATAGCCCTTGACTGCGGCCACGTGTACGGCATTGCGCTCCAATGACTTGTTGGTGGTGGTGACCTTGGCGCCACGCATCAGCAGCAGAGACACAGTTGCGAACTGTCCACGCTCGACCGCGTAGAACAGTGGTGTCTCCTTGTTGTTGTCCTTGGCGTTAGGCATCGCGCCATAGTAGAGCAGGATCTCCACGCTCTGGGGATTGGCGCACGCGGCGTAGTGCAGTGGGGTGACACCACTGTTGTTCACCGAGTTGACGCGTGCTCCGCGAAGGACGAGATGGCGAATGGCCAAGATCGAGCCAATGATGGATACCCTGTGTAGTAAACTGTTGCCATTTGTGTCGCGAGCATTAAAGTCCTCCTGGTTGACGAGGGTCTTGATCTCCTCTTGCACCAACACGGCATGCAGCAAAGAACGCTCGCCAGAAGACGACGACTTGTGGCGGCTGGGCTTTGGTACGCGCTGTCTGATAATGGGTACAGATGGGCTACGTGACACCAGTGGCTGCTGCTGGCGAGTGAATGATTGTTGTTGTGGTGTGGTAGTCGTCGTGGTGGTGGTCGTCAGGGTTGTTGTCGCGCCAGTTGTTGCAGTGGCGGGGGCTGTTGGCTGCGCAGACTCTGGCGCGGATGGAATCATTGTTACCAGAGATATCTCTGGCGGTGAGATTGAAGTGCGGCCCAACGCACTAATGTGTAACTGTTCCAGCTGGCATTCATCCACTATCAATGGCGTGCCCTTGTATAATATATCGCTATTGTTGTTTGTGATGCTGCTGCTCGCAGTGTCTGGCAACTCTGTCAGATTTGATGATGATTGAATGACATCGCCTATGTTGTCTACTCCTCCTGTTATTGTTGTGTCGCATACATCGAGTTGTTGCTGTTTGTTGTTGGGTGAGGTCGAGGGTGAGGGCGAGGTCGAGGGCGAAGGTGATGCGCCGTCAAGCTTTGGTGAAATGACTATCAGTGGGACATCCTGTCCAGATGGAACCAAGAAGTTATGTTCTGTTATTGTTGTCGTGGTGGTAGTCGTCGTTGTCTTTAATGTGGTCATCGTTGCCACATTGCATGGCAACTGTTGTTGTTGTTGCTCCAATTTATCCATCTATATTATATTATACTATTTATTGATGGATAGATTGATTGATTAGACTTTGTGATTGATTGATTGAATGATGACTGATTAATTGAGGACAAGACAGTGGACAGACAGAAGAAAGGATATAGTTAGAGATAGATGTGATGGTGATGGAGATGAAGTAGGAGATGATGGAGTTGGTTGAGGTTGGAGACCAGACTAGACCAGACCAGACAAACAGGGAAATTTGGACTAACATCTCAACCATCAATCCAACTATCCATCAATCCATCCACCAAGCAATCACCTCATCCACGTGAATGACGAGGTTGTGGGTGGCGGACCCCCCAATGGTGGACAGGCTAGTAGCATATGCACACCTACTACTCTCTCACATGACCCATGGCAATCACCATAAGGAGTAGTAGTTGTGTTTAGTTGTTTGGTTATTGATCAATCATTCATTCATTCATTCTTACTTAGGTGTGGTGTGTGGTGGATGGTAATCTCTCACTCGAGTGTGTGACGAATGTGATGGACGGGTTAGGGATGACATGTATGGCAAGGGTGCGAATTGGTGTGTGGTGTTCTAAGGGCGGACGATAGAGGTAGGTGTCTTGTTGTTGGCAATCACACTCGTGTAGTGGCATCGGGAAGTAGTAGTGGGGATTATATATGATATGACCCATTAATGATAAAGCACATTTATATATGTGTATAACAATATTCATTGACACTTATAAACTTGATGTTGATGAATGAGTGTGTGATGTTGAGTGATGGTGATGGAAGCTCACACACATCACAACGATTATGTTAATCATTGATTGATTGAGGTGTGAGAAAGTGAATGAATGAGTTGAATGAAATGAGTGATATGATAATGATGTGATGGTGATTTGATATGGTAGTTGTGTGTATTACCTCTACTACTATCTACTATTGCTACTGCTACTACTACTACTTGTTATACTACTGCTACAACTACAACTTAAACTGCTATCATAGTAATATATGTCTATTGATTCGAGATGGATGCCGTAGACAAGATAGGTGCGACGATCTGTCTGCTGTGTCTATCTGTCTGCCAATGGTCACCAATGAATATGTCCTGTCTGGCAAGTCCGTCGTCGTCGTCCTTGATATACAAATCGTAATCGTATACCTGGCACTTCCTCTCTAAAAGTTTCTCGATTGATTGATTGATTGATTGGTACTAATACAACTACTAACTTCTACTACTTATTACTTAAACATATATATTTGGAGTGGAGTGTGAATGTTGGTATACGCTCGGTTGATTGATTGACTTGCTAGCAAAGCCTAATCAATTTGGGAAGTGGGGAGAGGAGGTACACTTGGCATCGTCGGGCTCCATTCATTCTCAAAGCTCGTCATTACACAAGAAATTCGATTTTTTTCAAGTTCCAAAAATAGGTACTTTGGTCAATCAAATCATTAATGGGGCAACACACACCTTTGTGAAAGGTCCAATGGTTGGACACTGTGCCCAACCCATCACTCCCATCATTTATGATTGTCCAATCATGAATTAATTAAGGATTATTTATTATTCCTCTCCCCTACAATTTTGGATAAAGGAAGTTTTTGAAGGAGAGAATCTAAATAATTAATTGAGTTGAGAAGAATAAGTTAATTGAATTACTCCAAAATAGAATTGATTATACTTACCAATTGATAAAGGTATGTTGGGAGGAGGTGGAAGAGTCTGACCATCATTTGGTGAAGTCAACTTGGTACAGATCCATTCACATCCTTGATGTGATCCATCCAAGTAGGTAGAGTAACATTTGAGATCGAATCTACAGTATTCCTTGAATGATTGACTGCCACGGAAACATGCACCTAGACAAGTGTCAAAGTCGCCATCGTCCATACCAGACACTACAGAGACCAAAGACAGCATGGCCATCAATAACAATAATATTGTTTTCCAATCAGTAACATGTAACTTTTGCCATAGTAGTAGTTGAGGTAGCTTCATTCTCTCTCTCTCTCTCTGTAACGTCTATTAATTAAATTAATTAATTAATTATATGAATCAGATCAGTGGATGATGGAATTAAACCTTTCCTTGTATCTACATCACATGTCTTGACCAATCCAAATTGATTGTTAATTCAAGGATGACATGTCATCTTCATAGTGAACATGACTGTTCCGTTACCTTGAAGTGTAGTATGACATTACCTTTGACTATGTGTGTGAGTGTTTGTCTGTGCATGTGGAAGTGATTGTCTGTGTGTGATATCTTTTGATTGTGTGTATGTGTGAGTGTAGAAGTACAGTTACAATGACATGTCATACATGTTATATATTCATTCCCCGTGATGACATTATTACGATCTGACATTGATTGTATGTTGAATATATTATATTAAGATCACTTACCTTTTATGGATGGGTTGGATCTTGAACGGCAACCGGACACGCCAGGAACCCTCAACACTGTGTTAGTTAGTCCGATGAACTACCATCAATATGGGTCTAGTCCACCATTATTCATACATTGTATATTTCAAAAGAAGTAGGTAGGTAGGTGGACATGTGATTGTGACAGTGACTGTTTGGAAACGATCAAATCTATTCATCCAATCATATTAATTCACAACTGATGTACATCAATAAAATTCAAATTCGGGCGCCATGATGATCCAAAGCGCCAAATTTCAATTTATTGGAACGAACTCAACCAACTCACACACAAACAAACAAAGACACTCACACATACACAAGTTGTCATTCACAACTCAATCTATTATCATTTATACATATACACATACATATATAATTATATAACAAACAAAAATGTTCGACGCTAGATTAATCCAAGCAAGCCTCTTCAAGAAGATATTGGAGTCGATTAAGGACCTCGTAGAGTCTGCCAACTTTGACTGCAGCCCTTCTGGAATCTCACTGCAGGCAATGGACTCTGCCCGTGTTACCTTGATCAACCTGTTGCTCCGTAATGACGGTTTCGACAACTTCAGCTGCGACCGCTCCATCTCCCTCGGTCTGTCCATCGGTGCCTTGTCCAAGGTGTTGAAGTGTGCCGGCAATGACGATACACTCACCCTGAAGGCTCGTGATGAGCCAGATACCCTCACTCTCGTCTTTGAGAGTCCAAGTATGTATATACATATAATATTTATTCTGATTGATTTCTCATACTAACATACATACTCATTCTCATTCTCTATCTCTCTCCCTCTCCCCATCTCTCTCATCTCTTCTACTTTAAAGAGCACGACAGAGTCAGTGACTTTGAGATCAAGTTGTTGGAGCTGGACCAGGACCAGTACGGAATCAAGGATTCTGGTTACTCTGTCACCATCAAGATGCCATCTACTGAGTTGCAGCGCATCTGCAGAGATCTGTCTGCTCTCGGTGAGGTCGTCACCATCTCTGCCACCAAGGAGGGCGTCAAGTTCTCTACCACCGGTGAGGTCGGCTCTGGTAACATTACCGTGCGCCCAACCTCTGACACCTCTGTCCCCGCCGATGAGTCCACCACCATCGACTCCAAGGAGCCAGTCACCTTGAACGTCGCCCTCAAGTTCCTCGGTTACTTCACCAAGGCCACACCATTGTCCCCAATCGTCACCATCAAGATGAGTGAGGGTGCCCCAGTCGTCGTAGAGTACACCATCGAGGAGCTCGGCTACCTGAGCTTCTTCCTTGCTCCAAAGCTCGGTGATTAATGATCATCATCTTATCCCCAAAGCGAAACGAAACGAAACGATATCACAACCAATCATTCAATCATTCAATCTACCGAAGTGACCTTCTCCCTCCACTGTATCAAACTACACCTCCTCCTTCCTTCTCAAAGACAAACCTCAAGTATAGTATACTTGGGACCAATCCACAATCAATCAAAAAACTACAATATATGCTACTTACATATACATTAGCAATCAATAAATCCAAAAAACTTGTTTGCTTCCCCAGCTTTCATCAGTCAATGACTAGTCTACCATCCATCAATCCATCATTCATTCATTCATTCATTCATTTGACCCCAACTCTTCGTCCAACCTTTACTGCTCACCCACATGTATCCATTTCTCTTGAAAAACACACAAGTTCGAACTTGTCTCTCATCCGATGTCCAGTCGCTGTTGACAACAAAACGATATCCTCCACACACACATTGTTGTCAACAAACACACATTAACAACATTACTATCTTATCTAAATAGATATTTATTTGTATATATATATATATATATATATATACATAATAGATAGGTGTAACAACAAACATGGATTATACTGCTCTATATAGTGATAATGACGATGATGAACGTAATGACCTATTGTTACCAAATGGACTGAGTAGCAAAGGAAAGGCACCAACCTCTAGCTTCTCATCAGGGTTCACTCTTCGCAATTGGTATGTGATCATCACATTCATTCGACTCATTCATTCAACTCAATCAGCTCAATCAACTCAACTAACATATCCTTTGATTGTCCATCATTAGCTCGGCATGGGCAAAGAGAAACAAGGTCATACTCATTGTAGTTGCAGTTGTAATTATATGTATCATAGCAGTTACTGTAATACCAGTGGTCATATTACATTGTATGTTATATATTTACATCAATCAATGAATCAAACTGACTCTGACATCAAACTAAATCAAATCAAACAAGACAAACCAATACAAGTACTATCGGATAATTGCTCAACTGATGGAGCAAGATTGGTTAGCGTAGCACTGGAAGGTACGATGGCATTTAGCAAGTTGTCAACTATGTGTATTTCATTCGGAAACAGACTGTCTGGTTCAAGTTCACTGGAACAGGCGATAACCTGGATACAGGAGCAGATGACTGCCGATGGCTTGGACAACGTTCAGACACAGCCCGTCATGGTCACACATTGGGTTCGTGGCAATGAATACGCCTCGATCCAACTGCCATACACAAAGAAGATGAACATACTTGGTCTTGGTGGATCGGTCAACACATCATCCGTATGTCATTGTTGTCGCTGTTGTTGGTATCACGTGACACATCACTAACACATCAATCAATCAATCAATCAATCACAACTCATAGAATGGCATCACAGCAGATGCTATTGTTGTATCCAGCTTCGAAGACTTGACTATCAACTATCCAAACTGCACTGGCAAGATCGTGGTGTTCAACGCACCATTCACAAACTACTCGGCAACAGTCTCTTATCGTTCGGGTGGCGCATCTGCAGCAGCAGCCTGCGGCGCCATCGCTGCGTTGGTACGCTCAGTCACTCCTTTCTCTCTGGGCACTCCACACACTGGCACTTTGCACTACGACGAGGCACATCCCAAGATACCATGTGCAGCGATCACTTTGGAGGATGCAGATCTGCTTCAAGGCATATTCAACATGAACAAGACCATCCAGATCAATCTCTACATGGAGGCACAGACAATGCCACAGCTGGCCGCATCCCGCAACGTGATGGGAGAGGTCACAGGCTCGGACCTGCCCGAGCAAGTGGTCGTCATTGGTGGACACGTCGACAGTTGGGACGTGGGCCAAGGAGCCGTCGACGATGGAGTAGGCATCATGGTGGCGTGGGAGGCCGTGCGTCTGATCAAGTCACTGGGCATCACACCAAGAAGGACGATCCGCGTTGTCGGATGGACTAACGAGGAGAACGGTGCTGCAGGTGGCCAGGCCTATGCCGAAAGCCATTTGAACGAGACATTCTTCTCGATCGAGACGGACAATGGTGCCACCCAGCCTCTTGGATTTGCCGTGCAAGGCGCGTCCTCGGCAACGATGCGTGCACTTCAAAAGCTGTCGGATGAGGTACTCATGGATCTGGGCGCCAACAACATCACCACGGGCGACTCGGGCGAGGACAACAGCTTCCTGATCGTTCCCAACAAGATACCCGGTGCCAACATGGTCGTCAACATGACACAGTACTTTTGGTATCATCACTCAGAGGGTGATGCCATTGACAAGGTCAACCCCAAAGAGATGGATCAATGTGTAGCAACACTGGCTTCGATGGCCTTGTGCATAGCCAATTTCAACGGAGACCTACCATCATAAGTTTTACAGTCCCCTGTTGTATCACATTATATATATACGTACACAACTGTCGACTCAGTCTCCTACTACTCCCCTCTTCCTCCAACCAACAACCTTCAACTCCACATTCAAGTAATAACATCCCCTTACATTCTCTCTCTCTCTCTTGGACCACATGTCTTCAAGCACCCATGTCCTTGGATATAAGTGTTAATCTGATGGTTCATCGTTGAGTAACATGTTCCTAAAAAGGGTAAACTTTGAGTGTGTGGTGGGTGTGCTGCAAAGACGAAGTCGTTGTAGTGTTGATCAACCCCACAACCCCCACTCCTCACACACACAAGCATGGTTTGATTACTGTTCTCGATCATTCAAATAATATTATTATTATCTATATTTGTAAGTGTCTAAGAGGACCACATTTGATCCTTGTGGGTCATATCTAATATGACATCGGATCAAATAATACATGATTCATCTTACACATTTGTAATAATAACTAATGTCATTACTATCACAACAACAACAAGATTTATAAATTATTCTTTCATTCATTCTTCCAGCTCCTTTTCCTCTTCTCCATTCTCATCATCCAAACATCAACTTCATAATCATTATAATTATTAATTTTTTAAACAACTTGTACAAATATCAATTCAATCATACTCAATCACTCTCAATTAATCAATAATATTTAGTTATAATGGTTTATGGACCTTTGGCAACAGATGTTGCACTATTCTTGGTACAATGCATGTTGATATTGGCATTATCTAGGATGACATCTTGGTTATTTTCCAAGATCAAACAACCTCCAGTGATTGCAGAGATTATATCAGGTATAATACTGGGGCCTACCTTATTAGGTAAGGTGCCTCACTTCAGTTCAACACTATTCCCAGCCAAATCAGTGACCTATTTGAACATGTTTGCACAAATTGGTCTATTATTCTTTATGTTCATTATTGGACTTGAATTGGACCCTTCACTATTCAGATCACATGTTAAAGAATCTGCAATGATCAGTTGTGCAAGCATTATTATACCATTTGGACTCGGTCTTGCATCATCTGTATATCTGGCACATATTCAACAAGCAGCATGGACCTATTCCCTTGGTATCTTTGTGGGAGTAGCACTCAGTATCACAGCTTTTCCAGTACTTGCTCGTATTCTAACCGCCAAAAAAATGTTATCCACACCTGTAAGTTCATCGTTTTGGATTCATCCCAACCTTCAATCACATGACCGTCTTTCAATCAAACATAATATCACTCGAACACGAAGGAATGATTCGTGTTCGATCACTCCATCACTCCATCACTCAATCACCCAATTGCTCGATCACTCAATTGCTCGATCACTCGATCACTCAATCACTCAATCGCTCGATCACTTGATCACTCGATCACTCGATCACTCAATCACTCAATCGCTCGATCACTCGCTATATCACTCGAGGGAATGATTCCACTCACAATCACTCGTCGATCACTAAATCGCTCAATCATAAACTTGATCACTAACCTATAACTTACACATCCACATAATCAAAGGTTGGAATATTGGCAATCTCATGTGCAGCGATCAATGATATATGTGGATGGATATTGCTTGGCTTGTCAGTTAGCTTGGTGGGAGGTGGTGACTCGTTGGCCACTTTATGGACATTGTTGGGTTCAGCTGGATTCGTCGTGGTCATGCTGTTCTTGGTCCGGCCTCTCTTATCAAGGACACTTAGACACTTTTGGAGAGTACCATCATCTAGTAGTGATCAATCTAGTGAAGCTGCCGACCACCCTCCATCTCCATCACACTTGTTGATGAGTTGTATAGTATTCCTACTATTCTTGGCATCATGGACCACTGAGATCATTGGTATTCATGCAATGTTTGGGGCATTCACACTTGGTGCTATCATACCAAAGGAAGGCGGATTCAATCAATCAATCACAGAGAAGATTGAAGACCTCATCCTTGTTTTCTTGCTGCCACTCTACTTTGTGATCTCGGGACTCAAGACCGACTTGTCAACGCTCAACACTGGCGAGGCATGGCTTGGAGTGCTGCTGATCGTCAGCTGCGCGACCTTTGGTAAGGTCGTGGGATCGGGTGTGGTGGCCTTCCTCTTGGGTCGAAGCAAGCGCGACTCACTCTCCGTTGGCATACTGATGAACACTCGTGGTCTTGTCGAACTGATCGTACTCAATCTTGGACTGGACTTTGGTATCATCAATGCTGAGGTGTTTGGTATCCTCGTGCTGATGGCCATCATCACAACACTGATGACAAGTCCCCTTATCTCTACAGTATCCAACCGATTCAAGGCCAACAATCCAGATGACTTTACTGTAGTTCTCTGCACATCACAGCTCAACATTGGTCAAGCGATGGTCGACCTTGGATTTGTGATTAGTGATCGCACCACGGCCACAGCCATCCGTCGCAAGATGTTGAAGAAGCTGTATCTACTCCCCATCTCTGAGGTCAGCGAGCGTCCTTCAGACTTTATGAATGCCATTCGCAAGGATGCCAAGTCGTCGCTCAACAGTCTCGTGGAGTACAGTCGCAATCAAATGAAACTAAAGTTGTCGATCCATGGAATTGTCGCGGACTCTGATAGCCTGGCATCAGAGATAACATCATTCTCTTCGACCAAGAATGCAAGATTGATTGTACTTGGTAGCCGTCCATGTTTGGAGGTTGATCAACTTCAACTCAATGACCTTCAAGATCAGTTACTAAATCATTCAATGTGTCCAGTTGGTATATTTACTGATCGTTCGTCACACCGTCTTCCAGGCCCACAGAGATTCAAAAGGATCTTGCTTGGATACATGGGTGGATCACATCCATTGGACAGATACACTTTGGATATCATAAATAAGATGGCAGACACTGATAATGTACTCATTACAATCATTGTGTTTGATAATGATCTGTTCTGGATTAGCAAGGTTGGTGATAAGACTGCTGATGGGGGTGGATGTGGAGGATTGTCCCCTGAAGTGATCTGTACACCTTCAGTATCATTCGCCAATAATGGTACACCTGTTGGTATCGACTCGTCCATTGGACTATCAGGTTCATCAATCAAGTCATCTACAGATGTGATCGCCAACACACTTGGTAATCAATCATCATCAACAGAGACCAAGGACCAGTATGGCAGTCACTTGGAATCAGTTATCAATGGCAAGAATAAGAATAAGATCACAGTGTTGTACAAACCATGGAAGAACAGACATAGAGAGTTGATCAACATATCAATACATTATGATCTACTTGTGGTACCTTCTGATGACAATGTTATTGTTGGTGTGGAATCATCCCAATACAATGGTGTTCACTATGAAGAGTCGTCAACACCAGGTGTCATTCAATTGACACCTTTGGACAACATCAAGAGGTCAATTTCAATGGTACACTTATCAGGTAATAATCGATATGAAGAGATTGGAGTGGATGTTGCCGAGGGTGGCCAGTCAACATGCAACACTTTGGAGAATTCCCAAGCATCACATACCCAGCAACCAATCATGAACAGGCAGTTCTTGGAGGGTAGCACAGGGATCAATTATAATCAATCATCAAATGACAATGGATCAGACATTGATATGATGATGTCAACTCGAGATGTGGATGTGGAAGTGGAAGTTGGTGGTCATTCTCCATCATCATCATGTTGGTCCAAATGTCCAATATCAACACTTGTCATTCATTGTCCACAACACATACTAAACAACAACAAAGTATCTTGTCAAGACAGTCATATTGATATAATCCCATAACATATAACATTTAATAAATGTATTGTACATTATCTCATTATACTTGGTGTTGATCATGATCCAATTGAATGGATACAACTTGTTACAATTGTTTTATTAGTGTCCAAAGTTGGATTATAAATCATGATTGATGATGGGTGGGAGGGTATGATGAATGAATGGCATTGTCAACTCGATTAATGGGTGAAGGTTGAGTTGTGTGGGCCGACCTTGATGTTGGAGTAGACAACGTAGGCGTTGGGGTACTGGCTCTCGACGTACGATGGACTTCCAGAGGTGGTAGAACATCCTCCACGTGCAACACCTGGTTGGTTGGCTGGGACATTGGTTGGGTAGCTAGAGTCCAACCACAACATGTCAACTGCATAGTCATCCCAGAGAGACATGACGAGGACCATGCCACCTTGGATGGCCTCGCCCATAGCCTTGAGACCACCGTGCTGGTTGAAAGAGTCAACGTCGCCAAAGGCCTTCTTCTGTTGGACACAGAACTCTTGGTTGATCACATTGCCTGGGACATCCTCAACGATCGAGAGGGAGTTGGGGATCACCTTGCCATCCTGGACGTAGAAACGACGGATCTCGGTGAGGGTTCCAGTTGGGGTACCATCGTCGGTGATGAACTGGGTGACAACGGTGACAACCTTCTTGGTGTCGACGGTAAGGCCTGGTCCAAAGAAGGTCTCATTTCCCATACGGTATGGGTTGAAGTCACATCCATCTGGGTCACAGGTGCCAGAGTAACGGTTGGTCGAGCTGGCGCCTCCACACTTGTCACCATCACACATCACGTTGCCCGGGGTGTCACACGCGTGTGGGGTGAGGGCGGTAGCCATGCTGTTGGCCTCCCAAAGGTCCATCTCGGCACAGCACGAACCATGACCTCCAAGTCCACTGTTGGTTGAAGTTGGGGTCCATCCCTCAGAGTTTGCCTGACCTTGGATAAACTTGACATCTCTTGGGCATTGAGCATCACAGTAGCCAGTTCCAAACTTGGCACCAGCCTTGTTTGTGGGGTGCTTGGCCATACCTCCATCAGAGTCCATCGATACCAAGTAGAGGGCACCGTTGAGACCACATGGCAAGTTGGATACATCGACGTCAAAGGTGAACTCTTGGCCGAGCAACTGGAACATCTGGTAATCAGAGTCGTTAGCCATCAGGTAGAGACGGGATCCAACATTCTTGTTTTGGCCTTGGGTCACAAAGTTGAGGCGGAGTGCGTCACCCTGGGTGGTGACTCCGTAGGTGGACTCGTACTGGGCTCCATCTAGAGCGCAGTTGGCAGCGCAGGTCACATCATCTGGACAGTATTGCTCGTTCCACAGGTTTCCGGTGTAGCAGTTGGTTCCTTGGGCACTGTGAACCCATCTCCAGTTGGCATCCATGACGACCTCTCCTTGGACCTGTTCACAATGGCCACCCTGTTGGCACTTTTGCCAAGTCATTTGTGGATGTACCTCTGGTGTCATTGTACCAGCTTGTTGGGCAATATTTAATGATATACATAATGATACAAATATTAATAATATTTTAATTGATTGCATTTTTGTTTGATTTTGATTTGATTGAATATTATTTTTAGTTTAATTTAATATACAGATAATAATAATAATTATTATAATAATAATAATAATATTAGTTGTTGTTATTATTACACACACACAATCTATATATTAAATGTAGAATGAAGATAGTCAGGATACCAATTTATAGTTTGAGTCTTAGAGTTAGTTCTTAGGCTTAGGCTCTGACCGAGGCCGAAGAGTGGGGTATTCATTGTAATTCAACGACTCACCCTCACTCACACACTCTTACAGGACTCGGGGTTTGTGTTAAACTTAAGTAATATTATAACAATCTTTGACTTAACCAACCCTTGGAGAGGGCAGGGCCATCCATTTCTTGACGGTTGACTACCGACAACATCATCACACCCATACTTTAGATGATGAGAAGGAGGAGGATGAGGATGTTGGGTCCAGCTATGGGAACGATAGATATCTTATCGACTCAATGTGGATTGTTTATTGAGAGACTCAATACAATACAAGTTGGTTGAGTGGGAACCTCGTCTAACCGAAAGATGTATCACCAATCTATTTTATCTTGAAAAGGTTTTCCAAATGGAGAACTAACCAATGGACGTTTGAGTTGTCAAAATGAAAAAAATCAACAAGGGGCCACTTGCAGAGTTTTGGCAGGGCTGGTGTTGACGTGATCTGATGTTATTGTTATTCCAATGAATGGATGAATGGATGAATGGATGAATAAAGGTGAAGGAAGATGGTGTCCGTATAAATGGAGACGGAGGTTTTGACTCGACACACAGACTACTACTCGACATTGGTCCGTTGAATTTATAACAGGAATCGGTATCACGACGCGTCTTTCAAATTAATCAATCAATCTATCAATCAATAGTTCAATCAATCATAATTATCTTTGCATATACAATTGCAACTTCTTCCTACTCAAGTTGAAATTGCATCATCAATCAATCATTGCAGTTGAATACTTCAGAAGAGTATTCTAAAAATCTGATGAAGTGTAAATAGTTTAATTGAATTTCAAGTCAATAAAGATCCAACTGATAATCTTTAATATTAAAATATTTTGATTAAATAAATATTCCATCCAAACCTTCTCTTTCTAGCCCTCTCTCCAATTGGATAGTACAACCAGAATTACTTTTAAAATAATAAAATATATTTTGTTCTAGTTATCCCAAGTATACCTAGGCAAGTCCTTTACTTTGGCACTATACCATATAAAACTGACAATTACCTTCGTCACAATAGTATACATGTGGTTTTGATTTCCATCAATGAAGTATATTCATCGGTCCGTTGCCATTCAACTATGGAGCCTTGATGTTCTGGGGATTATAATGAGATCCATTATGAATCTCAATAATTAAGATTTTGATTCGCCTATTTTTTAGGCTCTTATACTACTCGTTTTCTTAGCAACAACATAATGGCTCCATAGTTGAATGGTACAATACTACCTTTGGGTGGTAGTGGTCTGGGTTCGATTCCCGGTGGAGCCCAATCTTTATGTTCTTTGAGCCCCATTCCGAACTTCCGAAAGCCCCCTCAGTGACAAGTTCATCAGAAGACCCTCACAACCGTGTTCAATCAAACAAGCATATTATTATCTCTTTGTTCAAACAAACACACATATATTATATAGAAGATGAATACATACCTATTTCAAAAGCAACTGCGACCTCCAACAGGTGTAGAGCATTGTGTAAAGGCCAACCTCATCTCTAACGATCATGTCAATCTAGTTGTTGCAAAGACAACACTATTACAAGTCTATACAATACGTTATGATCGTGTTACAACAACTACATCAACAAGCAATGATGATAACAATAACAACAACAACAACTCTGATGACAACAATCAATCGACATCTACAACAACAACCATTACAACAACAAAACCAACACTTGAACTTAGTATTGAAGTCAACTTATTCGCATCGATTGAATCACTCAATGTTATTAGACTACCAGATAGCTCATGCGACTCTATAATACTATCATTCCGCGATGCAAAGGTATCGATACTCAACTACAATCCAGAGACTCAACAGTTGGACATCTCTTCGATGCACTTTTATGAGAATAGAGTCGACTTGAAGAATGGTCGCGAGTCATTCACCAACCCCCCGTTGATCAAGGTGGACTATCAACAGCGCTGTGCTGTGATGCTGGTGTACGACCGCCACATTGCCGTGCTGCCCTTTCGCCAGTCATTCTCGTCGATCCTAGACGAGGACGATGACGACGACGAGCAGACGGGCGGCACCGCCGCCAACAAGGAGAGCTACATCATCAGCCTCAACAGTCTGGGCATCGAGAATGTCAAGGATCTGTGCTTCCTGCACGGCTACTACGAGCCCACCATCCTGTTCCTGCACGAGCCCAGCCAGACGTGGACCAGCAGGATTAGCACCAAGAAGTTTACGAACGTGCTGACGGCCGTCGAGTTGAATATATCGCAGCGACAGCAACCCGTTATTTGGTCGATCGAGTCGATGCCCTACAATTGCTACCGACTGGTGGCGGTGCCAGAGCCGCTGGGCGGCGCAGTCGTGGTCACTCCCAACATCATGTTCTATTGCAATCAAACATCACGCTATGGTCTTGGCTGCAACGAGTATGCCAACACAGACACTGGTGACAGCTTCCAATTCCCCATCGACTCTGACTCCACCAACCTCGTCTTTACACTCGATTGTTCAATATTCACATTCCTCGAGTCTGATCGATTACTTGGATCACTAAAGAATGGTGAGCTGTATGTATATCCAGGTCCTGGCACTCAACTACCTCATCAATCATACTCATTACTCAATCATTCTCCAATCCCAGGCTTATCTTCCACTTGGCCTCTGATGGCAGGAATGTACAACGTATCAACATTACCAAGGCAGGTGCAAGTGTCCTATCCTCATCTGTAAGTCCCTTTGATTGAATGAATGAATGAATGAATGATTGCTAACATGTTACATCCATAATCCAAGATATGTGTACTCACTTCCAACTTGTTATTCTTGGGCTCGAGACTTGGAGATTCATTGTTGTTGCAATACACAGAGAAGGTGATTGATGTCGAGTCAACGGACAATGTGGAGAATCTAAGCAATCCTTATAAGAAACAAAAGTCTGATGAAGTGTTTGATATGTTTGATGATGAAGAGCAACAACATCTCAACAAAAAGAACAACAACAATAGCAAGAGCAACACTGGCAACAACAAAGACAAGAATGGTGATGCGATGGAAGACGACGACGATGACGACATATTCAATGAGAAGAAGAATCAACTCAAATCATATCAGCTGAACATTTGCGATCACATTACAAACATTGGACCAATCAGTGACATGATCACCGGCGTCAGCTACGACTCGGCAAGTGTGTCAAATCAAGAATCATACCAACAGCGCAATCTAGAGTTGGTGTCTTGCAGTGGCCATGGCAAGAATGGTGCATTGACAATCTTGCAGAATGGTGTCCGCCCTGAGCTTGTGGCCACGTTCGAGCTGGCTGGAGTGCGTCAGGCATGGGCCGTCTGCGTGGACGATCCTTCAGCACCCGGCGCACAAAAGAAGCGCACTCACGACTCTGATGTTCTGGACAACTCATGGCACACATACCTCTTTGCCTCACTAGAGAACACGACACTTATCTTCTGGACTGGCAAGGAGCTCAAGGAAATCCCTGGCAAGATCGATCACGCCACCATCACCATCGGCAGCATATTCAATCGCAAGAGGATCGTGCTGGTCTATCCCACTGGCATCAAGTTGTTAAGTGGACGTATGTATCATCGATAGACAGTCCCTGGAATGATCCATACTAACGACTCTCAATCAATCAAAACGATCAGACTCAAACATCACTCAAGAGATACCAATGAAGGATATTAGGACAGCATATGTGATTGATCCTTATGTGTTGGTCTTGCACAAGGATGGCACGATTGCCATTTTGAAGGGAAACTCTGGTGTTCATCAATTGATGGAGTACTCATTCCCAGCGCCAAAGGACTTCACCGTGGCATGCTCACTCTTCCAAGACCTGCAGGATACGCCATTCTTTAATGAGAACACATCTCAAGTCTACATGATCCTGCTCAACAGGCGATCGACAATGGATATCTACTGTCTCGAGACCAAGGAGATAGTATACTCAGCCGTCAATGTAAATAGAGAGTATGAGACACTTGGCCTGCAGATGAATCACTTCACATCCAGTCAACTATTCCTGCATGCGAATGGTGGTGGCAAGTCATCGTCGTCCTCATCATCATCGAATCAACAGTCCTCCTCATCAACAGACTTCCCTCTGATCGTAGAGATAGCCATTCATTATATCTCCAGCTCCCAGCATGCATCCCCATACCTTGTTGTAAGTCCAACCCTCAACCCTCAACCCTTACCCTTGCCCTAACCCTTACCCTCACACATCAAACTACAAGGCATTGAATGAACATGGCGAACATATAATATACAAAGCATTTAAATATCCTGATCAGATGAATAGAGGCCAGAACTTGGTACGCTTTACAAAGGTGTCGTCATCAAGTCAGGCTAGCTCGACAAGGTCACATGTGGCAGGCCAGGACGAACCATTCTATTGCCGCAAGATCATTGGCTTTGACAATATATCCAACAAGCGTGGAGTGTTCATCTGTGGCAAGTCACCAATGTGGTTGTTTGGCGAGAAGAACTACCTGCGACGTCATCCCATGAACTTTAACGAGGGCGTCACCTCGTTCACACCCTTCCACAATGTCAACTGTGCACATGGCTTTGTCTACTTCACTGAGAAGGGTGTGTTCCGCATCAACCAGCTATCCAAACAGATGAACTACGAGAATGAGTGGGCCATCAGGAAGATTGCGCTGCGCATGACCTGCCACAAGATCTCCTTCCACCCCGAGTCCAAGTGCTACGTGCTCATCATCTCGTATCCCCAGGCGCCACAGACTGACGAAGACGAGGAGAAGGAGAAGGAGAAGGAGAAGTCTCGCAAGCCATTGGTGCTCGAGGAGAAGTTCCAGGTGAAGCTGCTGGACCCAGCACGCCAATGGACCATCGTCGACTCGTTCTCGATGAGTGAGAAGGAGACGGTGCTCACGGCAAAGATCATCCAGCTCAAGTCGCAAGATGCCGATGGAATCAAGCTCAAGCCATTCCTGTGCGTTGGTACTGCGTATACGCTGGGCGAGGACACAGTCTGCAAGGGTCGCATCCTGATCTTTGAGATCGTATCGCATCGAGAGCTCCAGACCGAGGAGACCACAGCCAACGAGGATGGCGACGAAGAACAGGCACCCAAGGAGAAGTTCCGTCTGAACCTGCTTCACGAGAAGGAGCAGAAGGGACCAGTCACAGCGCTGGCCGGTCTGTGTGGCATGCTGATCATGACAATCGGACCCAAGATGATCGTCAACCACTTCAAGACGGGTGTGCTTACTGGTGTGGCCTTCTTTGATACACAGGTCTTTGTCATCAGCATAACAACCGTCAAGAACTACATATTGATCGCCGACATGTACAAGGGCGTCAGCTTCTTCCGTCTGAAAGAGGGCAAGACTCTGGTGCTGCTGGGCAAGGACTACGACCCATCTTCCAGTGTGTTTGCAAGCGAGTTTGTAATCAATGACAAGGTGCTGTCAATCATCACCTCCGACCTGGACAAGAACCTCAATCTACTCTCGTTCGACCCCACCGACAAGGGCTCGTTCGAGGGCAAGATGCTGCTGCATCGCTCGTCCTACCATATCGACGCCAGCACCTCCAAGTTTGTGCGCACACCCATCCGCAGCTCAGACAACACGACCAAGAACGACAAACACATGCTACTGTTTGGCACGCTGGATGGTGCCATCCACGCACTGGTACCAATGGAGTTCAACAAGTTCCAATTCCTCCAACATCTGCAATCAAGACTCTACCTGCTGCCCCAGGTGGCCGGCCTCAACGCACGTGCACATCGTGCCAAGGACGTCCACGTCACCGTTCACAACAAACAGACTCCGCTGCCATCCATTCTCAATGGCGACCTACTACACCAATACCATGCGCTATCCAGGGAGGACAAGAAGTTAGTTGCGCAGTCACTTGGAGTGACCCCCAACGAGATCGACAACCAACTCTCATTATTATCCAACTCCTACAACATGTTCTAACTAGTCCTTATCCCATAAATAAACAAGCTTGGTAGTAAGTCCTGGACTACTGTTCGCGGACATCCATCCATCCCATACATTCATTAAATTATAGTTTTATTCGATCGATAGGTTATGTACATTATCTCATTCATTAGATTGATTGAATGATTGATTAGAAGACGTCAGAGTCATTGGTATTCTTCTTGGCGAATAATGGGTTGTTGAGGTAGACTGGCACTTTGGGTCGGTCAGCAGACTGTGCAGCATGACGACTGGCAATCTTTACTAATGAATCCTTGGGGAAATAGACATTGGGACTACCTGGACATTGTGGACTGGATGTTCCAGTTGACACAGGACTGAACTGTCCAACATTATTGGCAATAAAATACTGCTTGTGAACTAACATATTTGTTCTCGTATAGATAGTTAACTTTAAAAATGAAGGAAGATTGGTGTATTGTTGAGATTGAGATTGAGATCTGGAAGTGTTGTCTTATTGTTTTATCGGGGAATCCACCTAGTGCCATCCATCCATCCAAGTTGCCAGCAATAAAGCATTGGTCCATTTGTCATTAGCTTGGATGAGTGTGGCAGGGAAGGATGGCTGAAAGGTACTCTTGGTCACATGATTCGCGCCAATGACCATGCTCATACCCATATCAGGACACTGACGAGTGAGTGTGTTGTTGGTGTGATCCACAACAGTTTCCATAACTACGAGAGTGAGTGTGTGAGCGTGTGAGTGGTGTCGATTACTTGTCCATCACCAACACAGCTCACACCACACATATATCTGAACATCAAGATATATGTTAATTGTCGGACAACTTATTACTTGTGAGTGTAATAGTGTCACAACGAGTTATGAGTGGATGGTGATCCGCGGGACAAGACAGTCTTGTAAAAGTATTTGAAGTTGACATGCCAACTGGTCCAGTGATGCAGTTGTTCATGTCCAAGATCACACTCCCTCCTTGGAAGGATTATGTCTTTGATGTTGATGATGATGCAGTGTGAACACGAGGATCTCTGGACTTGCCAAGTGACTTTAGAGAGTTGAGATATCTCTTCATTGTAGAGTACTTATGTGCGCCCAACGTATACAATGCACCCCAACTATATATTCCACTCTCATGCAGATCATCAAATATCAATCTAATAGCATAGTTGCCAACAGACTCACATCCAATAATACGAACGAATCGTCTACCTGCCACAACCTGACAAATATGTGATTGATTGATTAGCGATGTTTGTTTGAATGAATGAACGAACGAACGAACAATCAATGATCCCATAACATACTTTCTTTTGAGATGGATGATGTCCTTGTACTTCGGCTGAGGGACTCTCGACACGAAGGTACTCTGCAGGCAATGAGTATTGTTTGCCATCATCAAAGAGTAGATTCAAACGTCTTCCCTTCTCCGCGACCTTGATCTCAGTCGGGCGAACACTTGACCTAAGTATACTACTAATCCTTAACATTATGATGACGATAATATATAAATGTTGATAATGATGATGATGATATTTGTGGACTGAGCCAGAATAAGGGTTGAGAAGAAAAACACAATGTCGGTCAAAGATCCAGAATGAATGCTCGAAGTTCATCTTGATGGGTTTGATGTTTTTTTTGAAGGTTCCAAACTGCAAAACTTACAACTTGTTCAAAAAACATGAAAGATTAATTAACATTTTAAAATTAATTTGATAATAATAACCCCCAATCTATGTTTTAAAAACTATAAATAACAAAAACTAACCAGATATAAATTAATTAATTTGACGAGAGTGATTTGTTGGGGGGGTTTGGAGCATGAACGCAAACAACATTCACCCCCCTCCCACCAGCTCTTGTATCACATCACCAGACCGCCAACAAAGTGAATATGGTTAAACTGTTCTTTTGGTTGTGGTAGTGTTTGTTGGTTTGTGGTCGTGGTGGTAGGGTAGTTATCAACATTATTACATCTCACATCCTCCCCTTCTAATTCATTCATACACATACATTACACACACACACACATACTCAATCAATCACACACACACAGACACACACACATTCAATCAAATATTAATTAAATATTATTATTATTATTATTATTATTATTATTTCAAGTATACAGATACAATCACTCTATTACACACACAATACGCAATAACCACACGCATACACACCATCACAAATTCGATCAATCAATCATCACATCACACTCACTCACTCAATCACTTAACCTCAGCATTCAATCAAACAATCAATCAATCAACAAAATAATATTACCCCAACAACAACATCAGCATCTGCTTAATTAATTAACCCCAATAATTGGACAACATCAGAGCAGCATCGTTACATCCAGCCAGCCACAGTCCATTCATTTATTCATTCATTTCATTCATTCATTCATTACCCCAATATCATCACCATCACCATCACAATCACAATCACACACATTCCAACGAAGCAACCAACCATCATCATTATCAACAACAACAACAACAAACAACAAGCGTACCCAACACTGCTGCAGTACTTGTGAATAATTAATTTTCTCCCTCTAGTACGTACACTTACTTACTTTATAGATATATGTATATAATATATAGTTATTAATTCAATCAATCTTTATTAAATAATTAATTAATTATCCAGACATTAATTAATTAATATTCACAAAATCGCGATCAATCGATCATTCGATTTATTTCTCCATTCCAAACAAATTTAAAACAAGAAGAAAGAAGACATGTCTCAGCGAGTGGCACCTGCACACTTTGCTACAAACCCAGCAGGGGCAGCAGCTTCAATACCCTTTGGATATCCAATGCAGGGTCATCATCAAACATATGCCCATCATCATCATCATTATGGACATCTGACAGAAAGAGTACCACATCATCATAATCCTCATAATTACATTGGTCATCATCATGGAAATTATAATCCAAGTTCATCAACATCATCTTCATCATCAACATCAACATCATCATCTCCACTTTACAACACCAACACATCACCATACCATAATATACATTCACCACCAACAACTCAATCACAACAACAGCAACAACAACAGAGAGAACAACAGAGCAAAGTAATCGATTATTATTCTGCCAAACAGAAACAACAACAACAAATCCAACAGCATCAACAACAACTTTATCAACAACAACTACTCCATCACCAACAACAACAACAACATCAACAACAACAACAACAACAACAACAACAACAACAACAACAACTTAATACATCCACCACCAACAACAACAACAACAACAATAGCAACAATATATTACAGGAAACTTTATCAAGTATGATTGGAGAATATGATGATGAAGATTCATTGAAGAAGAAGAGGAAGAGGACATCACCTGATCAGCTAAAGATTTTGGAGAAGATATTCATTGCTCATCAACATCCAAGCCTTAATCTAAGGAATCAGTTGGCGATCGAGCTAGGCATGACACCACGCTCCGTTCAGATTTGGTTCCAGAACCGTCGAGCCAAGGCTCGTAACATGGAGTTCAAGCCAATCCTCACTGGAACATCCACCGAGGAGCTCTACGACGCTCTGCAAGGTGCCTACTTGCCATCAAAGCAACAGCAGTTGCCAACACAACAACAGCAACAGCAGCCTCAACAACAACAACAACAGCAAGTCCCGACTTTGCAATTCCAAAAGTCGTCCCCCAAGATCGTCGTGGCAGACAAGTCACCATCAGTGGCCTCAATTTGGAATCGCATTCTTCTTCATCCAGGCAATGCTGAGGGCTTGTTAAGGTACAACCCGGACGATCCCAACTCGATCGACGTCAACACTAGGGACACGAGAGGCCTATCACTGCTGTTCACAGCAGCTGTACTGGGCTACGAGTTCCAGGTGCGACGATTGGTCGACAGTGGCGCCAATCCAAACATCCGCGACAACCAAGGTAACACACCCATCCTGGCGGCGTCGTTGCTGGGCAACCTACACATTGTCGAGTATCTCTTGCAACATGGTGCCGACCCCAACTTGGAGAACGACGATGGTGTCAGCCCATTGTACGCTTCCTGCAAGAGTGGCCACATCAACATCGTGCGCTGTCTTTTGGAGAACCACGCCGAAGTTTCCACTCGTCTACAAACGTCGGGCGAGACCCCACTGCACATCGCCGCACTCAAGGGCTACGACCGTATCTGCCAGCTTCTTCTGGAGAACGAGGCCAAGTCCCACGTGTTTGACTCGGCCAACTACACGCCTCTTCATCACGCGGCCATCATGGGTCACATGCCCATTGTAAAACTACTCCTACGATATGGCGCAGAGCTCGAGGCTACTGATCGCGACGGACACACGCCACTTCACACCGCGTCGCTCATGGGCAACGACCTTATCGTTTCCTATCTATTGGAGCGCGGTGCCAACGCCAACAAGCAGGACCACGACGGTCTCTCGCCCATTCACTATGCCATCAGAGATGGAAGAATGGAGACTGTAAAAATATTGATCAAGAACAAGGCGTCATTGGATATCAAGGTAAGAGATTGAGTCATACACTCGATCAGTTCAAGCATACTAACATTGATCAAACAATCAATCTAGACGGACTGTAAACAAAACTCACTCCATCTCTCTGTGCAATGGGGAACGGTGATGATGGGCCAGCTCGTGTTTGACAACTACAATGGCGACATTGATGATTGCGACGAGCAAGGCTTCACACCATTGTACATTGCTGCCAAGGCTGGCAAGATCAACTTTGTAAGATATCTCATTGGAAAGGGTGCATCAGTCAAGATTGCATTGGAGATTGCCGAGCGCAACAACAATGGCAACAACAATGGTAATGATAAGGAGATTGTTGAGATACTGCGTAAGAATGCAGGACTCAGTCCACAGATCTCACCTGACGACGAGTCCAAGCCAGTCACGGCCACCACAACCACCACTGAGAAGAAGATCAACATTGGCAATTCACACTCTGTCCATGATCTCTTGGACAACAACAATAATGGCTCCAATCATGTCAGTTCAGATGACTATCCACTCAGGATCATCAGTCATTCGTTCAGCTATCAGAACAGAATGTCTTCCAATCATCACCATGACGATTAAGCTTACCCTCCAACCTACCTACCCACTCACAGCACACTACTACCTCTACTACTATGCACTAATGCAGAATAATAAATGCATTCAATTTGTCCAATTATGTTACCCTCTCGATGTTATAACATTATCTCCTCTTTACTTAAAACCCAATAGTATGAGTGATTGGAAAGCCAGGATGGTTGTAGTTTTCAAGGTCGAAATAGTTCGTCTTTTCGGGAATTGGGGTGGGGTGATGAGGTGTGGTCTCGCTTGGGAATCCAAGACTGATTGTTGTGTGTTCAAGTTCTGAAATAACTTTTTGATCGATCCAATCCAACTCCAAATTTTATCAATATAACTTTTAAAGATAGATAATATATATAGAGAACAAGGAAGAGAGAGAGAGAGAGAGATAATAATAATAATGAGAGTATTTAAAATCCAAGATCTAGGTGGATTGTGTTCAAAGTCCAAATTTGATAAAGAGTACCCAGTTGAGATTAGACATTATATTGGTCAAGATGAATATGAATCAATTGTAGATCAATTCAATACTATGTGGCCTAATCAAAAGGTGATATTATGTTGGATAATAACATCATTCTCAGCTCTATTCTTTGGTACGTTGATCACTTTGGTAATGGTACTCTTTATAAATATGTGGTGGATATCTATGGCTGGTCTATGGATTGTAATAACAATAGGTGGATTTATACAAATACATCGTGAATCATCTGATGTATGTACTTTTTATGATCAATCATCCTTTCTCTTATTTACTAATTCACCTTCTTTAATTTAATATTATAAATATATATAGTCAAGGAGAAGAATGGAAGAAAGAGCAAAAGAGTTTACATGGAAATACAGATCAAGAAATATTCGGTTTATTTATACTTCACCGTCATTATTGGAATTCAAAACAAAGGTATGTTTAAACAAAATATTAATAATAATGATATTAATAATATTCCATTATAGATAAATATATTCTGCCCTGAGCATCCAAGGATTGTTAAAAAAGAACATCATCATCATCAACATCAAAATCAACTTCCACTACAACAACAACAACAACAACAACAACAACCTCATCAAATAATAGACATAGAACCAACAATAATTATTGATATTCCAAGTAGTAGTTGTGAGATGACAACACTTCTAAATGAGGAAGAAGAAGACGAATAAATGAATATGTGTATTTTAAGAATGTAGTTGATTTATTTATTGTGAGATGAGACCGCGTGTTCCAGTTCAAATTGATCATTTTAGAATCTTCTCCTGATGGATAGTTCGTTCTCCAATTCCTCAATCTCCCTCAGATTCTCCTGGAGTATGTTGGATCCCTTGTCCAACCATTGCAGTGCATTCAAATGATCATTGAGAATCTTTACAATTTGTTGTTTCTGATTGTTGGTAATTATGTTGAGTTAGTAAATATGGTCTGTGTTATTTGGCGACTTGTCCAACAACATACCTGGTCTTTGGGCTCATTGGATTGGTTCTGATTAATCTTATTAACGATGGTTTGAAGTTTGTTATCAATTCCAGCAATGTCCTCATCAATCTTCTTGGTGGAATAGTATCTAAATATGATTGATTGATTGATTAGCATGTGTGTTGGAATGATTGAATGATCGAATGATCGATAATACATACATTCTCTCTCTTTCAATGTCGGATGATGATTCGTTCTCTCTTGGATTGGACTTGATCTTGTCGTCCAGTGCGTTCAACGACTTTTCCAACAACAATTGTTGATCATTGATAATACTGATCACTTGTTCCAGTGTCTTTTGTTGTGCATTGACTGATTGTACTGTTTCCATCAGTGTATTCAACTATTGTGTGATTGATTGAGTGATTGGAGTGAGTAAATGATTGAGTTATTGAGTGATTGAGTGATTGACATCACATACCTTTTGTGAGTTCTCCATGATTGATGTGTCCCATTGATAGATCTGTTTGGCTTGATGATAGAACTCGCGTGTCTGTGTCTCGATCTCTGAGCTCCACTCATTGAAGAGTTGCTCCAGAACCTTGCTCTCGTTGATTTCAATGACCTCTTCGGGCTTGGACAACATCGATGTTGTCAATGGCGAGGTTGTCGTGGCAGTGGCTGGTGTAGTAGTGGCGGGGGCAGTTGTCGCGGGTGTTGAGGTTGAGGTGGCTGTGGTTGTTGGCGTAATGAGTGAGGTTGATGTTTGTCCTGGCTTGTCGGCTCCAAAGAGTCCACCGGTCGTGCCCAACAGGCTTGATGTAATTGTGGCTGATGTAGACGCGGGTGCGGCAGTTGATGCCAGCGACAGACCTGTTCCGGCGCCTGGTCCAAACAGGCCTCCTCCGCCGAGGGCTGAAGTTGTTGATGCGGGTGTTGTGAGCGACGTCAAAGAAGAGCCTGTGCCAAAGAGGCCACCGGATGTTGTAGAAGGGGCTGTTGTAGCTGGTGCAGCAGTTGCAGTCGAAGGTGTTGTTGCTGATGTGAGTGAGGCGCCTGTGTTGCCAAACAGTCCACCTCCACCAAGAAGACTCGATGTAGCTGGTGCTGTGGTTGAAGAGGCGTCGGCGGTGGTGCCTCCCAGGAGTGAGGTGGTAGGGGTTGTTGATGGCGCCGATATGTTCGAAGTCAATGACGATCCTGTGCCAAAAAGGCCGCCGCCGACAAGCGAGAGACCTGAAGCTGGAGCTGTCGTTGATGTTGTTGATGCCGCTGTGTTACCAAACAGACCACCAGTTGGCAGACCTCCACCAAGTGATATTGGGGGTGTAGTTGAAGTTGTCGCAGCTGATGTGTTCGATGCCAAAGATAGACCTCCCGTGCCTGCTCCCAAGCCTGATCCCAAGCCTGAGCCCAAACCAGAGCCCAAGCTAGATGTGCCAGCACCACCAAATAGGCCACCACTTGTTGTTGATGTTGATGCTGCGGCTGATCCCAAGGCGTTCAGTCCATTGCCTCCAAAGAGGCTTGAGGATGGTGTTGTGCTGGGTAGTGACAATGAGGTACCTGTTGTTGATGTGCCTGTTGCACCTGTGCCTCCAAACAGACTTGATGCAGACGTTCCGCCTGTTTGTGCACCAAACAAGCCAGCTCCTGGTGTTGTTGTAGCTGTTGTTGTCAAAGGAGCAGTCGATGAACCAGTGTTAAACAAGCCTGTTGTAGCTGGTGCAGCTGTAGTCGTCGACATTCCACCAAACAAGCCAGTACCTGCACCAGCACCAGAGCTCGCGCTAGTCAATGCGCCCAATCCACTACCACCACCAGCACCGAGGCCAGCTCCACCAAAGAGACTACTTGCTGATGTCAACGATGTACTTTGTGGTGGTGTTGTTGTTGTGTTGGCGCCAAACAATGCGAGTGTAGAAGGTGCTGTATTCGAAACTGCACCGGCACCTCCTGCACCTGCACCACCAGCAGAAGCACCAAACAATGTCAATGCACTACTTGTACCTGCACCTGCGCCTGTATTACCAAACAACGAGTTGCCACCAAACAAACCAGTCGATGGAGTAGCAGTCGCAGTTGTCGTCGAACCAAACAAAGATGAAGAATTATTCGAAGGGCCTGTTCCAAACATCATATAATTATATTATTATACTGGGTATGAATATGTACGTATGTATATGTATGTATGTATGTATGTATGTATATGTATGATGATTGATTGAGTTGAAGGATGAATTATCCTCAAGCATGCACAACCCTCGCGATGACCACGCACTGCAGACTTGGCACTTTTTTGAAGTTTGAACATCAAATTTGGTTTGAGGCGCCACTCGATCAATCATTCATTCGCTTTCATCTTATTACATAAACATACATATAGTAGTTAGTTGTATTAGTTGTTGTATATGTATATGTATTTATATATAGATATAGATAGATAATGACTGAAGTACAACAACAACAACAGAGTGTTATAACTCCTTGGAGTTGCTCATTCATGACAAGGGATGAGTTCAATCAGCTGTCACAACAACCTTTACAGATAGTCTCAAGGGCAGAGTTAAAGATCAAACAACTGCTACAACAGTTGGAGACTGTGTCTGCTAAGCAATCAGTTGATTCTACAAATGCTGGTGAGTACCTTCATTCATTCATTCAATCGATCATTCAATCAATCACTAACACATCACTCATTCAATCAATCAAACAGAACAACTATTCCAACAACTTGAGACCAACTATATCAACTGTAAAAAGGATTATGATACAATCAATCAAGATAATCAAAGGTTCAGAGATGAGATACAACAACTAAGTATGTGTTTGATCAATCGGTCCATTGATTGGCCCAGGGATACTAACATTTGAACAGGCCAAAAGAATGCTGAACTATTGGAGGAGTCACATAGGTTTAGACAGATGTCTATTGAGAAGGAGTCAAGAGCTAATACATTGGGCAAGCTGTATGATGAGTTGCATCAGGAGAAGGTGGGACTGCATAATATCATCGAGAGGAAACAGAGAGAGTTGGGCGAGGAGACCGACACTGTGAAGAAGTTGACCGAGCGTCTCAACGAGTCGATCCAGTCCAAGACCGAGCAGTCGTCCAAACTACTCACACTCGAGAACGAGAAGACATCCAACGAGTACCTCATCCGTCGTCTCAAGCAAGAGATCGATGAGCTCAAGACCCAGAACAAGCACATGGACGAAGTCTGTCGCAAGCACACCCAGTCCTACTACGTCGACCTCAAGGAGCTTGTAAGTTCGACTCGAGGACAGCATGGTGTCGCGGCCGAGGCGGGCAGGGACTAACACTCACTCACTCACTCAATGATCAATGATCAATCAGAAATCAAACCTCTCAGAGATGACTAGCAAGGCTGAGCAGCTGGCTGATGAGAACGCCAGAGTGAGGAAGCAGATGGCGTCACTGCAGGACAGAGAGGACGAGTATGAGAAGACGATTGAGACACATTTGCGCGAGATCAAGGCTATGAAGGATGAGCGCGCACAGAACCTGGCACAGTTTGAGCAGGAGTTGGAGATGCAGAAGCGTCTGGTCACGCTATACAAGGAGGGCCAGGAGGACGCCACCAAGAAGATCACCACCCTGCAGTCCCAGATCGACTCACTCAAGGAGGTCGACCGCAAGCTGCGCAAGGAACACGAGGATGCCTACAAGAAGATGGAGGACGCCTACGATTCGCTCGAGGAGAACTACCAGCGCGTGTGCAAGGAGTTTGATGAGTACAAGACTAGCAGCGACAATAACAACAACAACGCCGCAACACCCGATCTGTCGCAGATGGACGTGCCCGTGCTATCGGACCCCACCAAGCGCCGCATCCAAGAGGTCACCAGTCTGGGCAGCCGCGAGGATATGCGTCGCGAGCTGCTCGACATGGTCGTTCGCTACGACGACCTTGCCAAGATCACTCTCAATGAGCGCCGTCAGAAGCGCTTCCTACAGGACAACCTGGACCACGTCCTGCGCGAGGTCGAGAAGAAGGCCCCAATCATACACGAGAAGAACCGCGAGTTCCAGCGCCTGCTCAAGACTCAGGAGAAGCTGCTCAACACATACCAGGAGCTGCAGTCCGAGAAGGACACCCTCTCCCTCAAGGTGTCGACCATCACCACCGAGAATGTTAAGCTGAGACAAGAGGCCAACGACCTGCAAAAGCAGGTGCGCAACCTTCTCAAGGAGGCACTGGACAACAACAAGAGCGTGGCAGCAGTTCAGGCACAGTCGCCATCGCTCGTTCCCGAGCAGATGAGGCGCTCATCACTCTCGTCGTCGACACTCTCCACATCAGAGATCGATCAGATTATACCTGACTCATTGATCACATTCAACACGATCGAGGAGCTGCAGGTCAAGAACCAGGAGCTGCTGCGCAGCGTCAGACGACTCAGCCAAGAGATGGCCTCGCACAACCAGAATGACAAGAAGCTCGAGATGGCTATCCAGGAGCTCGAGATGCTGCGCTCGTCGCGCGAGCGACAGGCCGAAGCCATCCAATCGTTGGTCAAGCAGCGCGATCACTACAAGAACCTCTCGCAACAGTCTGGCCTGTACGCCAGCGACAACTCTATCTCATCGCCCGTCAAGACCATGTCGGCGTCGTCTCTCTTTGGCTCTGGCTCATCGCCATTTGGCAAGCAGTCGACTGGTGGTGCTTCCAAGTCCCCCAACCAGCAACAGCAACAACACATGTCCGCGTCGTACAACAGCGAGGAGGACAAGAAGGAGATTGATCGCCTGCAGAAATCACTCAGGGAGCTTCAGCACGAGTACGAGCAGTACACCGCCGACCGCAAGGCCAACGACAGAGACAATATGGCCAAGATCGACAAGCTCAAGGAGGAGAACACCTCGTTCAAGGTGAGCGTGGCGCAGGTGCAGGGTCAAAACAACCTGCTGGAGGAGCGCACCAAGATGCTGACGAGCACGTACGAGTCCCAGAAGAAGGACGTCGAGTCGTACCGCGAGAAGAACAACGAGTGCATGCAGATCATCGTCAAGCACCAAAAGACGCTGGAGGAGAACCGCACAACCATCTCGCATCTGCAAGAACAGACGCGCCTGCTCGAGACCAAGGTAGCCAACTTCAAGAGCGAGAATGAGATCATCAAGTCGTCGGAGCTGCGTCTCATCGAGAGCAACAAGTGGCTGTCAAACGAGAAGATCAACCTGGAGAACATACTCAACACGATCAACTCGATGAACCTCTCCAAGGAGGGCGCCGAGCAGGAGCTGCGTCGCAAGCTGGAGAACGACATCAACTCACAGGAGACCAGCCGTCTCGCGATGAAGAAGGAGCTCGACGACGAGCGCCAGGCGAACAAGGACAACACCCTCAATCAGAACCATCAGTTGAACGAGATGCGCGAGCGCGTCGAGAAGAAGGAGAAGGAGGTGACCGAGCTCAAGGAGAAGGTCCTCAAGTCCAAGATCGTCGATCAGACTCAGCAGCAGAGGATCACATCACTCGAGTCCCAACTCGCCAATGCCGAGGTGCGATTCAACGCACTGATCGAGAGGAGCCAGCATCAGGCCGCCGGTGCGCCCTCATCATCCAGCAACGCCGCTAGCCAGGAGGCGTCGTCCAACAACGCCGTGACCAGTCTGGACCTGTCGCTGGCGCGCTCCGAGATCGAGAGTCTCAAGGAGTCGCTCGAGCAGGAGAAGGACAACGTCATCCACTACAAGTCAATCGCAGTGTCCAGCGAGAGCGACCTGACCAAGCTAAAGGAGGAGAACACCAAGCTGCAGCTGGAGTTTGAGGAGAAGCTGAAGGAGGTCGTGGAGGCCAACGCCAGCCTGCAGGAGCAGCTCAAGGAACAGTCGGTCAAGATGGAGAAGTACGAGCAGTTCTCGTCCACTCACAAGCAGGACATCGACCTGATCGTCGCACAACGCGACAGCCTCACCACACAGAAGGACACTCTTCTTGCGACAATCAACACCTTGCAGGCGGCCCAAGAGCAGGCGGTCAAGGAGGCGTCGATCCAGTCAGAGATGGCCGAGCGAGCCACCAAGAATTACGAGCGCGAGCTCATGCTACACGCTGAGGACATCAAGATTCTGCCAGCACTGCGCAACGAGCTGCAGGAGGCCAAGCACATGATCAACTCGCTCACTTCCAAGATGGAGAGCAGCGTTGGCGCGTTCGAGGAGACACAACGCTCGTGGCTCGAGCAAGAGACCCTGCTCAAGGCACAGATCACCGAGTTTGAGGAGCGTATAAAGGACATGAAGCATCAGAACACGCTGCTCCAATCACAGATCGACACCATCTCGCAGCAGTCTTCCAAGATCGAGAGGATGACCGCGTTCATTGGCCAGGCACAGTCGGGCTCGATGGACAATACCGGCATGGACGAGAAGGAGAAGCTCATTGCCAATCTTCGCGAGCTTACACAGGTTCAGGCGCGCGAGCAAAAGATACTGGAGGTGCGCAACGAGTCGCTCACACAGGAGAACAGCCGTTTGCGCCAGACCACCCAACAGAACCAGCGCACGATCGAGACTCTCACACAGAAGCTGCAGGAGCAGCAAGACCATCTCAAGAACATTGTGTTTAGCGCACGCAAGCACGAGGAGGTCCTTAAGCAGCTCGACCAGATGAACCTGTTCCGCGAGAGCAACATCATGCTAAAGGAGGAGACTAACAAGCTGCAGGCTCAGCTCAAGATCGCCCATGCCAGTCACAAGGAGATGGAGGAGAAGCTGGTACCGCTCGTTCAGCAGACACGTTCATTGGAGCGCGAGAACCAGGTCCTCACCGGCGAGATTGAGGCACAGCGCATTGAGATTAGCAACTGGTCGACCAAGGTTGAGAAGCTGCTTCACAAGTATCAGAGCATCGACCCAGAGGTTCATCAGACACTGGTGGTCCAGCATGAGACACTCACCAAGGAGAACCAGAGCCACATCGAGCAGCTCGAGGAGGTGAAGAAGCATGCCAAGCACTGGAAGGATGAGGCCAAGAAGGCGCAGCTGGTCATCCAAACACAGAAGCACGAGAAGACCGATCTGGAGACGGCCAAGAAGACGTTGGAGGACTCCCTAAGCCAGCAGAGACTGCAACTCGAAGCCGCCCAGCAGACGCACGGCTCAGCCAACGAGACGTACGAGAAGAAGATTGAGGACCACAAGAAGAAGCAACAGAACCTTCTCAAGATGGTCAAGGAGTCAAAGGAGAAGAATGAGACGCTCACCAAGACACTGAGCGAGAAGGAGAAGTTGCTGAAGGAGGCCACCGATGCCAATGATATGATGAAGTCCAAGATGAAGGTGTATGAGATGCGCTCAAAGGCACCTGCCACAGCACAACCGGTATCGGCGCCTACATCCCCGTTGCCCACTCCAGAGAAGCAAGCGGCCGCGCCTGTGCCACCATCGACACCTGTGGCTGCACCAGCACTTCAGGGTGCTGTCGACTCTCAGCAGTCACCACAACAGCCACCAATCAGACGCCAGTTTAAGAAGCAGGCTGCCCCTGCAATGTCCACATTCTTGAACAAGGTAGCCCCCTCAATATTCGCAGCGGCCTCAACACCAGCAACACCCGCGCCATTGGCAGCAACACCTACACCTGCACCAGCAACACCTACACCAACACCATCCATTTTCTCCCCAACTCTATCGACAGCCTCGACCACTCCAGCACCTGCCATACCAGCTGTCTTTGTTCCAACACCATCCACAGTTCCAGCCACATCCATCACAAGCACAGCCACAACACAGATTGACTCGCCCGTCATGGCTACAGGTGGTGAGCAGCAAGCTGCTTTAGAAATGGACTCCACAAAGACTCAACAACAGCAACAACAACTTATTGTTGCCCCAACTTCAGAGACGGATCAGCATACTCTATCTCCACCACACACACCAATCAATGATCAATCGATGATTGATTCGCCATCACAGACAGAGGAACATATGTCCGAGTCAAAGGAGGACGAGGAGGGCAAGGACATGGGAGACGAGACCGGCGTCGACTCATCCTTTGACACAGAGGTGCAGACGACGCACGCTGTGAAGAAACAGAGACTCGATGTACACGACTCCCAGAACACATACTCTGACGATGAGGGTGGCATTGAGGAGGAGGAGAACATGGACGTTCCAAACGAGGTCATGGAGGACGAGGATGGAATTGTGCATGAGGAAGACATCACTTCATCGACAGACCTGACTACCAGCTCATCATCCAACGCTGATATTCCTGCACAATCAGAGACCACAACTACCACCACAACTACAACAACTTCATCATCATCATCTTCATCATTAGCAATGGCGCAAACACCATCAACACCATCAGCAGTACAACAACAACAACAACAAACTACAGATACACCATCGTCTACAGGCAAGAGAAAGCTCAATAGGAATACGATTGCCGGAGTAGTTCCAGCAATGCCCCAGTTTGTCAATATTACCAAGCAGCCACGCAAGAGCATCAAGAGCAATGCTGCGGCTACACCAGGCGCAGCGGCAACACCCGAATCGACACCAGGTGCCTCGCAGCCAGACACTCCAGCTGCACTGACAGACAATGCTACGACACCCGGCGGACAATAAAATAAAAAAGTGTGTGTGGGCCTCCACGTGGTCCCCTTTGGACCTTGGCCCCAAAATCTATTCACGATCGTGATCAACACTTTGTGGGGAGCTGTTTGAATATGTGTTGGGTGTTGATCGTATTTGTAGAGGCACGTGGCCCTCAATGTCATTCAATCAATCATTCAATCTCATTGCTTATATCTTTGGTTGTACATTGTTATACATACATAATCAAACATATAAATATATATTATAGGACAGGATAGGATAGGATAGGATAGGATAGGATAGGATAGGATAGGAATGGGGACAACAACCACAGTGATTCAGAGGATAAGACGAATAGTGGCAGACGAATGCGAACCTGGACTGTGGGACAAGATGGATCGAGACGCCAACGAATGTCCAATAGCATATATATTCAATTATTTGTTGACACAGATGACGGACGAGGGCGATAGAGACCTGATGGACGACACACCCTTGACAGGTGTATTCTACAATCCCCAAGGCATAAGACCAGCCATCAGCGTAGTCGACTATCTCAAACGTTTAGTTCAATATCTAGGTTGTAGCAAGAGCTGCTTCATCATTGCCCTAGTGTATCTCGATCGTTTGATCGTCGAGAAGAATTACATATTGAACTCACTCAATGTACATAGAATCATATTTGGATGGTATGTTTATTAATCGAGGATTGGCGGCAAATGACGGAAACACGGAAACACGGAAACACAAACAGCCACGCGGAAACACGGAAACACATTTTAGCTAACATGTTACCAACACTCAGCATACTTATATCAATCAAGTTTTGTGATGACTACTACTATCCGCACGATGTGTATAGTGTAGTTGGAGGATTAACTTTAGAAGAAGTGAATGGAATAGAGCGAAGATTGTTGGAAGACTTACAGTTTGATTTGTGTGTACATGAGGATGTGTTTACGCAATATCTCATTATGGATTTGAAGGGCTATCTGATGTCTGACATAATGAATCAGCAGGAGGAGCCAGAGGAGTCGGACGGCGAATCGGATTGCGAGTCAGATTCATCCAACGAGAGCAAACATGCAGCTGGCACAGTCGACGATCATACCAGCAGCAGTGTCGTGCCACAGGTCAATTTGCCACAACTGTCGCCACTTCCACAACAGGCCATCCCTCACACGTCAATGTCCAAGTCGTCGGCCACGCTTGACATCCCACCGCGTCCATTCAACAGGACCAAATCAAGGACACTATCAAACTCATTCGACATGGATACCATACTCAAGAAGAAGTTCCCTCAGCCTCTGTACATATCTCCACAACTCAAAGACCGGTATCGAAGGAACAGTTACAATCATTCTCTCATTTTGAACAAGTCATCATCACTATCTTCACAGTCATCGCCAGGCCACAATAACAACAACAATCTCAAAGATGTTTGATTACTAGTAATGAAATAATAGAGAAAGATAAGTGAATAAAAGGCGTCATCGCAAACTGTGCTACCATTAATCAATCAAACTGACCAATTCAGACATTGTCACCCTTGTATCAATTCCCATCGAAGGAAGTTCTCCGATTAATGTCTACAACGAAACAACCAACAACGTCCACATCTCAATCATCATATTCCCATTCATAACATCCACTGATTACTTGTTTATCAAGAAATGAATCATCACCATTTATTGTAAGCTCTTGTCCTTCTACTTGTTGTTAAGGTTGTTGGTCTGGAACTTGAAGAATTAAACTTGCTAGTTTACTGATCAGGGACACACTGTTTAACTCCAGCTGTAGATGAGAGAAGGATATATGTATCTGGCGCCATACAGTGGTGGTCGTTGGTTTCACGGTTGTAGAGACTGTGGTGCTTGCCACAGTTGACTGAGTTGACACTGTTGTTGTTGCCACAGTTGATGTTGGCTTGTTGGTGGTGCTTGCAACCGTGCTCATTGTGGTCGACTGGGTCGAGACAGTGGTGGAAGCAACGGTCGATGTAATTGGTGCAGTTACAGTTGCAGTAGCCGTAGCTGTGGTGGTAGCTGTGGCGGTAGATGAGGCAGTACCAGAGTTAGCACCAGTTGTGATGGTGGTCGTTGCTGAGGTGGTCTGCGTGATAGTTGAAGCAACTCCTGTAGTCGTGACTATAGTCGAGACTGTGGTCGAGGCACTTGTGGTTACTGGAGGGACCGAAGTGGTTACTGTTGTGGTAGCAGTGGTGGACTGAGTCATGGTCGATGCAGTGGTAGGGACCATTGTGGTCGCTGTGGTCGAAGCAACGGTAGAGGTTGGAATGCCAGAGGTTGGTGAGGCTACTGTTGACGGGACTTGAGCAACAGTCGAGGCAACAGAGGAAGCAGTCAATGCAGTTGTGGTAACTGTAGTTGTGGCCGTGATGGTGCTGGTAGGAGTGACGGTAGTTGAGGCAGTAGTGGTAACCGTAGAACTTGCTGATGAGGATGTTGGAGTTGCACTGATGCTGGCCGTTGTAGTCACAGTGGTAGTAGCCGATGTGGTCTGCGTGATGGTTGAGCCTGGACCTGTGGTCGTTACCGTTGTCGATGCAGTGGTAGACACTGTAGTGGAGGTTGGTGGACTACCAGTGGTGACAGTTGTGCTCACTGATGTGCTGGCAACAGTGGACTGAGTTGACACAGTAGTTGTTACAGTTGTTGAAGATGCCGGGGCCGTGGCAGTCGTCGTCACAGTTGTGGTCTGGGTGATCGTCGAAGCAGGTCCAGTTGTTGTGAAAGTTGTTGAGGCACTCGTGGTAGTCTGAGCACTCGTGGTCGACACTGTAGTACTGGCAACAGTGGACTGAGTGGAGACAGTAGTTGTGGCAAACGTAGAGGCTGTTGCGGTAGCAGTGGTCGTCACAGTTGTGCTCGCAACAGTGGACTGAGTGGAGACAGTAGTGGTGGCAAATGTAGAAGCAGTAGCAGATGTAATTGGGACACCTGTCGTTGTCACAGTTGTGCTGGCAACAGTCGATTGAGTGGAGACAGTAGTTGTGGCAAATGTAGAAGCAGTAGCAGTAGCAGTGGTAGTCACAGTTGTGCTAGCAACAGTGGACTGAGTGGACACGGATGTAGATGCGACGGTGGATGAAACACTTTGTCCCGATGTTACTGTTGTAGATGCCACAGTGGACTGAGTGGATACAATAGTAGAGACGGTAGTGGATACATCACCTGTCGACACAATACATATAGGATCACCCAAGTAGTTCAAAGTACATGCCGATGGATAAGGGCATTTCCTAAATGAACATTTGGGGAAGCACTTTGGCGGTAAGTTTGCCAAAGGTTGGCAACATAGTTGGCCACTTGGACATCCCATTGAACACGCATGTCCTTCATTGAACTGTGCACTTGTTACTATTTTTTGGTATTTTTAGGAATGATGATGGGTCAATATTACTTTATTGATGGAATTCAATAATTTTGGTGTTGTAGTTGTTGTTTAAAACAATAAAGAGTATTGGATGTAATCAAATATATAGATTTTGTTATTTATATATATAATAATATTTAATAAATTTATTCCTTTATGTTATTAATTATTAAAATATATGATTATTATTGTTGTTGTAATATGATTTGATTGAGGACCTCAATAAATAATCATCCGGTATACTATCCTGGTGTATTTCCACCCAGTTGTTATGTTGCAGTGAGTGGTGGATCACTACAGCATCCATTCATCGATCCAACATTCCTTCCATCCAAACCAATGGATTTCGCACAGGATGCATTAAACTCACCCCATTCAAGAGCACGTAGAGTAATTCATTCATTCATTTGGTATTCATTATTTACTTGTGTGGGCATTCAGTGATCAACTGAGCAAACAAAAATTCCAACCCACACTCTAAAAACCATCACAAACCCAACATACATACAAATTTGGAGTAGCTCCATAGTAGTTGAATATTCACCACAACTTGGGCAAAGCGATGAAGTGGTTGACTGAGCTGGAAGCTGGAAAGTGAGGAGATTGTCATCTGTATACATGATGATAAACATAATGTTTGAAGACCACGAATGTTCGTTTGATGAACTATTTGTACACAAATACCAAATTACATCTTGAGGTGAGGCCTTATTGAGTGGGTTGATGTTTTGGGCAATAGCGTATGATGGACAGTAACTCATTCTTCTTCGCATCACCTCACTCACTCGCTCAATCAATCAATCACAATCAATCCTAATAAATCAATCCCTCAAGTCAACTAGGTTACAATCACTACATAGAGTTTGGATTATATGGTAAATATTCTAATGGCTCCCCAAATCACCATATGAGTGGAGAAATGAAATTGTCCATACCTCAAACAGAATCACTTACTTTAGTGGCTAACGTGCCTTGGAATTACCATCCATTGCTAGAGTAGATATAACAAACCTTTCATCATGTGGTTGCTTTTCCAACATTATGCTAAATATTGGTCCAATAACCCATCATCCACCAACCATACCTACTATCTCATCTCTCTCAATCATTTTCAGGAATATCCCTGGATTGGCTCCAGGTCATGGATTAGTTATGAGTTAATATTTTGTATAATGGATGAGTATACAAGATAAAACTATAACAAATTGTATTTATAAAACTTTGATAATATTATCTAAATCAGGATTGAATTAATTAATTAATTTATGGGATATTCGACCTCAATTCAATTTGGAATGAGAAGAAATTAATTAATTATTAATTGTAATTAATAATTATTGTTGTATACTAGTAATGGTTCACATTCAAAAATTGTCAGATCACTTTTTGATGATCATCTAAGATTTATATTTAGTTAAATGTCAACTATCAATCATAGAACAACAACAGCATCAGCAGTTGGAAGAAAGGATGTCAAAGAAGTTGATGATCATCAATCACAATCAACATCAACATCAACATCAACATCAACATCAACATCAACATCAATAGCATCAAATGAACTTTTGTTGTATCCTTGCTATGCATGCTTCTGGTTGAACTTACTTGCTGGTACAGTGTGGTCGGTGATCATGCCAGATGAAGAATTGATATCATTGTACTCACTGGGCATTGCAGCACTCATTGCAATCTCATTCCTCTCATTGACGATCATTGTTGCATTGCCCGCCCTGTTCAAACGTCCCATCTATTTGCGATCACAGAACCGTGTGACACCTGAACATCGAGTGCTCATTGCTGATTACTTCATCTTTGCACTCCTGCCCAGTGTAGCAATCTTTATCATTGGTTCATCAATCATTCGAATGGCATCATTTGGTATTGACTATTTTACAATCGGAATCTATCCATCATTATCATCATGATGGAGTGTTGATCAATATACACATATATGGACTGTCAGTCCTTTATCTTTAACTTGTTTCCTGCTGCCCTGCCAATGGTAAAGAATACATTTCTCTCCTTCTTGTTCTCGGCTTGATCACCTCCTCCCCCTGCATTCGACTTGGATGATGGTTTGATTGGTGATGGTAGGGTCTTGGATGAGCCAGCTGGTAGTGACGAGAGTGATGATGATGATGAGTTGGGAGGTGGAGGGGGTGGCCTCAATGTAAGAAGGCCTGGTAGTACACTGGTGATCGAGGCTGAGGCTAAGGCAGAGGCCGAGTTGGTAGAGTCTGATAATGACCCATCATTACTATCAGCCAATGAACTATCCAGTGTCTTCTTCCAATCGACCCTGCTCATGGCGACTGTGTTCAACATTCGTTCCTTATTCTCTTGATTCAATAGCTGAACATAATAGCATGACTTCTCTGTGACCAACAATAGGCTGTTCATGAATCCTACGTGTGTGTGGTGGAATGGTTGGGGTGGGTGGAATGGTTCCAGTCAGTCGATGCTCTAACTCATCAATCAATCATTTCTGGAAGATAGATACCAAAGATGTCTGCAATGTCAATGACTTTGGTACTCTTGAGAAGTGAACAATCATTGATGGTCCACACAAGTTTGGAAGATGATGAGGATTGGAGGAGACTGGATAGTCCAGCCTTGGTAGGCTTGGCCTGTTTGGAGACCATGACGAAACAATCGTTGAATATATAGTATCCGTGATCCTTGCCACATTTGAACTCATCTGGAAACACTGTGTTGCTCTCCACTGTTGGTGACTGAGTCGATGACTTCTTCTTCTTCCTTCCCTTCATATACTTATGTACCCTCTTCAATATATCATCTTCATCCTTCATCGGATATATTGAATGTACAAATAGCTCTCCATTGAGATATAACTTGCGATTGGGTTCCAACACATTCTAGAGCATGGTGTAATGGTGATCATCTGTCAGTCAAATATGATCACTCATCATCAGTGCACTGATATATCTTGATCATATATCTTGATCATATATCTTGATCATATATCTTGATTGAGTGCACTGATATATCTTGATCACTTACCACTTTGTCAATTAGAGTCTCTTGGAACTCTTGCATCTTGCTAAGGTTCTCATCATCCCTCTTGGCCTCATTGATGAACTGAGTGACACTCTTGATTCCATTAATACAGAACTCAAGTATCTTGACATTCCTATGTCCTGGTGGTGTATTCTTTAACAACTCCTACAATGAATGAATGAATGATATCCTTCATCATCAGTTTGATGTACCAACTCATTGGCTAGATGATGTGCCCAAAAGTACGTACATTGAGCAATAATACATATCTTGGAAGTCGTTGGACTGGCATGATGAGTAAAGAACTCAGGTCTTGTCCATTACATTGAGGATCTGCTCTTGCTTTCTGGTTTGATTGATTGATTGATCGATTGATCGATTGGATGAATGAGTGGAATGTGATCCAGAGCAGAGTGACACATCAACACATACCTCGAGAAAGCTAGCCACTGATGATTTCTTTCGAAGTCGATTGAGTGTTTGGATTATCTTGTCATATGATACTATATAAAGACTATACATTGTGAAGTTGCTCCTCTGTCTCATCAAAGAATGTTAGATATATCAGGTCATGATGGGACTATCCCACTCAGAGGTTCCGCTCCACACACATGTGGCAGAGATGGTGTTGGGAACACTTGGATGGGCAGGTCCATAACATAACATACATGCTTGTTGAATATGTCTGTGAAGTCAATGGATGCCTCAAGTGAGACATGATTCTGATTCTTCTTCTTGTTGTTGTTGTTGATGATCTGCTTGGATTTGCCACTTCCACTTGCACCATCATCCATTGAAACCTGTGATGATTGAATGGCAGCATCCCATGAGAATGAGTTGTAACATATTGCCAACTCTTGGAAGAAGTCACGATGGAATGCAATGATGGGATCTATACTTGAGAACAACTCCTTGTGATTCTCTTTGCCAATCACATTACGTTTGAGCATCGGTTGACTGAACACCTCATCAATCACCGATAGATAGTTGGTATAAGTTCTCTCAGTCTTTACCAACTCTTCCAATATCTGCTCTCTCTTCTTGTTCTGTTGTTCCGATGCTTTGTTGTTGTTGTTGTTGGTGCGTTAGTCAGTCAGTGTCACACTCGACCAAGGACTCCAACTTACGACTTCCCGGCGTGCCACTTGTTCCCTCGCCCAAGCTACCAGTCTTGGTTGGTTGGTTTCCCATCCCTTATTATTTGATTGATTGATTATTTATATCTATGTACAGTTAGGGATGGGTACTTAAAGGCATAGGGATGAGGCCACTAAAGTACTACTTATGTGTTTTGGGAACAAGGACCATCAAGGCCTCAATCACAAAACAGAAAGATCTTGTGTGTTTTTGGGCCAAGGGCACCAAGGTGGGCTTCGTCCTACTTCTCGCGAGGTAACTACTGGTCGGGCCTGCCGACATCACAACCCGACAATGATTGAATGAACTTGCGCAACAACACAGACTTTTATTGCGACTTGTCAAAGAGGAGCATAAGAGAATGAGGAACGGGCATACTTGTTGGGAGGGTCAAAGTGATCGTACATTGGGAGGGCAAGGAGGGTCTTGTGTAGCTGCCACCCCCATCCTCATCATCATCGTCTTCATCATCGTCGTCATCATGGCCGACATCATATCATCGAGTGTAGGTGAAGCTCACTGTGTCGTTGGAGTACTGCTCACCGTCGTTGGTGACCTTGACAAGGACGGACGATCCACTCTTTACAGCCTCTGATCGCTCGGGTGCGTTACAAATGATTGTTCCCTTCTCGTAGAACTGCACAGATGTGCTCTCCATCGGACCAAACATCACTGCCAGATGATCGCCCTTTGAGAAGTTGGAGCCCAATACGACCATCCTCGTGTTGGGTGGTCCCTGCGCTGGTACAATCTCTGTGACTGATGGTGGCAATGGCACTGTTTGAATGATGATTGAGTGATTGTTAGTGACTATTTGATTGATTGATTGATCGGGGACAGGACACTTACCATCTTGTTTATCCGTTAAGTAAATGGTATGTGAAAAGACTTCGATGGGATCGGAGAGGACGAATGCGTTGGAGATGGTCTGGAAGTCGCTGCCAATGTATCGCTTCAAGACAAACTTGAGACGGAACAGTGTCCTCTGCTGCTGTGTCGTCGAGAGGATTTTCAGCTTCTTGAAGGGCGCAAAGATTCCATTGGCAATACGCGAGATCTTGTTGCCATCGAGGCATGTGGTCAGCTCCTGCTGATTATCGTTTCGGAGTAGTGATGCCTCTACGAAGAAATTGGAGAGGTTGGTGTTCTCCACGCCAGGTCCACAAAGCATCACCGAAGGGAATGGCTTCAGGATCCTCTGATACACCGTGCTTGATGGAGGTTGTCTGGAAATCTTTAAATAAAATGGACTGGTGTGAAGGAATGGAGGGAGAGTTAGTAAGAGTGTCAGAGGCTGGGATGATCAATCAATCAAACATACCAGTTTGTTGTGCTTGACGACGAAGCTAATATGGAGGACTCGGAAGTGTTGAGGACTGCTAGGGATCCATGTGTTTCATTCTTTACAACTAATTGATTGTTTGGTGACTTGCTACCAGACTGTTGCTGTTGAAGTTGTTGCTGTTGTAGCTGAAGTTGTTGTTGATGTTGCTGTTGTTGATTTTGTTGTTGATGTTGATCAAGTGGGGATAATGGGATACCAAACGATGCGGATAGATTGAGATTGAACAGAGGTGGAATGTTTGGAGAGAATTCGGACGATGGCGACGAGGTGTTGAGTGATTGATTCGAGGAGGGATGGCTAATGCTGACGGTCGGGACGCCAGTGTTTGGCTGCTGGTGCATCTGCAGCTCAAAGGGCTGCGCCAATGGCGGCGGGAAGCTGGTGGCAAGCAGCCTTTTCAGGTCGAGCACGGTGGACGACTCGAGCTGGAGGATAGCGAGCAGCACGGCCAACATCTTCTTGGACAGCACGATGAACCATGAGTGAAAGGAGAGCAGCTCGGGCAGCGCCAACGACATGGTGCCTGCGATAAAGTGCAGGATCTCGATGGGGATGTGTGCGTCGATCTGAAGCAGCTGCTGGTTGTTGAGATAGGTGGGCTGCGCGTTGTTGGTCAGCGCTGTGTTCATGCGCTTGAGTGTGTCAAAGTTGATGTGCTGCATGTACTCCTGGATGCGCAACAGGATGTTGAACTGGAACTGCGGCGATCCGGGCGGGATCATGTTGTTTGTCAGCTGGAAGAGTTGGGTGTATGATACATGGGCCAGCATGTTGGACAGCTCCTTGAAGTCCAGGAAGAGCTTGAAGGCGTGGTTGTTGGGCTCCTGCGCGTACGCCTGGAACGTAGCCGTGTTGATCTGGTCGATCAGCTTGGGCATGTCGCTGAACATCTTGGTGATCAAAGGGAACCTGAGCTCCTCGGACACGTGCGGCTGCAGCGAGCGGCTCAAAAAGAACAGATGCTGGAGCGATTCTTGCGAGAGGCTCTGTAATGACGCAAGCAGCTCCCTAAGCTCCGCCTGGATGTCCGTGCTTCCAAATAGGTTTGGATAGGCTGTGTTGTTCGTCGTCGTCGTCGACGTCGATTGTTGAAGGTATTGAGTCTTTGTTTGATTGATTAGTGTTGATTGTTGTTGCTGCTGTTGTTGTTGTTGTTGCTGTTGTAACATGTAGTTTTGTTGTTGTTGTGACTGCTGCTGTTGCTGCTGCTGCTGCTGTGTCGACATCATGCTTGGACTATGATGATGTTGTTGTGGCTGCTGCTGCTGTACTTGTTGTTGTGTGTTATATTGAAATGATGGTTGTTGTTGTTGTTGCTGCTGATGTTGGGATAGGACATTGGCAAAGATGTTGGAGTTGGACTGCTGCAACTGTTGTTGAAACGATTGAAATGAGCTGCATGTGCCACTCTCAAACGCATTGACAAAACCATTAAGATCGAGTGATTGTGACATGCGAAAGTTCATAAAGTCGGCGAATGAATTGATTGCTCCACCTGCTGCACCACCTGTTTGTTGTTGTTGTTGTTGTTGTTGTTGATGTTGTTGTTGTTGTGGTTGAGGTAATTGAAGAGCATTCGTGTCATCCATATCACCCATCATCGTATCATGATGATGTTGTTGATTGTTGTTATTCATTTTAAATGAATGTTTGGTTTGTTATATATTATAGTTTGTTTGTTTGTTTGATTAATTAATTAATTAAATATATTTATATTATATATATTATATTCAAAGTACATTGATTTGATCTTATATTATATGATCTGATTTGATTGATATGATATCACAACAGTGTCGTTTCGTGTAACACTCAGTAACACTAACTATTCAAAAGATATTGATTGATGATGATTGATGTTGATATTATTATATATTATATATTTATATAAATGTTTATTACTTTGACGATGAGCTCATCTGTTTGACAAAGAGACACACTCAAGGGTTTGGGTTGTTGTTGTTGGATGGTCCATCTCATTTGATGTAAATTCAAAAAAAAAATAACAGACAAAAGTGGAGAAGAGGTGAGAAAAGAGAGTGTGTGAGGAAATGGGCAGTTCTCTGATCATCAAACACACAAGAAATTAATAAAATAAAATAAATAAATAATGTAAAGTACAACATTACAAGGACATCAATGGACTGGGAAGGTACCACTCACTCATCAAAGAATAGAATAATAACATTAATAATAATAACAATGGATAGACTTCAAAATACTTTGTTAAGATATATTGTTGAGTGTTTGGATGATAATGGAGATAGGTTGGTGTTGTCATTGGTGTGTAAGAGACTGTTTGAACAAAGGAATAGTTATATATCATTCAATTCATCATATGTTAGTGACAAACTTGATCAAGTAACATTACTATCATATAAATATCCTATTATCGAACAATCAATTAACAACAAATGTTGGACCATTCATATCCACACTCGATTTGAACCAAGTACCGACTTCTATGATCTCTCAATCCATCTTGGTATTGGTATGTCACAATCATATCATATCAAATCATATCATGTCAAGTAATGCCATCTTACTCACTCATTCAATCAATCAATCAATCAATGATCTGGATATAAAGATCTCAGTGATGATGGATGGCAACATGAAGTGTTGAGTGTGACTCATGGGATCAAGGAGATAATATTTGAGGACTGTAGTGAGAGAGCGATGGATCAGAAGTTCTGGGATGGTACCATTGAGTTCTTTGATATGTTGCGTAAGCGTGGCCCACTCCCCAGTGTACACTATAATATGTCATCGTTCACTCGATCAAACGTCAATCTACGCAACATACCAATCACTCAACTGGACATTGGCAATGAGGGTGAATATGACGTCTTTGATATCGGCATCAACTCGAGCATTCTCCCAACGACCCTGACCGGCATGGACGTCGCCCTCTGCAGCCAAGGTAGACTGTCGCCCAACTTTGACCTTAGAGATATGACATCACTCGAGGTGTTGGGCTTTGGTGAACTGGTCGCGCCCTTGGACTGCTCGCTATTTCCACCCTCACTGGCCTTTCTCACTCTCTACAGTCCGTACAAACTTCCCGTGTTCAACTTGCCGCCCTCGCTCACCGACCTGACTATCTTTGCGCTGAACTATCCACATCCAATCAATCATCCAACATTGCGAATGCTTTATATCAACTTGTCCAGCACTGCCCTCCCAGCATCTCCCAACCTTGTCGAGCTTTTTCTCGAGTCATTCAACATCCATCACCTGGGAACTATCACATCGGACACATTCCCCGTGCTGGACAAGTTGGTCATTGGCTCCATTGATGGTGAGCCTACATCAGAGTTGGACTTGTCAACGCTACCCGCATATTTAAGGAGGCTGGAGATCGCACCAAATGGACAAATCACCTCGTTTCCAAGTGGCATCGAACACTTGTTAATACGCCTCGATAAATTCAGTCTAAAGATGACTAGTTCAATGTGGCCAAGTCCATCGCATATCAACACTCTGACACTACATGGAGGCCTTAACACATATACATTGAAGCCAGGTGATATACCTGGTGAATCGATAACAAGTTTGAACTTGATATTCTATGATCAACCAATAGCCAACCTTGCAATGATCACACCTTCACTGAGGTACTACCGTTGGCATGATGACAGATCCATAAAGTACATTGATCAAGGTCAACAATTCATGGATCACATACCTTTGACCACCTCACACATTGTGATCCACATCAAGAGTGTAGCATTCGATCTAAGACGAATATCCCCAACTCTATTCCTACACATCGATCCCGACCTAATACGCTCTGGCTTCATCCATTTGGACAAGATCCAACACATCTTGGAACAACAATAAACCCTCGCCCTCGCCCTTGCCCTCGCCCAAACACTGAACATCGATTGGATGTATGATTGGAGATGATGTATCTTCATTACATATGAAGATGGTTTATCTTTCGACACTCCTCTTCAAGGACATCTTTGAATGATATGGATGCTTTGAGCATGAGATGATCCAGGAAGTTGAAGTTGACAATGGAGAATTGATGATGTGGTGATGACCTGTTGCCGCCATGGACATTGTTCGAATAGTTGCCACTGCAGCCGCCATTGCCATTGCCACTGCCATTGACACTTCCATTGACACCGCCGTGATGTTGAGGATGGCCATTCCTCGAATCGTTGCTGGTTGGTGTGTAATTGTAGTTGTGATCAAAGTTGAGATTGGACAACGTATTGTCGACCAACTCGTTGGCCCACAGCCAGTTGGTGCTCTTGGAGAAGTAGATAAAGTCGATGGTGCGGTGGTTCTCGTCAATGGTGTCATTCTCCTGGCGAATGAGCAGTATGTCCGAGTTACTACGCTCCTCCAGCGTCACCAGCACATTGTTGGCATCGTTGGGGAAGTATGCCGACAGGAGATGCTGGCTCACTCGCAGATGATAGTCGAGCTCCACGCGAATACTGCGTCCATCTGCCAGCAACACAGCGTACGAGTGTACCTCCATCGCCGCCGTATTGTTCTTCTCCCACAGCTCATTAGTATCAATCACATAAGGGCTCCACTTCCTGCGAATGTCTCCATCCAGCAGTGAGAACAAGATCGATGATGGTGGCGACTTGGTGCTGAACCTCTGTTTGTTTGATTGATTGATCGGATGATGAGTGAGTGAGTTGCACTTGAGACGCTAGATGAAGTCTTACTTACTGCCCTATATATACGGTAGCACTCCTCTTCGTTGGTGCCTTGAGACGTGGTCGATGTGATGTAGTCCTTGATGTCGAGTTGTTGGCGAAGGATGTTGTCGAGTGATGTTGCCTCGGACTCTGAGTTATTTACAATTAGGTTATGTACACTGTTGTTGCTGCTGTTGCTGTTGATAATGCTATTGATGCTGCCATTGCCAACGCCACTACCTACGTCACCTCCAAGGTCGACGTGGTGTTGGTGGCTGGAGGGCTGATGCTGCGACACACTTTCAAACTGCGCCACAGTAACTTTAGCCGTGTCGATGGTTATCTGGGGGCAGGAGACCACTTCCGTTAACTTGAGACCCTGTAGGAAGGTGAGCAGACGCTGCGCCTTGAGCTTGGGGTCTGGCGAGAACAGTCGCTCGTCGTCAAAGTCAATGATGCGCGGTGGTTGCTCAACCTTGCGCTTGCTGCCCAGTGCATGCACCTCTTCAGCGGGCTGGAAAGATGATGTTGTCGATGTTGTTGAGGTTGTTGACGTGGCTGTGGACTTTGACGTGAGTCCATTCTCAAAGACATTGACAAAGACTATGTTGTTGAATGGGTTGGCATTGGCGCCAGTATTGGCATTCGAGTTGCGCTGCTTCTTCTGGCCGCGCTGTTGGATCTGCTGCGACTTCTTGGTGCGCCTGTCCACCGGTATCTCTCCGGTGAAGTTGGGCTCCAACTCGATGAAGTACTTGAGCTTGGCCATCTTGTTGAGCGTCCAGCTGTCACACTTGGCAATGAAGGGCACCAGCCAGGTGTCCCACACAGATGGCGGGTTGGCCACGCAGAAGTCGTGGAAGATGACGTTGGTAATGCGCGAGCGATGCTCGGCCAGCTCCTCCACCACGAAGCCTGAGAGCACTTGGGTGCGCGTGTAGCCTGGTAGTTTGGGACAGAGCGGTGACTCGACCGACTTGACCACACGAACGAATGTCTTGGGCATGGTCGGATGTGGGCCGCTATACTTGATCATGAGGGAGTCGCGGCCGGGCAGCCACAGATGCGGGCAGCCGTGCAGCAGCTCTGAGTCGTGGTACACGCTCAGGCGTTCGATCAGGTCGCATACCTTGTTACACGACGACAAGTACTTGTTCCACATGTGGATTCGGCTGAGGTCAGACATGAAGTGCATGACTGTCGACGATGACTTGTTGACGATGATCTCTGACTTTGACGTGTGCGTCGTGTCGTTGGTGGGCTCGTCCAACTTCCAATACTTGATGCCGTCAATCTCTGATACGAAGCGCCACTTGGGCTTCATCATCCTGCTCGACAACTCCAGGCGACTCTGAAGTGCGATGGTCCACAATCTTATCTTCTCCTTGGCAATGAACTCCTCTGTCAAGTTTGCTGCGGCCAGTGAGTAGTCGGGTGTCATGATGACCGATGTTGATGTTGTGGTTGCCGTGTGTGCGGGTGATGGTGAGGGTGTGGCGGTGGGCGAGGTGGTTGGCGAGGCTGTTGGCGAGGCTGTAGCCGCCATTGACTTTGATGTAGCTTTCGAGGTCAAAGCTGCTGCCTTTGCTTTAGCTGTTGGCGTGGCAATGTTTGTTGGACCTAACATGGGTGGGGCGGTACTACCCCCACCAGCCGTTGATGCCGAAGACATTGCTGCCGTTGATGTTGACTTCTTTGTGTTATCACGCCGTTTACTCCTATTCTCCTTTGTGTTGTCTGACACTGTATCTGACATCTTATGCTCATGAGTGATTGATAGTTATTGAGAGATTGATCGAGTGGATCGATTGATGAGTTGATTGAGTGATGAGTGATGAGTGAGTGACTGGATGATTGTTTCAATGGACCAAGGTGGACTGGATTGGACTGGATTGGTTTGGTTTGGAGATGGACTGGAAGTCAAGTCAATGTGATTGATTGTTAAGATTGAGTGAACAAACAAACAAATAAATATCTTTGTGAGATAGATTGTTGATGGTCCATTGACAACTGGTCAATAATCTTGTGAACGCGTGTTATAGACCAAAGAAAGTTAACTTTACTTCGGCTATTTGATCACTTTGTAACGCCCCTGCCCCTGTGTGATCAATTTAACACTCTCTGTGATTGAGCCGTAGTTAGCCCACTTTTGTCGTTTTTTTATTTTTTAGATCTTTTGGAAAAAGTAACAAAGTCCCACTTTTATCCAATTTTATGTCTAATTATGGTCAAGGATGGATTGGGTGATGGTCCATCATCAATAAGAACAGATCTTTCGTCTTTTTAAACATGGTCCATGCTCTACCTTGCACGTTCGTACCCGCATGTATAAACAAGTGGGGCGTGTTATGCAAACATCGTCGGTGTGGATGGTGATGATCACACTCTGTCGCGCACTAGGATTCAATCATAATCATCATCAGACAGACCATCCATTAGTCGGAAGTGGAATAGGCGTCGGAAATGTTGAGCAGATGCTCTAGTGTGGCGCTATTGGGATCCGCTTCGTCTGACGTATTGTTGTTGCGATGTACTCTCCTCTGTTGGATCAACTCTTTGAACTCCATCGCCAATGTCTTGACATACTGTTGTACCAATCTACCATTCTGTAAATGTGCCAATATCGATGTTGGAGTTGGATCATAATGTTGTTGTTGTTGTTGTTCCATGTTGTTGTTACTGTTGGATGATTGATTGGTTGATGTTGATCGATATGCTGGGAATGAATGAGGTTTGTCAACAATGAATGGCTGGCTGATGTTACAGATCATTGAGTTGATGGCCCTGGAATGGTATTCATTGCCACGGTTTGAATCACTCATGTACTGCTCCAACACTTCTTTGACTTGATCATATCCAGACACACCTGGACACACCTCACCTCTCATTGATATCACCTCGGTGAATGGACTGAAGGACTTCTGTGAACGTGTGATTGAATGAGTGATGGAATGAGATGGGTCAGTGCGTGCACATCAATCACATTGTTCCAAGTTGGACAAGTTAACTTAACTTACATTGATAATCTTTGGCGAGAGGTAGTTCATGAGTGGATGGGAGTGCAGTGGCTGTGCAGAGGTGTTGGTGGTGTTCTGTTGGTTGGCGGTGTAGAGTGGACGCGCCGCAAAGGAGAATTCGGCGATCGAACCTGGGAAGGAGGAGGACAATGTACATAGGTTGCGAGGTCCACCCAACGACATATGTCTACACAGATCGGCAATACTATGATTAAAGTTGGATCGATAGTACAATGTTCCAGTGTCGATTGATGATGCCAATATCGCTGATGTCTGGAACTTGTTGTTCATCTAGTATGTTTGATTGAATGAGTGAGTGACATTGATTGGGTAACAACATGTATGTGTTGCCTACCTTTAGTCGATTGAATGATGTTGTTGTGACGCCAGACCATCGTTGAGCTGTGAGCGGGGTGTAGAGGCTGCTGTATTGAGCCAGGGACTTGATGGACTTGGATACATTGTAGACTCGCTCATCAATGGATGCTTCGACCTGATCGGCAATACTAGTTGAGTGTTGTGTACAACCAAATGTGATGATTGGACGCGATGTATACTCGTCTTCAATATGTTGCAACAATGCCGTACTGACTCCACCCCATATTCCATCGACATCACTAAAGCATTGGAATCCACCAAGATGATCACACTCCTCCACCAGTCGTCTCATGTTGTCTTGATACGTATCAACCTGTTTGTTCGTCAGCAGACTTGTTAGAGCGTATCCATCATCGGGCCAACTAAGGTTCACTTACGATCTCCACGTTGTCAAAGAATAGGTCGTAGCCATCGTCGTAGAGCTTGCCACTTATACTGTTGTTCTGGTTGGTTTGGGTGAGCGGGACGATGCTGTTGGTGTGGTAGTCGGTCTGGAGATAGTCGGACCAGTATTCAAAGTCGTCCAGACGATGGTCTTTATCCGAGTCGAATGAGATGGGCGATCCAGCTGGCTTTGAAATGTGCTGTGTCACTCGCTCACCCAAGTCCTCAGACACGGCAGTTGTCGCGGGCAGGCCTGCAGCCGACATCTTTGGTCTATATATCCTACCCTCTCTACTCATCGCACCAAAGTTGTCGGCATAGTCCACAACCAACACTCTCGGTGTATAAGTCTGTGAATCATTGGCAGTCTCGCCACTTCCACCTCTATACAATATAGATGGATTGACTTCAAACTTTGAGTTATTCTTTATACTATATTGATAGTTATCATTCTATTATGTCGCATTGTATTATGATAATAATATGTTAGATTGTGATGATACACCAGTGATTGATTGAATGAATGAATTGAATGGTGCACCAACCTGTATGTTCCAGTAATGTGATGCAATGAAGTTTGAATAGGGACCGACTTGCAAGGTCAGTATCTGACTCTCCAAGGGTGCTCTATGATTCATTATTATCTATATCTAATATCTGTCTTGTCTTTATTTGTTTGTTCAACAACTTGAAATGAAACAAAACTTTCTAAGAATCGGGTGTTTTTCAAACTTTCGTCAACTTCATCTTGTGGACTTGTTCATTATTATCTCTTCAATCCAATATAAATATAATTATCTGTACATAATAATAATGAATCTTAGGACAAAGGTTAGAACAGGATTTGTGTCACCGGTAAAGGTTGCTACAAAGGACACTGATACCAAGGTTGCACTATCACCTCCAAAGCAATCTGATAGTCGCATACCTCAAGCTACCCTTTGGAAACATATTCCCTCAATCAATTTTGACAACGACAATGATAAAGACAAAGAAAAGGAAAAGGACTCATTATCAAATAGAATAATCAATTATATATATTCAAAGAATGAACCATTATCATTGAATGAAGTCATCAATCATCTTGGTACTGGCAAAGTCACTGGAACTGGATCAAACGTTGACAAGAAGTTGGTGGAGTCTACATTACAAACATTGTTGAACAAGAAGTTGATTGCAAAGATTGCTGTGGACAAGACTGGTGGTCATGGCATATCACTCTACTCTTCAATCCAATGGCATCGACTCACTCAATCATACATTGCTAGTCGACAACATGACAAGGCCAACAACGCCAAGGACACACAATCCACATCATCCACATCATCCACTCCCATCAAGAGCACGACCGCCAACGACAACAAGACAAATATCAATCACAACAATCATTTATCAACACCAACCAAGGTATGATTGAATGAACCTTGACTTCAAAGACATGTTAGATACTAACAAACACTCATATGAGCAGAAGGTCAATCATCTGGCGACTCCAACAAAGAGCAAGGCGCTACAGGACAGTCTCAAGAGGAAGACGACAATGAGGAATGGTCCGAGTGAGCCAGAGTCACCTTACAAGAAGCCCAGGACTGAGAGTGATGTCTATCCCCTGGAATCAATGGTCAATGATGAGTTGTCGATAATAGCCGAGGAGAGGAAGCGTCTGAAACAATCAATCGAGGACAAGAAGTTTCAACTGGCAAGCTTCACAAGTACGACCAAGCCCACGCCAATACAAGTGAGCAAAAAGTTCCAACATGGCAGCAACCAGAATGGCAACGTCGATGTCCTTATTACCAAGTGGAAGAAGGTCGCCAAGGTTCTTGTGGAGAGGCTGCAGTCGACCTACATGGAGGCGCTCAAGAAGCAAGAAGAGTCAGACGGGCTGCTGTGCAACTTGGATCCCAAGGTGGCGGCCCAGCGCAAGCGAAAGAATGCACTTGCTCTTGCAGGATTCCAACCGAGCAATAGTTGGATTGATCATGATCGCGACCAGGATAAAGATCAAGCCGGCAAGGATAGCGATCAGTACGATGATGGGGGTGTTGGTGGAGGAGAGGTTGAGACACGTGAAGGCCAAGAAGATGAAGATATCGACGTCACAACAAAGTTGTTCATACTCAAGGTGTTTGGACTTGACCCCAAAGTAATGGATTATGACGCGGAGAACGATGCCTTTAGATAATGCGAGTGAGTGACTTGTCCTCGATGATCAAGATGGGCCACGAGCCTCCTGCCACGTCCACGCGACCACGCAGAGCGAGTGTCCATTTTTGGAAATGATTTGGAAACAACACAACTTTGTCAAACGACACATGCATCTTCAAAAATATCAAAGTAGAGAATCTCATTCAACCATCATTAAATCAGATATTGATAGATACAGATACAGATATAGATATAGATATACACATATACAGATATACAGATATATAATGAATGATACAACCAACAATACAAACATAAACAATGCATTTCATTCATTGTTACATAATAGACCGTTGTTCAAACATGTGACGGAACAGGTGCCAACGATACATAAGGCATTGGGAATGAAGTCCCATATCTACAATGAGATACCATCACTGTTGTTGTCAAATAGCAAACGATTCGATACGATGTACGCAAAGCTGACTGATCCAGAGGAGCACAACTTCATCTTTTACTACTCATCTTTAAAGAATCTGTTGCAAAACAATGTCGATGTCAACCTGCTCAGCGAGATACACAAGCAGTACGGTCATTACTTCAAAATGGATGGCACAGGATGGATGATGGACGAGTGCGCTAAATCAGGCTCGCTGGCTTGCATCGTGTTCATGCACAACTTACCGCAGTCCAAGTGCACTGATGCAGCAATGGACTACGCTGCGGCCGCTGGCCACCTCAACATTGTGCAGTTCCTCAGCGAGCATAGGACGGAGGGCTGCACGACACATGCGATCGACCTGGCCGCACTCAATGGACATGCACGTGTCGTGAGCTATCTCATCGAGTCGCGCACAGAGGGCTTCACGCCGAATGGCCTGGTGAACGGAGCGCGCTCCGGTTCCATGGAAATACTCAAACAGATGGGTGCGAACACGCGCACCCACCTCCGTCGCGGCAAGCTCGACGATCTGATGCTGGACATGGTTGTGTACTCTGGCAGCCTGGATATTATCAAGGAGTTCCTGAGCATGTTCCCGGGCGTACGACGCACCAACACACCTATCAAGATCGCTGCTGAGGCAGGGTACTTGGATATCGTTCGATATCTTCACGAGAATGGGTGGCCCGCCACAACATCAGCCATGGACTATGCGGCTGGTGGCGGACACATGGACGTACTGCGATTCCTTCACGATAACAGGACTGAAGGCTTCACTCAACAGGCCATCGCCAAGGCCTCGGGACTGGGCTTCCTTGACGTGGTTCTCTACTTGCTCGAGCTCGACAACCAGCCTCCCAGTGGCTTGTGCTTTGAGAACGCCGCGCTGCATGGACACCTCGTCGTGCTGCATTACCTCAACACGTACACACCCCAAGTCAACGCCAACCTCATTGGACGTGTGTTGCAGGCCAGCAGGAATAACGCCGCCGAGGTCGTCATGTTCTTGCACCAGAATGGACTGTCGACGCTCGCACCCGAACATCTGATCCAGGCCATTAGGCTTGGCTCGCTCCCTCTGGTGCGCTACATCATCAATGCATTCCCGTCCAGCTCTTGGGACCACCAACACCTCTACAACGTGGCCTATATCTACCACCAGATCGACACGGCCGACCATCTAGCCGAGCTGTTTGGCATCTCACTGTGCTACAACCTTCAGACACTCAATAGCGCGACCACCCGCTCAGACATTGACGTGCTGAACGAGCATCTGGATCATTGCCCGGAGCTAGTGGCCAAGCATACCACCCAGATCTGGGGCATCGCGGTAGAGAACGACGACCCCGTGCCAATCCAGTTCCTGATCGACTCGAAACAGAACTTCCTCATGGACTACAGGGCACTCTGTGGCAACGGCTGCATCAGGGTGTTGCGACACCTGCTGTCCACGGGCCGCCTTAGATATGACATGAGTACCTACCGTGCCAAGGCGTCCTTGCCAGATGAGGCGGCAAGCAAAGGACGTCTTGAAGTATTGCAGTTCTTGCTCTGGAATGGTCTGTGCGAGTTCACGTCCACCGACATAATGGATAGCGCGGCCAAGGGCAATCATTATGAGGTGGTGCAGTTCCTGCATCGATACAGCAAGGCCGGATGCACAGTGGCCGCCATGAACTGGACGACATCACTGGAGATACTGCACTTCCTTCGGGATCATCGCACTGAAGGCATCAGTGCAGACGCGTTCCGTCACGATCACCTTCGCTACAGATCCAACTCAACCACACGGTTTGGAGTGCTCTCATTCCTCGTCCAGCACTATCCAGACCTTGCACGACAAGCCATGGAAGACAAGAACTGCAGCATTGAAGTGAGCAACCAGATCAAGTTGATGTTGCCTCGAAAGTAGTGAGTGTCAATTGCTCGACCTCATCCTCCAACTTGACAATTAATTAAAGCTAAAAGCATGCTTTGTTTGATTGATTGATCGTTTGAATGATTGATTGTTTGATTGATTGACAATATGACCAGCTGGCTTTCCTTGTTTAGATGACTGATTAGTAAGAATGACACGAAACGCACCCCTCAATCACACTTAAGGAGTGTTTTATTCGTTTCATTGCAAAGATAAATAGGATCTCGCAGTTCTGAGCGAAGTTTTGAACTTTGTGTAAACACACTCTCTTGGTGTCTCGTGGGGGGGATGGGATTGGTTGATCAGCCAGTTTTAGTTTAGTCTGTGTCATTCATTCAGTCTGTCACTTGAACTAGTAATTGTCGTTGAAAGTTTCTTGTTCTTATTGTTGTTGTAATAATAGATAGAGTATTAGTATTAGTATAAGTATAAGTAAATATAAAAAGTTCAACTCAATCACTCAATACTGCTCATTAAAAGATTCGATTGGACCAAATAACGATAGAAAGATAGATAGTAATTATGTCGGTCGAACTCCATCCGATACCAGGACTGAAGATCGAACCCAATGAGACATTCTTGTCTTATGACGATACATTGGGATATGTTATATTATCGAATCCAAGTGGCTTTGGCTACGTACCAATGTTAAAGACAAAGGAGAGAGGATTATATTGGTATGTCATATGTTCAAAGTCCATTCAATCAATCAACCATTCACGCTGACACCTCCCATTGTTGTCATAACATAGTTCTGATAAACCTATTAGAGATGCCAAGTTCTCTCCCAATGGTATATACGCAGCAACTCAATTCAATGATACAGATATCGTATGTGATTGTTAACGATGATGTTGATGATGATGATGATGGAGTCGCGAGAACATGGTCACTCACTCAATCACTCAATCAATGAATAACAGGAACTGTTGAATGTATATGATGGAAAGAGATTGATACAGTCTACAAAGTATAAGAGTACAAAGGGTACGACTATATTGGGATTCTACTTTGTTGCGACAAAGAATGATTCATTCTTGATAGTCACCAATAGTTCATTGGAGTTGTATCAGGTCAACACGACACAGACCGACATTCAATGCAAGCTAATCAAAGAGACCAAGCTAAAGATTCACTCCTTTGTATATCATGTACGTGATTGATTGATCGATCGAACGACGACTCAGGCTAACTCAATCAATCAAACATGGTCAATCAATCAATCAATCAATCACATGTAACAGGCAAAGACAGCAATCATATTGACATACTGTGGCACTGGAAACGCGATACAGCCATATCAGTTGACGCACAACTATATTGAGAAGTTGGCAAAGTTCACGGTTGAAAGTGCGGCGCCATTGGACTTGCGTGGGCTGTACTTGTCGATAATGTACGGCGTGATGTTTTGTATCTTTGCCGACAAGACTCAGATGACCATCTATGAGCTGAGGAGCGAGACCGTGTACAAGGTGCGCACCATCAAGCTGCTGATGTCTGGTACCAACTACATACACTTTGTCGACAACATGATCATTGTACACTACTGCCAACACAAGGTGTCCATGGTGTTTGACATCCGCATGCTCAAGGACCCTCCCAACTTCCCCATCTCGGCCATCCCAATGGACTTGACACCGGGCGCGACGCCATTCATCGACACTCCATCATCATTATCATTATCATCATCAACGTCGTCGACATCATTGAACTCGTCACGCAGCGGCCAGCACTCACCCGCGATCCAGCCGACACAGCCGGCGCAACAGCTGTACCTTGACTCCTGGCGATACGTCTCGCCCAACTTCCTGTTCGACTCTGCCACTGGCCGCTGGTTCGAGGTCAAGCTCAGCTTTGACAAGATATCCAACTTCTTCCAGGTCGACACGCACAAGATCATCCCCTTCCTGCAGCTGAGGACGACGGCCAACGCCAAGATCGCCCTGCTCAATCAGATTCGCTCGATGATTGAGTACCGCGCCGAGTCGCTCGAGTCGCTCGGCAAGACGTTCGACTCGCTCAATCACGACCTGCACACCTACGAGAAGGCCACGGCGCACCTCATGCATAATCGCAAGACCTCCTCTTCTTACAGCAGCAGCGCAGACAACTCAAGGACCAACTCACCTCAGCAACAACATATGATGGGCATGAACAGTATGAACATGAGTATGAGCATGAGCATGGGCATGGGCGACGACTCGATGGGCGGCGATGCCCCCTCACTCTCCTCCTCGTCCTTCTCATCGCCACGCAGCCTCAACAGCAGCCCAACCCTCACCAGCCGGCTTAAGTACTCGGTGACTGCTGGTGACATGGACGCGGGTGGCCGCGGCCTTAACCTAAGTGACAGCACATCGATGCTGCCCGCGTCTGCAGCAGCAGCGGCGGCCGTATCCGCTGCGTCGTCTGGTGCTGTGTCGCCCAAGGCTGCACCACGTGGATACATCATCATCGACTCGGATGACATCTTCCACCACGTCTTCAACCCTATCTACGAGAAGATCATAGTCTCGCTGCAAGAGACCAAGGAAAACACTGAGCTCAGCGAGCTGGACATGAAGAAGCAGCTTCACCTCATCGAGATGGACTCCAAATACCTGATAGCGATCGTCACCGAGTACATTCGCTCGCTCAACTTTATGTACTGCAAGCGATCAGGAAAGTTATACGAGTTGCTCATCAGTCTATTCATCGACAATCAAATGTAAGTCATCACATGTTTGTTCGCTCACTTGGGGATCATTCCACTGACACTCAAACAACCAATCAATCAATCAAGGTACTCTGAACTACATCGATTCTTGCAGTATAACGTTGTGGAGGACTCAAAGATCATTGCTTACAAGTTGTTGTCGCTGGGCGCATCGTACCCGCCTGCACTGCAGCTGTCGATGGACATGTTCAAACGATTGAGAATGCCCGATCTTATTATATCGACGCTGTTGGAGAAGAATCAGGTGCTGCTCGCACTGAGATTCATGCGCAATGCCAACATGAAGAATGATCCCGAGCTGTTCCTGCGCCACGCTTCCGAGCAGAATGACGACGTGCTCTTCTACACCGTGTACAAGTTCTTTGAAGAGTCCAGTCAGATGGACAACTGCGAGAAGTATGTAAAGTTATACAACGACAAGTTCAACCAGCCAGTGGCACCGCCAACGCCACCAGTACCATCACCCGCCACATCATCGCCAGTCCTCGTCAGTCACAACTACAACATTGATGTTTAGTTATCGATGATGGCAACTTAATCCATGGTTGTATGTTATGGCATATGGATGGGATGGTATGGTCGACCGATCGACCGACCAGTAGCAGTCTGTGCTGGATCACTCAATCAATCAATCACTGGATTGGATGGAGTTACATGCCTACCTCCATACCTGTCGTACGCGAGGAAAAGTCTAATCCATATGACGAGCCCGTCACCAAACCACAAACAAACAACATGGAACCAATAACAACCTAACTAGTACATTGTTTCACCTTCATGATCAGGGCACCGGGCGAGGGCGAGGGTTGACGGAAATTCAACAAAGAGTGGTCGCGCGAAGAATGTTAAAGACGAAGTTTGAGAATGAGGATCATTGTTAACAATGTACTTCAACTACAACAATGAGAGAGATAATGAAGATGAGCATGATGTTGATGTTGATCCTACCCGTGATGGACAGTTGACTGATGATCTCTATGTAGAGTATCATCTCTTTGTTGACGATGACTCGACTTCACAAGCTCAGACTGTGGATCAGCTTGAACGACTAAGGATACAATACACCGAATATCTCTCAACCAATCATATACGTGACTACATATGGCAGAGAGACCCTTTCTTCCTCAAGATATACAGTGGCCAGTCGAAGACAACAAAGGGTATGTCACCGAGCGAGTGTGTATGTCCTCCCCAGTCGCTAACACATGCAACAGCAACAACAGCAGCAGCAGCACCTCCACATTTATACGGCCGAACAAGATTCGATGATGCAATTGATGATGAATGGTTCATTGTGTATCTGTTGATGCAGTTGACGCGACAGTTCACAAACATCTCGGTCACTGTGAGGGACAATGATGGCGAGTTCTTGTTGATCGAGTCGGCACAGACATTGCCCAAGTGGATGAAGCCAATGTCTACACACAACCGAGTGTTCATTCGTAATGGACACCTCCGTATCATACCCATAGCATCGTCTCCATCAGAGTTGGACATGTTACCCTATCGCATGGACTTGGTCAGCGCACTCACTTTGCTGCGGCGCGATACACAATCTTCATCACATTCACTGGATACATCGCCTCCCATTCAAACTGTACAGGCGATCGATAAACGATTGTCTCGCTTCATCAATGGAAAGTACATGAAGGATCAATCACATGTGGCTTTGGTCAGACTACCAGTGGACTTGGCCTTCCTGCTTAAGCGATACCCTCAGCTCGTATCAAACATTGTTCATTGCTTCTACAACAGAGATGCCGATGATATGGCGGCGGTGTCAACGATGAAACGATTCCCTGTTCGCACGACTCTCGATCAAGGCATGACGATGGTCGACACTAAGATACGATTCACAAGATGTCTGTACTCTCAGCTTAGACAACAGCGATTCAATCAACCACGTCAGTTCCCACCGCTGCCGCGACCCACCGCGCCAGAGTACCAGGCTGCAAGCTTGGGCGTCAAGGTGCATTGTGGCGCAGAGATGATGTATCGCAGGAAGACTCATGACGTCCTGCACAGCGCATCATGGAAGGCGTACCTACAGCGTCTCAAACAGAGCGACTACTTTGGTGGGGAGGTCGAAGGATCCAAGTTGTATAACGAGCGAATGATCAAGGCTAAGGAGGAGTTTAAGAAGCAGACCAAGTCTGCATCAACGTCAGAACAAGTGTCATCACTGGCGAGCTTCATGGATGAAGTGTTGGCTGGACAAGACCAACAATCAATGCTCAAACTGATACAGGAGAGTGACGATAAGTTAAAGGAATCGAGCGATAAGTGGTTGGACAAGATACCATCGCGTCTGGAGGACTTGTTGACAGAGTTTGAGAATGCCAATGGCTCATCGGATGGCGGCGACAAGAATAAGAACCCGATGGACAACATGACCAAGCAGTTCCAGCGCATGATGGAGCAGCATTCATCGATTGATGGTGTGGACTTTGGGGCGCCAAAGTCCAAGGAGTCGGCATTCGATCCCGAGAAGTTCATGTCCATCCTCAAGAATATAGTTGGCATAGATAACAAACAAGCTGGAAACAATATCAATGATGGAGATGACAGCAGTGATGACGAGATGTACGATAGGATCGAAGACTATGGCGAGGAAGGTGATTACAAGGACGACGATGATGATGGCAATAACAACCAAGACGACGATGATGATGAAGATGATGATGATGACGACTTCAAGGTATCAATGGAGGACACAGACTATGATGATGTATATCTTTCAAACCTGTTACCACCAAGGAGGTCAAAGATGGAAAATGTAATGCATCAGATGGACATGGAGATTGCCAATACTCCCGTGGGACAATCATTCGAGAAGGTCCAGTACGAAGGTGATGAGGACAAGGATCCCAAGACACTGGAAGCCGACAAGATCAATCGACCAGTGGATCTCAACTTTAACCTTGTCAAGAACATACTCGGTTCGCTATCATCCCAACAAGGTTTGGCAGGACCAGCCTCCAACATTCTAAAGGAGTTGATCGACTCGAAGAAGAAGTAGATGGTTGAATGAATAAAGAGTTGTTTATACTACTCTACTGTGGCACCAGTGCAACAGACTTGATCTCGATCAATAGGTTGGGGTTGGGAAGTTGGTGAACGGCAACGGTTGTACGGGTGGGACCATTGACAGCGTTGAAGTAGTTGTTGTAGACGTTGTTGAACTCTGCATAGTCCTTCATATCGACGAGGAACACTGTGACATCGATAACATGCTCCAAGTCAGCACCAGCTGATTTCAGAATCGTTCTAATGTTCTCAATGACAGCTCTAGTCTGCTCTTTAATGCACAGCTTAACAGTTCCATCAGCTTGTGTTGTGACCTATTGATTGATTGAATGAGTGATGTTGAGTGAGTGATTGAGTGAGTGAGTGATGTTGAATGAGTGATGTTGAATGAGTGATGTAGAGTGATTGATTGAACTTACACCTTCGTAGGTGTTGTCTGGTCTCCTTGAGGAGATACCACTGACAAAGAGGAAGCCTCCTGCCTTTCTCATGTGAGGGTAGTTGGCCAGTGCCTTTGCACGATCATCAAGAATGTATCCTTCTCCGTTCTTTGACATTATTGTATCTTTAGTGATCTAAATTGAATGATTGATTGATTGAATGAATGAGTATGTATGAGCAAATATGTGTCATTTGTGTGTCGGGAATGAGTGGGATCATGATCACAAAAGGTCGGGAAATTTCAAAAACGTCGTCTTTTGATCAAAGTGATGAGAATGAACACTTACATCAACAGTATGACCGTATGATGCTTTGATGTATAAGTTACCATCTGGTAAGGTATCTAGAGTGAATCTCTTCTTTTCACAAGAGTCTACAACCTTCTTTAGTTGTACTAATGATACTCCTTGTAGTTGTTTGAATGCCAATACATCATTAACATTCAAATAACCATCCTTTGTTACACTTAGACCTTCCTTAACAGCACCATGTCTTAATAAATATGATAAAGTCTTTGATATACGTATTGATTCTGAATCCGTCATTGTTTATGTATGTATGTATGTATGTATCTTGGAGTATGAATGATTATTGAATGGTTTGATTGACACTTCATAGGATACCAAGTTGATCATCATGTTTGGAAATGAAATTCTGGAAGAATTCCCAGACTTGTTATTTATATGATCAATCAAGATTTTTGATCAAGATATATGAGTGCACTGAATGATCAATCAATCAAGGTTTATGATCAAGATATATGTTTGATGATGCAATCAATATATTTATTGTGTAAAGAGTTGGTTGGCAACTTTTGGATCACGTTGATGTAGGTAGTCATAGACTGTTTCGTGGAAGATTGACATGTTCATATCGGTAGTTGACTTGATAAGATATAGTGATGTGATCAGATTGTTGTAATTGTTCTCTTTTACCAACTCGCTTAGAATTGATTTCCAGAACCAGTCACGTCGTTCATTGACCACATTGTTGAACTGTGGCGATACGATGATCTCGCGACAACTGTTGGCCGAGTTGCTGTCCGATGAGTGCTGACACAGGAACTTGACCACCGTGAAGTATATTGGTGAGTTGATCCTGTTGTTGCGCAGCAGGTAGTTGAAGATCGACCAGGCTTCAGCCACGCGACCGTCCATCAGCAGCGCCTTGATCATAAAGTTGTAGAATATGTCCTGTGTCTCGGCATTGTGGAAGAACTTGTCCTTGGCAATGTTGAACAACTTCATCATCCTCTCCGAGACATTGTCCATCTTGAGCAAGATCTTGGCGTAGCACGTGGCGGCGGCCGGTGTGATGTAGCGCGGACACTCGACCCATGCCCTGTCCCAGAAGTCCTCGACCTGGTCCAGCGGCATCATAGTGAGCATGTGTGTCAGCGTGACCGATTTCATGATATAGAATGCGTTGGGCGTCTGCTTGAAGAAGTCGATGGCCAACTGCGCCAGCGCCGGATCGCCAAGTCGCTCGTAGGCAACCGAAAAGCTCTCGATGATCGCACTGAACAGCTTGCCATCGAGCGGCAGATCCGTCTTTTGGAACTCCTTGAGCAGATACACCAAACACTGTCCCGTCTTCTCCTGGGCAAAGGGCATGAACAGGGTGTGATATGAGACGATGTCAAACTCTGTGCCCTGTCGCCTCATCTCGTCAATGATCGCCAGACACATCTGGAATTGGCCGTTGATGGCAATGCGCTTGATCAGCTCGTTGTAGGTTGTGGAGTCGACCATCGACTCCTTGTGCGCCTTGGCCAGTGTCTCGAGCACCTTGTCCATGGCGCCAGCGTTGGCGTACGTGTTGATCAGGTTGGTGTATGAGAAGTTGTCGGGAGCGATCGCGGCAAAGAGCTCCTCGACGCGCTTGACATTGCCCTCAGCGGCATAGTGCGACATCAAGGTGTTGTACACGAAGCGCTTGTCCGTGTCCGTATCGGTGGGTTCGACAAGCTTGTGATAGTTCATGTACACCTCCTCGATTGACTTTGACGACGCCTTATGTTTCTTCAATGCATTGATCACCAAGTTGTGGAACTTTGAACTCTTTGACTTCTTACTCAGTCTCTGTATGTTATAGAACTCCATTACCTGTGCTTCATTATCAAGTTCCAGAAGTCTATGTAGTCTATTCATTCATTCATTGGTTCATTCGTTTGTTCGTTAGTTGGGTATGATCATACTCGCTGAATTGATCAATCAATCAATCAAACATACCCTCTAAATCCGAGGGCAGTGAATGGTGCCATTCCGTCGGGTCCTGCTAGTACTTCATCTTCTCTTATAACCTTCACCATCTTCTCACTCAGGAAGACTGGAGATGCTTGTGTCTTGGTTGTTGAGGATTTTGAGGTTGAGGATGTTGAGGTTGAGGATGTTGAGGTCGAGGCTGAGGTTGTAGTTGATGTCGATGGTGTATCAGTGTTGTTTGATTGATATCTTCTTTCTTTGTTATCATTGCTTGATCTAGGTCTAGATGTTGATGTTGATGATGTTGTTGAGTTGCAATGTTGGTGACCCAGACCCATGTTCACAACGCTAGAGTTACAAAACAACAAACATGAAACTGAAGCAATGTCATTCCTCAATATGAATTGAATAGGCTTAACAGCATTGTATGATGATGTTAACAGTCTTCTTGTTGCATTCATCATCTCTTCTCTTTATCTGTCTCTCTATCTCTATCTCTATACTTCAGCACAATAATTTGGATAAATGAACTTTCGTTCGTTTTTGACCTTTGAGCCAATAATCAACCAAACTCTAAAGATTCATGGAACTTTGTGATCAACAAAGACAACAACACGTATATGTATCTGTACATTATTCTCTCTCAACTGCCTTCCAAGGGTGCCTAGTTGATTGAATGAAATGTAATGGCTTGACATTGAAAGTAAGTTAATGTGAGCTGACTGCCACAGTGCTATCAATGACATTAGTGTTGCCATGGTAACGAACAGACACCCAACTAACACTTGAACACAACAGGACTAGGACTGGTAGTAGTAGTAGTAGTAAAGTAGTCGAGGGCCACAGTAAACAGACATGGTTACATTACAAACTCAAACATTGTAGCTCAAGTGATGGTTGGTTGGTTAACGATGTTTACAAGTTCGTCACCCTCCACTCCTTTAAATCACACTAGGCTTGTTCCAACTATTGAACAACTTGCTCGCACAACAAACAACAACGTGTTGTTGTTGAAACATCTTAAACACCCTCGCCCCAGTCTCCAACAACAACAACCAAACCATCTTGTTGTTGACGCTAACATTGTGTATGATGTTGTTGAACATATCATATCATTATGGAGAATGGTCAACTATTGATCTTGTATGGATGCGTGTGTTACTGTGGGAATGCATTCATACACACTTCGATTGATTGATTGTTGTGCTAGCTAGCTCCAATCGATCAAGCCCAGCAGGGGCTAAGCCCCACAATCAATCAACACACTCATTCCACTCCACACAATTACAAACAAACTCAAGACCCCAACAATCAATCAATCAATCAATCAACTATTATAACACATATATCCATCCAATGAATGTGTGCTTATCCACTCACTCCCATATGTAGTAGTAATATTACATCACTCACTCATTCATTCATTCATTCATGCATTCAATCATTCATTCACCACATCATCAACCATACCCAACCAACTCAACTCACAATATTGTCAATGAAGAGTTCATTGAAGTCATCCATGTTGTGTTGTACGGCATATACTTTATCACACATCCACTATCATATGCTACTACTTCTGCTACTGCTGATGCTACTGAGCAAGAGGTGTGCACTCATACTCACACACAACAACAACAAGTATTACTGGCGTGCTAAGAGATGTCGATGGCGATTACTGATCAGGTTGGCACGGCACGTTGTGGGGCTACAGGATGCCACCTACCATACCGTACCCTGGCTCCCTAGAATGCCCCTCCCAATTTCCAGCACTGATACCAAGGCTGTAGACTGAAATCCAGTATACACTACACTCTACATTGTGATTGATTTGATCAAGTAACAACAATATTCCTTCCTTTCCTTCCTTTCTTTCAAGTAAAGTCAAGACTACTTCTTTACAACTCAACATCTCACTCACTCACTACCTCTCTCAATCAATCAAACTATTACCAGACTTTAACTTAAGTTACAAAGAAGACCCAAGTCCCCTTCCAACAGTCATCCACAATCCTCAATCTTTGGTCAACCAACCAAACTTTTAAAGTTGTTATAGACAGGCAAGGCATACTTTCTTCCTTCTTTAACAAGTACTGATGATGGCACTACCATCATCAACTTCCAATCGATTGTGGCTAAATGCCATACTCTTCCTGGCAATATTACTTCTACTCTCTGGATCAACGCATGGTAGGTTATCGATTCGATTAGGATTGGATTTGATTGGATTGTTTGACCAATGGATATTGGATAATAATTTTTCCTGGATATCAGCTGATCAAATTGATCACGTGACTTTTTGGAAATTCCAAACACATAAACTAATACTTAAATCCATCAATCATTATAATTATAGCCCAGAAAGCAGAGGAACCATTTGCATGCAGAACGGTGAAATGTCCACCTGGCCACATTTGTGTTCAGCCAAGGGATGACCTCCCAACAATGTGTCTGCCATATTGTGATTTTATTACCTGTCCTTACGAGACAAAGTGTCACGTCGATCTGGACACGGACGAGGTCAAGTGTATACCTGATCCAGACTTTGGAACAACCACCCAGAATCCTCCTACAAAGCCCCCGACGCCCCCAACTACTGAGGCTGGCACCACACACAGGACCACAAGATGTCCAACCACTGGATGTACTGATAGCAGCAGTGAATCATCAGAGTCGTCTGAATCGTCTGATTCCACGACCGGCACCACGTCCACAACCTCGTTGCCTACCACAACTTCCACTCCAACTTCGTCCACCTCCCCATCCACGACCTCTGCGCCTACTTCGTCGCCAACCACGTCGTCGCCAACCACAACTTCGGAGCCAACTACGACCTCGGAACCAACGACGACTTCGTCACCATCAGGCACAGCTTCGACATCGGCATCAACCTCAGCCTCGACAGCTTCAACCATAGTATCAACTGTGGCCGGTGCAACAGGTACAGCTTCGACTCATGGAACAACAACTATATCGACTGCATCGACCCTTGCTACGACATCGGCCTCGACCACTACCAAGCCGCCAACAACCGCATCAACTGCATCGACAACCAAGCCACCAACAACGTCTGCCTCCACGGCCTCGACAACCACACCTCCACCCAATGACACTACCAAGCCATCTACCGTCTCTAGCCCACCAACTGGTCCTCCCACTACTCACCCAACCACCGGAACAGGTGCGACCACTTTGACCACGGCAACTGGCCAGACTACCAAGCCTCCAACTACGTCGACAACAGCCACCACGGCTACTACAACAACTGCAACAACAGCCACCACAACCCATACCACAAACAATCCCACTTCCACTTCGCCAACATCTGTGTCTCCATCTTCAGAGGCTACTTTGGCAAGTACCGCCACTACCGCCACTACCGCCACTACCGCCACTACCGCCACTACCGCCACTACCGCCACTACCGCCTCTACAGCCTCTACAGCCACTACAGCAACTACTGCCACAGCAACTGCCACCACTATCGCTGGAACGGTAACAGGTGGAGTCACTGTTACTGGCGTTACAACGTCTCAACCTTCTACCATTGTTGGAGTGACCACTGCAACTACAGTCACAGCCACATCAGCCACTACAGCCACCGCTACTTCCGCCACGGCAACTGCTACTTCCGCCACGGCAACTGCTACTACCGCTACTGCAACGGCTACTACAGCTACAACTGCTGGAACTGTCACTGGAGTTACTACCTCGCAGCCAACTACAATTGCTGGTACTGTAACAGGTGGAGTCACTGTCACTGGTGTCACAACATCTCAACCATCAACAATTGTTGGAGTGACCTCAGCAACAACCGTCACAGCCACATCAGCCACAGCTAATACAACATCAGCCACTACTGCCACGGCAACGGCTACGACCGCCACAACTGCTGGAACTGTCACTGGAGTTACTACCTCGCAGCCAACTACCATAGCTGCAACGGTAACAGGGGGAGTCACAGTCACTGGTGTCACAACATCTCAGCCATCAACAATTGTTGGAGTGACCTCCGCAACAACAATCGTCACCGCCACAGCCACTGCGACAGCCACTGCCACGGCAACAACCTCCACACCCACTGCGACATCTGCAACATCAGCAACAACTGCTTCGACAATCATTGCCACAGTGAGTGCTGGCACAACCTCGACACCTGTTTCAACATCAACTGCAAGCTCAGTCACTGGTATCACAACATCGCAGCCAACCACCATTGCTGCTACAGTGGCGACCACTGCTGTGACAACCTCGCTCCCAACATCGGCAACAGGATCAATCGCTCAAACTGTGGCGGCCACAGGCATCACTACCTCAGAGCCCACATCGATTGCAAGCACAATTGTTACCACAACTGGAGTCACCACGGCGACAACTGCCACTGCGACATCTGCAACTGCTACTGCAACCACTACCACACCAACTTCGGCCACTGCTTCGACTATCATTGCAACCGTCAGTGCTGGAACAACCTCCACTCCATTGACAACTTCAAGTGCTGGAACAGTCACTGGCGTCACAACATCGCAGCCAACCACCATTGCTGCTACAGTGGCGACAACTGCTGTGACAACCTCGCTCCCAACCTCAGCCACAGCATCCATCGCTCAAACTGTTGCCGCAACAGGCATTACCACCTCTGAGCCAACATCGATTGCAAGCACTATTGTGTCCACAACTGGCATCACCACTGCAACAACTGCCACCACGGCAACAACTGCAACCACAACACCAACTTCAACATCGGCCACAGCTTCGACGATCATCGCCACAGTGAGCGCTGGTACCACCTCGACACCATTGACAACCTCAAGTGCTGGAACAGTCACTGGTGTCACAACATCGCAGCCAACTACTATTGCTGCAACAGTTGCCACCACAGCAGTGACCACATCTTTGCCAACCTCAGCCACAGCATCAATTGCCCAGACTGTTGCGGCCACAGGCATAACAACCTCAGTGCCAACTTCGATTGCAAGCACCATCGTCACCACAACTGGAATCACGACGGCGACAACTGCAACTGCCACCTCAGCGACTGCCACTACCACCGCACCAACAACGGCTACAGCTTCCACAATCATCGCCACCGTTAGTGCTGGTACCACCTCAACACCAGTGTCAACATCAAGCACTGGTACAGTCACTGGTATTACCACATCTCAGCCCACTACCATCGCTGGAACTGTTTCCACGACTGCTGTGACAACATCTCTCCCAACCTCAGCCACAGCTTCAATTGCTCAAACTGTTGCCGCGACTGGCATCACTACCTCAGAGCCCACATCGATTGCAAGCACCATTGTCACCACAACTGGAATCACCACGGCAACAACTGCTACTGCTACATCGGCGACTGCAACTGCGACATCAGCAACTGCAACTGCAACCTCGGCAACGGCTTCGACGATCATTGCAACCGTCAGTGCTGGAACAACTTCCACACCTTTGACAACTTCAAGTGCTGGAACAGTCACTGGTGTCACAACATCGCAGCCAACTACCATCGCTGGTACTGTGTCGACCACTGCCGTGACAACCTCACTTCCAACATCAGCCACCGCATCAATCGCACAGACTGTTGCCGCGACTGGCATCACCACCTCAGTGCCAACTTCGATTGCAAGCACCATTGTCACAACAACTGGAATCACAACTGCCACGACAGCCACCGCAACATCTGCAACGGCAACAGCCACCTCGGCTACTGCCACAGCTACTTCAGCGACTGCAACTGCCACTACCACCGCCTCCACCATTATTGCCACAGTTAGTGCTGGTACTACCTCGACACCACTGACAACCTCAAGTGCTGGTACAGTCACCGGTGTCACAACATCTCAGCCAACTACCATCGCAGCGACTGTGTCGACCACAGCTGTAACAACATCACTCCCAACATCGGCCACTGCATCAATTGCTCAGACTGTGGCCGCTACTGGAGTGACAACATCACAACCAACCTCAATTGCCAGTTCCATTGCTGGTACTGTTGCGAGCACTGATGCAACAGGTACAACTATCACCGCCACTACTCTCGCGACAGCATCAATTGCCACAAGTGGTCCGACAACCTCTAATCCAACCTCCATCGCGAGCTCAGTTGCCAGCACTGATGCCACAGGCACAACAATTGCCTCAACCACCACTCCAACATCGGCCACAGCCACCTCAACAGCCTCGACCATCATTGCCACAGTGAGTGCTGGAACTACCTCTACACCAGTGTCAACATCGAGTGCTGGTTCAGTGACTGGTATCACAACATCTCAGCCAACGTCAATTGCTGGAACCGTGTCGACAACAGCCATTACAACATCACTCCCAACATCGGCCACTCAATCAATTGGTCATTCGATCTCATCAAGTGGTGTGACAACCTCAGAGCCAACTACCATTGCAGGTTCTGTTGGAAGCTCAGTTGCCAGCACTGTCGCCAGCACTGTCGCCACAGTTACCAACTCAATTACCAACTCAGTTGCCTCATCGATTGGATCAATTGCCAGCTCTGTATCAGGATCAGTTGCATCAACAACTAGTGCTACTGCTGGAACTGTCTCTGGCACTGTTGCCACCGCTTCCACAACTGCACCATCAACTGCAACAGCCACTGCTGGATCAGTATCAGGCACTGTTGCTACTGCCTCTGGTACAAGTGCCACTGCCACAGCTGGATCTGTATCGGGTACTGTTGCCACCGCAACCAGCGCCACTGCCACAACCACTGTTACCGCCGGTACTGTCTCTGGCACTGTCGCCACTGCCACTAGTGCAACTGACTCGTCAGCAACCACCGCTACAGCAACGGCCACAGCCACATCAACAGCCTCGACGATCATTGCCACCGTGACAGCCGGCACTACCTCAACACCAGTGTCAACATCAAGTGCTGGTTCAGTGACTGGCATCACCACATCGCAACCAACTTCAATTGCTGGAACTGTGTCGACAACAGCAGTGACAACATCACTCCCAACATCGGCCACTCAATCAATTGGTCATTCGATCTCATCAAGTGGTGTGACTACCTCAGAGCCTACCACTATTGCAGGTTCTGTTGGAAGCTCAGTTGCCAGCTCAGTTGCCAGTACTGTCGCCAGCACAGTTGGAACAGTTGCCAGTTCAGTTACCAACTCGGTTGCTTCATCAATTGGTTCGATCGCCAGCTCAGTATCAGGATCAGTCGCTTCAACTACTAGTGCTACTGCTGGTACTGTCTCTGGCACAGTTGCCACCGCCACCAGCACCACCGCCCCATCCACGGCCACCGCCACAGCTGGATCAGTCTCTGGAACTGTTGCTACCGCCTCTGGTACGAGTGCAACAGCAACTGCAGGATCAGTCTCTGGCACTGTTGCCACTGCTTCAACAACTTCCCCATCCACGGCTACAGCCACTGCTGGCTCAGTATCAAGCACTGTTGCTACTGCTTCGGGAACAAGCGCAACTGCAACAGCTGGATCAGTCTCGGGCACTGTCGCCACAGCGACCATCGACACCGCATCCACCACAGCCACTTCAACAGCTTCGACGATCATCGCCACAGTGAGTGCTGGAACAACCTCCACTCCAGTGTCAACATCAAGTGCTGGCTCAGTCACTGGTATCACAACATCTCAGCCAACCTCAATTGCTGGAACAGTGTCAACCACTGCTGTTACGACATCACTCCCAACATCAGCCACTCAATCAATTGGTAATTCAATCTCATCAAGTGGTGTGACAACCTCAGAGCCTACAACCATTGCAGGTTCAGTTGGTAGCTCAGTCGCCAGCTCAGTAGCTAGCACTGTCGCCAGCACAGTTGGAACAGTTGCCAGTTCAGTTACCAACTCAGTTGCTTCATCAATCGGATCGATCGCCAGCTCAGTCTCAGGATCTGTTGCCTCATCCACAAGTGTAACTGCTGGTACTGTCTCTGGAACAGTTGCTACTGCCTCCACAACTGCACCATCAACTGCTACCGCCACAGCTGGTTCAGTCTCTGGAACTGTTGCTACTGCCTCTGGTACTAGTGCTACTGCAACAGCTGGTTCAGTCTCGGGAACAGTTGCCACCGCATCAAGCACCGCGCCATCAACGGCCACCGCCACAGCTGGTTCAGTCTCAGGCACTGTTGCCACCGCTTCGGGAACAAGTGCTACTGCAACAGCTGGATCAGTCTCGGGCACTGTCGCCACAGCCACAAGTGCTACTGACTCGTCAGCTACTACCGCCACCGCCACAGCCACAGCAACTTCAACAGCCTCAACCATAATTGCCACAGTGAGTGCTGGAACTACCTCTACTCCAGTGTCAACATCAAGTGCTGGTTCAGTGACTGGCATCACAACATCACAGCCAACCTCAATTGCTGGAACTGTGTCAACCACTGCAGTGACAACTTCACTCCCAACATCGGCCACTCAATCAATTGGTCATTCAATCTCATCAAGTGGTGTGACAACCTCAGAGCCGACCACTATTGCCGGTTCTGTTGGTAGCTCAGTCGCCAGTTCAGTTGCCAGCACTGTCGCCAGCACAGTTGGAACAGTTGCCAGTTCAGTTACCAACTCAGTTGCCAGTTCAGTTGCTTCATCAATCGGTTCGATCGCCAGCTCAGTTTCAGGTTCAGTAGCATCGTCCACAAGTGCTACAGCCGGTACTGTATCGGGAACAGTTGCCACCGCTAGCAGCACAACCGCCCCATCCACCGCTACCGCCACAGCTGGATCAGTCTCTGGCACAGTTGCCACTGCCTCAACTACTGCCCCATCCACGGCCACAGCCACAGCTGGATCAGTATCAGGTACTGTTGCAACAGCCTCGGGAACAAGTGCCACTGCAACAGCTGGATCAGTATCAGGAACTGTTGCCTCCTCAGTAAGCTCAGTTGCCAGTTCAGTGGCCAGTTCCGTCGCCTCATCAATCGGTTCGATCGCCAGCTCAGTCTCAGGATCAGTTGCCTCATCCACAAGTGTTACAGCTGGTACTGTCTCTGGAACAGTTGCTACAGCCTCCACAACAGCACCATCAACTGCTACCGCCACAGCTGGATCAGTATCTGGAACTGTTGCTACCGCCTCTGGTACCAGTGCCACTGCCACTGCAGGTTCGGTTTCTGGCACAGTTGCCACTGCCTCAACAACCTCCCCATCCACGGCTACCGCCACCGCTGGCTCAGTATCAGGTACTGTTGCCTCCGCGACCAGCGCCACGGCCACAAGTGCTACTGACTCGTCCGCCACAACTGCCACGGCCACAGCCACTTCAACAGCTTCGACCATCATTGCCACAGTGAGTGCTGGAACTACCTCAACACCAGTCTCAACATCAAGTGCTGGTTCAGTGACTGGCATTACGACATCTCAGCCAACGTCAATTGCTGGAACTGTGTCAACCACTGCAGTGACAACATCACTCCCAACATCGGCCACTCAATCAATTGGTCATTCAATCTCATCAAGTGGTGTGACAACCTCAGAGCCTACAACCATTGCAGGTTCTGTTGGAAGCTCAGTTGCCAGCTCAGTTGCCAGCACTGTCGCCAGCACAGTTGGAACAGTCACCAACTCAGTTGCCAGTTCAGTTGCTTCATCAATCGGCTCGATTGCCAGCTCTGTTTCAGGATCTGTTGCATCAACAACTAGTGCCACCGCCGGTACTGTATCCGGTACAGTTGCCACCGCCACCAGCACTACCGCCCCATCCACAGCCACAGCCACAGCTGGCTCTGTCTCAGGCACTGTTGCCACCGCATCAGGTACAAGTGCTACCGCCACAGCTGGTTCAGTCTCTGGCACTGTTGCCACCGCCTCCACCACCGCTCCATCCACGGCCACAGCAACAGCTGGTTCTGTATCAGGTACTGTTGCCACTGCCTCGGGTACAAGTGCCACAGCCACAGCTGGATCAGTATCAGGAACTGTTGCCTCCTCAGTAAGCTCAGTTGCCAGTTCAGTAGCCAGCTCCGTCGCCTCATCAATCGGTTCTATCGCCAGCTCAGTATCAGGATCGGTTGCCTCGTCAACTAGTGCTACAGCTGGTACTGTCTCGGGTACAGTTGCAACTGCCACCTCTACTACCGCTCCATCCACAGCAACAGCCACAGCTGGTTCTGTATCTGGAACAGTGGCCACTGCTTCAGGTACWAGCGCMACCGCAACAGCTGGATCAGTATCAGGCACTGTCGCCACRGCCTC